AAGATGAGCTGTGGTTGTTCAGTCCTGTAGTCTAGTGGTTAGAGCCCCCGCCTCGCAAGCGAGAGGACTTGGGTTCGATTCCCAGGGGAGGTGAAACCTCAGACAAATTTCCTTACTCCACACATACACGCGCGCCTCTGTTTACCAGACAGTAAGTAGGAGCCCAGTTGTTAGTACCATTGGCGGATCACCTCCTGGGGGTAATAATCCCACCAAAAAAAATCACAAATTTGGTCACGCAATCCACAACCGTTTGCCGGGACACTGCTGTGCGCAATCAGTTGCCGCCTTTCGCCCACTTTGAGACGTCTCAACGACGTGATAAGGCGCTGTATCGAATGCAATATTATTATTAGTATTATTTGTTGTTATTATTAGGTCGCGGGTCGCGACGGAAATAGAGGGGAATAAGAGAGGGCGAGAGGAGAGAAGAGGAGAGGAGAGGTGGCCATTTGTGTAGAATTGTAAACCCAAAGGCAGACCAGTCTCCGTGCGGTGCAGACTATGTAAGTAATTCAGCTCAACGAGGATGGATAATGAATAGGAATGCTCCACGCTATTATTGCGGTCTGTTCCCATTGAAAGCCCTGCGGAGATTGCTTACAGAGATGGAAATGAACTGAACATGACCTGGCTGGCTCATCGTCAGGGCTGCCCTGGTTCCATTTAGTTCATGCACCAGAACCTATTTAATGGCTTGCGTGCACTTCGCAGCATGTGGCTTGACGTCAGGCAATTTTTTTTTATATATATAAATACTGTATAGATTTGCAGGCCGGGGAGATTGCAAATGGCTGTCAGTCTTTTCCAGCAAATTAGCTCCACCTCAGGGGCAAAGTGAAAGGGTCAGAGAGACTTTGCACCGTTGACCTTGCGATGGAATAAGGACTTCTCAGGGCAACTGCGAAATTGGCTTTGAAAGGGCACTTGTCTGAGAGTTGGTATTTATTATAATAATAATAATAATAATAATAATAACAGCCCTCGCATTTGATACAGCGCCTCATCACGTCTTCGAGACGTCTCAAAGCGCTTCACAGAATATACCGTGAAGTGAAGTGTCTGCGGATTTTGTGGGCGAAACCCGGCAGCCAATTGCGCGCACGGCAGCGTCCCCCACAAGCAGCCGTGGGTTGAGTGACCGCACATTTTGTTTTATTATTTTGCTTTTGTCCCACAATTCGCTCCCATTCATTCTGCTTCGCGGATTAATTTCATCTGCAGAATAATAAATAGTAATAGTAAATAATAATAATAATAATAATAATCCTTGCATTTGATACAGCGCCTTTCATGTTCGGAAAACATCTCGAAGGCCATCGCAGGATACACTGTAAACAACAACAACAACTTGCATTTACACAGCGCCCCCTCACGCAGAGTAGCGTCCTCGAGCGCTCGTGGAGAGAGGGAAGAAGGTCTCCAGGCACGACCTGAAGATGAGGAAGGAAGGGGGCAAGGCGGAGGGATGGATGGAGAGTGTTCCAGAGTTTCGGGGCGTAGCGACGGAATTGGCGTCCGCCGATGGGGGACGCGAGGGTCAGGCAGGAGGCCATGACTGTGAGCAGTGCAAACACCCAGCAGCCAATTTGCACACAGCAAATGTCCCACCAACAGCCGTTAAGAGAACGACTCATTTTTTTTATCGGGGAATTGAGGACCAGAACACCGACCGGGAGGGACAAACTCCCTTCCCTTACAAATAGCACCGCGGGAGATCTTTAGAGGGAGCTCGGCTTAACGTCTTGTCCGGCGTTTGATAATTTCAGCTCAAACAATCCAGATTTTTTTTAAAAAATTCCTCTGTGTTATTCCCACTTACAGTCTATGAGCTCGGGCCCAACATGGATTGATGAGCGAGAGCTGTGTGTCATTTATCATTCATGCTGAATGCCTGAGTAACTATTTGCCTAAAGGCAGAAAGGCTGTGTGAGTGCTTCAATTCATTTATATTATTGTAGCCTTTTGATATGACATTTTTCGCTCAAATTAAAAGCAACTGACCGTGAGTTAGGTTTACGAGGAAATTATGCACCGTCACAATTCCCTCGCTCTCCTCTGCTCAAAACCTCCGGAGCATCGCGAGTCTGTGCCCAGCCTCAGGAACCGGGTAGACAGCCAAGAGAGAGACCCGCCGTAGAGGGTGTGGGCTCAAAGCGCTTCACGGAAAAACTGGGAATAATAATAATAATAATAATAATAATCCTTGCATTCGATGCGGCGCCTTCTCACGTCTTTTCGACACGTCCCAAAGCGCTTCACAGAACATACTGTCAAGTGTGGTGACTGTGTATTTTGTGCCAATCGCGCCCAGCAGCGTCCCACCAACAGTTTCTTTTTTTGGAGGAGGATTATTATCCCCCGGAAAGCAATCTGCCAATCGACTGACAACCGGGTTCCCACTTACTGCTGGGCAGACAGAGGCGTGTGGAGTAAAGAAAATTGCCCAACATTTCGCCCCGGCTGGGAATCGAAGCCCGGTCTCTCACTTGCGAGGCGGGTGCTCTAACCGCTGAGCTACAGGTTGCCACGATTATTAATGGAGCGCTGTGTGGAGCGAGGAACAGGTTGGTGGGGCGTTTGTTTGAAGCCTAAACTCCGACACGGACCAGTTGGGCCGAATGGCCTGTCTCTGTTCTGTGTCGCTCTACATTACTCTGTGCTCAGGGTTCAGTGGGTTTGTCGAATTGAGTTGCTTGCCGGGTTGGATGTGGGTCTGAGCGCCCCGGACAGCTCATTGTGCCGCTTGTCGTGTAATATCCCATCTCAGACAGCGTGTGGGTCCGTGCGCGCGCGCGCGGGTGCGTGTGTGTGTGCGCGCGCCTATGTGTGCATGTGTGTGTGTACCAAATCCCTGACTGTCCACAAAATACACCCGTCAATTCACTTTACACTCTATCCTCTCAAGCGCTTGGAGACGTCTCGAAGACGTGATAAGGCGCTGTGTCAAATGCAAGGATTATTATTTGTATTATTATTAAAATGTCCCGTAATTCAGATCCCGAAGCAGTGCGGAGCGCGCAGGGAATGCAAGAGCAGAATGGATCGCTTAAGGTTAATTCTGCCAATAGCTTTCTGTTTGGAGCGGTATTGAATTTTCGTTTCTCTAACAGCAAAGTGGTAGAAAGAGAAGTATAACTGTTGGAGCAAACAAATTGCAGGGAAGAATTTTTCTTTCTCTGCACAGCGTAAAAAGGCACAGAAGCAGCAGGCAGCGAGTTAATAACAAAATCCCCCACTGCGACCAGACTCGCTGTGCTTTCTGTACATGGGGGGGGATGGTTTCTGAAGCGATCGACGTTCACTTTTAACAATTACAGCTGTTAGCTACCTCAATCATTATTAACAGTCCTGACAGTGTTGGGTTAACAACTTGCGTTTACATACAGCCCCCTCATGCAGCGTAGCGTCCCAGAGCGCTTGACAGTGGCGGAGCACGACTGGATTAAATAATAATTATAATAATAATCCTTGCATTTGCATATAGCCTTTCGAGCCGTCGCAAAGCGCTTCGCAGAATATACTGTGCGCCTTGTGGGCGGGGGAGCGGTTGAGGTGGGGGTAGTGTCTCAGAGCGCTTAAGTAACGTAGAAAACGTCATTAAAAATAAAGAAAGAAAGAAAATAAAAAAAGTGATAATTTGGTCACTTCAGTCCACGACTTGTGGGACCCCGTTGCGTGCAATTGGCTGCCGCGTTTCGCCCGCAAAATACACAGTTACTACGCTTTACAGTTTTCTCCGTGAAGAACGTGAGTGTGTGTGCGTGTGAGTGTGTGTGTGTGTGCGAGTGAGAGTGTGTGTGAGTGAGAGTGTGTGTGTGTGTGAGTGAGTGAGTGAGTGTGTGTGTGTGTGAGAGTGTGTGTGTGTGAGTGAGTGAGTGAGTGTGTGTGTGTGTGAGACTGTGTGTGTGTGTGAGTGAGTGTACGTACGCGTGTGATCTCCCTGAAGAATCAGGTTTAATGAGCACTCACTTGCCCTTGTAACTGCATTGTACCAATTAGTGCACACCCTTTGAGTCCTTGTGTCCAGCGAGCATGAAGGTATAAAACAACAGGCGGCAGATTAGTGTAATGAATTAGCTTGCAAAGGAATTCGAGTCTTACAGTGTGTGGCATGTCATTGTCATTACATTACCTTTCATTAATATCTCCGGAGCACCCTCGCACTTGTCTGCATTACATTAACACCAGCGTTGACATGTAAAATATGCAGCCGCCCTTCAACGAAAGCATTGCACGGTTGCTCTCCTTGTCAGTTCTTCCCCCAGGCGCTTCTTTGAGAGATCATCCCAGTTTGGCTGGATTTGAACTCCCACCGTCGAAAAATAATTAATCATAATCCTTGTGTTTGATATCGGGTTTCGGGACCAGAGGACATCTCGAAGCGCTTCACAAGATTCGCTTTAAAGTGTTCATAATAATAATAATCCTTGCTTTTGATATAGTGATTGGCTAATTTATCTGTGGGGCGGTGGGCGGAGGGGTGGGGGGGGTAGTGTCGGTCAGGAAACCGACTGGCAGAGAGAAACTCCCTTCTCTTTTCCGATCATATTTAACGTCCGCCTGAATAGGCAGACGGGACCTTGGTTTAACGTCTCAACCGAAGGACGGCACCTCGGACAGCCTGACACACCCCAGCGCTGCATTGGAACATCATCGTAATCCTCGCATTAATCCTTAGATAAGTGCCAGGCTCCGGCCTCCTGCACGTCCCTCGTGCTCTCCATTCCACCGCACTTTCAGCCACTACGCCCCCCCCTCCCCCCAAACTCTGGAGCGCTCTTCCTCCATCCCCGCGGCTTGCCCCCAAGTCGTGCCTGAAGACCCTCTTTGACCGCCCCCCCCCCCCCACCACCGGCTCTGCCACTGTCGAGCCCCCGCCCTGCGTGAGGGGGCGCTGGGTAAATGCAAGTTGTTGTTCTCGCGACATTGAGGGCTTCACAGGATGGACATACTGTACAAGTGCGGTGACTGGTGTGTTCGATGTCCTTTGCCGACAGGGACCAAGACAGGAAATGGGCTGCCCGCCTCCGTGCCCTCCGCCCCGGAGACACTGCCTCGCTTCCTGACGGAGCCGGTCAACTCCTACATTGTGAAGAACAACCCCATTAAGCTGTGGTGCAAGGCTATGCCGGCTATGCAGATCTTTTTCAAGTGCAACGGAGACTGGGTTCATCAGGATGAACACTGGACCGCGGAGAGTCTGGATGAACACACAGGTAACCCCAGCTCCTTCACATGCCCCGCCACCCCCCCAAACCCAACCCAACCCCCATCCACGCACCCACCAACCTAGGGTGAAAATATTCCTTGAAGATGGGTACAGACTCAGTGCCAGCATCAAAGATGGTCCCCTCCCTCCCTACCGACTGCTCAGGCGCTGTGCCAGCATCAAATAAAGCTGCCTCTCGCCAACCCCCTCCCATTGCATTTGGTCCAGCGCCTTATCACGAGGGTGGGGTGGGGGGGGGGGTGGCGGGGGAAGGAAGCGTTGAATTGTCCTTCGGGTGAGACGTCGGAAAAGAGAAGGGAAGTTTCTCTCTCCCAGTCCGTGTCCTGTGGGAAGGTCGTTGCTGAAGGATGGAGACTTGTCCTTCTCTGTGCCCTCCACTGCGCATTTTGTGAATTTTCATTAGAAACTGCTCGCTGCTTTCTTGCTCCTAATCCGTTACCAACGTCATTTGGCACATCCTCGTGCCCTGTGTTCTTTGTTTAAGCAAACATTGCTTTACCTCCCTTTGTGTGAGCCGCTGTGACAATGAACTCGTGCCCTGATCTCCTTCCCCCACTCATCTGCAACTCGCATTTATTTTCCTGGCGAGGATTTTCTCAGCTTGGTGCCTTGGCAAGCGCTGCCTTCATTTAAGACCTAATTCCCCTGCTCTCTCCCTGTGCCCTCGCCCTTACATTGTTCCAAGGCTGGAGCACTCGTGTCAGTTGTTTCACGGGGTTTGAGTTTGTGAGAAAGCCCAGAGATGGGAAGGTTACACACTGCTGGGTAACCAGAGGCGTGTGCGCGCGCGTGTGTGTGCGTGTGTGGAGTAAGGAAACTTGCCCAAGGTTTCGCCCTGACCTGTCCTGCCCGTGAGTAGAAACTCAGGTCCTCTCGCTGGCGAGGCGAGGCGAGGGCTCTAACCACTGAGCTACAGGGCTCCACTGAAACTGAATAGGACTCAGATGAATGTGCAAATTAGGGGATTATGCCATTTATAAAGATAAGATTTATGCACGTTTGACTGCAGGAGCTCGGAAGTGCAAGGGCGTGGAGGGATCTGTAGGTGAATGCAATACTAAACTTCTGAAGGATTGGTTCAGTGATAAGAGCTGGCAAAGGAGCAAATGTTTGAGTAATTCGCCTGAAGCCAAGGTTAGAAATCACAGCTGGAAAGAGATACACAGTGACGCGGAGCCACATAAAAGCTACTGGAAGGGAAAAATTAATTAACGTTATTCATGACCGGAGTGGGAATAAAACAAGAGGCCACTAAATTCAGACTATTTCGGAAATAGTAATTAAATTTGCAAAGCTGCCATTTCACCCTTAGCCGAGCCTTAACTGTATGTTTTGCCCACAGTCAATTCACTTTACATTGCATTCCGTGCAGGACTTTGAGACGACTCCACAATGTGTGAAGGCGCTGTGTCAAACGCAAGGATTATTATTATAGATTAACGCAAGTTCTTTTGGTGTAATTGGCCTCTTCAAAGGTTCCCTGTACCAAGGAACGACCAGATAATAATAATAAACCTTGCATTTGATACAGCACCCTTCAAGGCGTCTCAAAGCGCTTCACAGGATATACTGCAAAGTGTAGCGACTGTATATTTTGTGGGCGAAACGCGGCAGCCAATTGCGCACAGCAGCGTCCCCCACAGACAGCCGTGGATTGAGTGACCAAATATTTTGAGAAGGAATATTACCCCCAATCGACGGGTTTCCTGCTTACTGCTGGATAAACAGAGACGAGCGCTCGGGAGCGCACGTGTGTGTGTGTGTGTGTGTGTGTGTGGAGTAAGGAAACTCGCTTGAGGTTTCGCCCGGGAATCGAACCTTGCGAGGTGAGTGGTCCAATCACTGAACGAAAGGACTCCTCAGAGCGATACGGAGTGAGCCAAAGCATTCAGAAGCGGATAGGAAGGAGCGAAAGACTTGGATTCTGCTCCTGTCACAATTCCGTGTGTATGTTCAGGGATGATTTGCAATTCTGTTGCCCCAATTAGGTTGGGAGCCAGTGAGGAAGGCACATGAATTATTGAACCTGAACACCAGGGAAGTTCCAAGTAACAAACATGTTCATCCTTAAAGTTTCTTCATTAACTTTTCATCAGACAATCTCCCAGTTTTGGGATTATTAGGCTCAGTTTTCCACTGTGTCACCTCCAAGGATTTGAAAGTGTATCTCGTTTCGTCTCTCTCTTCCCCCTCTCATTCCCCTTTGCGAGCGGAATAGAGGGTATAAATAGCGACCATTTCAGTCTCATATGGTTCTGCGAAACTAACTAGCTCTCTCACTCTCTCCTCCTTTGCTCGCTCCGTCTCTCACTGGGTCTGTCCCTTTACTCACTCCCTCACTCGCTCGCTTACTCTCTCGCTTCCTGCCACACTCACTCCTTCCCTTGCTCCCTAACCCGCTCGCTCGCTCCCTCCCATCCCTCGCTCGCTAGTCCACGCGATTTCTCCCCCCTCTACTTTTACAAAAGAAATCGAGACGCGTGAAAGACTCGGAGTATAAAACCCAACATGGGTTGGGCTGAATGGCAACCTTTTTGTGCAAAATCACTCAATGTAAGTGATTTCCTCTCTCTCTCTCTCTCTCTCCCTCTCCTGCGTCTCCTCCCCCCCCCCTCTCTCTCCCTCTCTCCCTCCCCCTCTCCCCCTCTTTACAGCCTGAGCCATGAGCTCTGAGAGCAACCAATTACCGGGTGAGGGTGGTATTTGGCTCTGCACTTTACAGTATAACCTACAAAGAGCTGTGAGTGATTTAAGCCGTTGATTGAGGGAAAGTGCACACAATTGAATCGTGTAATGCAAGTGACCCATTTTTCCGCAAAATTGGATTAACTGTTAAGGGTCACGTTCAGATGTGATGGTTAAGTGATTTCCTCAGCCCCTTGTCGTAAGCCGACTCAAAGTGGAGTCCTGTAGCTCAGCGGTTAGACAACTCGCCTCGCAAGCGAGAGGAACCGGGTTCGATTCCCGGGCGGGGCAGGGCGAACCATTAGGCAAGTTTCCTTACCGCGCACACACACGCGCACACGCGTGATAAGGCGCTGTGTCAAGTGCACGGATTATTATTATTTTATCTCTGGGACGTAGTTGGAACAATTCACACGAAAGTGATCTGGAATTTGGCAGTTTTTTCTCTCCCGACCCGAAAAAAAATCCTCCAGGTCGATCGGATCAATTGCTCGCTCACTCCAAAGCTGTTTTGGGGCATTTACTCTGTTCAAATTGTCCCCCAGTGTCTGCGTATAAAATAATAGTGTAGCTCATCCACCGTTCCCGGAGGCGAGTGCTACACAAACCGGGCTGACTTCATCGCAAAGTGCGATTCATCGAGAGTTTGATTTCCCGCGTGCGATTTTGCTTTTAATTTAATTTAAAGGAATGAAGATTCACGAGGTTCTCATCAACGTGTCGAGACAACAGGTGGAGGATTTTCACGGGCCAGAGGATTACTGGTGTCTGTGTGTGGCCTGGAATCAGCTGGGGACGAGCAAGAGCAGAAAAGCCACTGTCCGAATAGCATGTAAGCAACTGTGTCCGCGACTCACTTCACAACAATAATAATAATCCTGGCATTTGATAAAGCACCTTAACACCTATTTGAGACGTCTCAAACCGCTGCACAGGATACACTGTCCACTCTCCTCGCTGCTTATCTGCAGAGGACAGAGAGAGGTGTCTCAATCATGGGATGAGGCGCTATATCCAATGCAAGGATTATCATGATTACTTTTAATTTTATTATGTGCGTCCTTCAAATAGATCTGCGGAAAAACTTTGAGCAAGATCCACAAGGGAAGGAGATTCCACTGGACAGGAAAATTATCCTCCACTGCAGACCTCCAGAGGGAGTTCCCACAGCAGAGGTAACGCAACAATATTCAGCCGTGCTAAACAGGGACAAATAAAAGGCCTCTCTCTCTCTCTCTGTTAGATTTTGCCCACAAAATAAAGTCGATTCACTTTACAGTATATTCTGTGAAACGCTTTGAGACATCTCGAAGACATGATAAGGCGCTGTATCAAATGCAAGAGTTATTATATATTATATATATATATATATTATTTGCAGATCATTTTGTCTCCCAGTAGATCAATTTCAAGCTCTTCACCCTCACCTTCAAATCCATCCCCTCTCGAGCCACGTAGGACTCCTGTGAAACTTTTGAGATTGCGATCAGAGAGTGTGCGAGAGAGAAACACATAATAATAATAATAATAATAATAATAATAATCCTTGCAATTTGATTTAGTGCCTTATCACGTTGTTGAGACTTCTCAATATTCTGTGAAGTGGATTAACTATTTTGCGGGCGAAATGCGGTGCTGTATCAAATGCAAGGATTATTACTATTATTAAGGCGTGGTATTAAATGTGAGGGTTATTATTAGTGCGCTGGTCTGTCGTCATTTCAGAGAAATGCTCTCTTAGTAAGGACGTCAGATTGCTATCCACATGAAAATCACTCATCATTTAATTAAACTGCAGATTCCATTTGGCAAGCTTTTTAGGCAATTAAATCCGTCTCTATAATCTCTCTCTCGCTGTTTGTGTTTTAAAGTGCAAAAAAAAATCCCTAACTCCAGAAAAATGAGACTAAAATGTATTGAAAAGCCCAAACCCTTTGGTTAATTCTCGGCCACTGGCTATAATTTTATTTTTTCGGGTCCTTTCTCATTAAGAAAGCCCTTCGTCCCATTTGATCTCATCCCTCCAGAACAGCCACACTCTCGTTTCCCCCCACCCCCCTGCCCGCCCCCCCCCCCACACAGCATTGAGCTGCTGGCCTCCACCGCCCCATTCCCCTCTACCCCTTCCTGGTAACCCTCTTCCAGTCGATCACTCCCCTCTGGGTAAATCTTTGCGGAGTGCTGTAGCGTATGGGTTAACGCCCTCGCTTCGCAAGCGGGTTCGATTCCCGGACGGGACAGGGCGAAACCTCAAGTTTCCTTACTCCACACGCACACACGCACACGCACACACACACGCGCCTCTCTGTTTACGTCGCAGTAAATAGGAATGTGTGTGTGTGTGTGTGTGTGACAGCTAAGCCACACGTGGGCTAATCTCTATCAGGCTCCTAGTGTGACCTGCTCACCTCTCACTTGGGTGTGCTGACTCCAAACGTAGCGGCAGCAGAGAGATTTATAAGCCGTAGCTGGGGACCGATTGACTGGCTCACGTAATGAGAGAGATATTAAACAAAGTGAAGGTAAGAGGTGCTTTTTAGCTGTGCGTGGCTGTACTCTGATTAAGCGATTGAATATGCCCTCTGCGGATTAATTTCAACAAAGCAATGGGTAATCTAATGCACGCTGGACTCCCGAGCGTGAATGATGAATGCAGACGAAGGAAGATTAATGGGTTCAATTGATGAAATAACAGAAGCAACGTAAAGATGTAAGAGAAGGAGATAGATTCAGTGATAGGGCACTTTTGATTAATCATCTCCTTGTAATTTCTGCTGACAGCGATTCCTTTCACCCCTGGATAATATCCGTTTGCCACCAAATTCAGTCTTAGAAAAGTAATAATAATCCTTGCATTTGATATCGTACTTTATCACATCATCGAGACGTCTCAAAGCGCTTCAGAATACACTGTAAAGTGGAGTGACTGTATATTTTGTGGGCGACATTGCGCGCATCAGTCTTATTATTGACTGGTTTGTTTTCTGGGGAGGGATTATTAGCCCCGATAAAGCCAATCGACTATCCAACTGGGGTTCTCTGGCTTGCGAGGCGAGTGCTCTAACCACTGAGCTACAGGACAGTTCCACCGTCTGAGGAGGTGCTTTGAGGATGGATTAGCGAGCGTTGCCAGGAGAGGGCAGATGGGACAAGAGCAGCTGTGTTGACCGCTGTAAATATGGGTTGGCTCAGGGCAGCTTGTTTGGCGAACTCGCTGTCAGTCAGCATGTGGCAATTATCGCCAGTAATTGGAACAAATGTACCAATTAGACAAATGTCTCCCTCGACACTCAATGCGGGGTTATTGAGCAAATCCATTTCCGTCCTTGCTACAGTTTCCGCTATAGATCTTTCGATTATTGGCACCCCCCTGAACTGCAGTTTGGACTCAGATTGCGATGCAGAGGGTGTTTTGCCTGAATCAGCGCCTCTCTCTGGGTTCTGCCTTGGTTTGGGACAACTGGGCGACGAAGGGAGGGAGAGACGGATAGGAAAGGAAGAAAACGAGAGGGAGGAAAACAATAATAATCATTGCGTCTGACACAGCGCCTTATCACGCCTTCGAGAGGTCTCAAAGAGCCTCACAGGATACACTGCAAAGAGTAGCGACTGCGGGTTTTGCGGCCGAAGGAGCAAGCGAGAGAAAGAAAAAATAATTTGAGTTATTATATTGCTTTCAGGAGGTGTCCGCCTGTCTCAGTCGATCGCACTCTCTCCTCTGAGTCAGGACTTTGAACTCACAGTCTAGGCTGATGCTCCAGTTGCAGTACTGGGGGGGGGGGGGAGAAGGTATTTGGTGGGTGAGGCGGGAGGGGAAAATATCTATGGCCTTTTCAGGCGGACGTTGAAGATCCCGTGGCGCTGTTCGAAAAGAGAAGGACGTTTCTCCCAATTCCCCCCCCAGTTAAAATCGGTCAATTACTTGCTGGCTATCTGCGGGAATGTTTGGACCGCGATAAGGGACCTTTGCAAACGGAGGCATTGTTATTTTTACTGACGAGAAGGAAAATGTGCTGCTTGCGAGATTGTTTCCACTTTCCGCAGAATGTTCTGAGGTCTTGAACCACATTAGCTGTACTGGGAGGCACTGACTCACAGGCAAACGCCTAAAAGGATAACACGTTTAATTTTAATTTGGGATGAAAACTGAAAGCAATCACTTAGGCTACAGCTGGGATTTATCAGTTGGGATTTATCAGTTAAGAGGACTCGATCTTACTTTCCTCGCCACGTAATTCAGTATAAAGAGAACGATACAATCATGTTTTCTTTTAGGGAAAGGATTCTTTGAAAGGCGGACTGGGTCTTTACTGTCACAAATTATGATCAGGATAAAGTCAGAGCCATAGCAACAAGATTATAATAATAATAATAATAATCCTTGAATTTGACGTATCACACCTTCGAAGGCGTCTTAAAGCTCTTGACTGCATAACAGTTTATCGAGCAATCTGTTTCAGACAACTTGCGTTCATACAGTAATAATAATCCTTGCCTTATCGCGTCTTCAAAGCGCTTCGCAGAATATACTGGAAAGTGTAGTGACTTTATATTTTGTGGGCGAAAAGCGGCAGCCAATTTATCGTCACAATTAATTATTCTTAGTAGTAGTAGTATTATTATTATTATTGTTCTCTCCTTGTCGCAGGTTGTGTGGTTGAAGAACGAGGAGTCTATTGACCTGGAGCAGGACACTAACATCCACACGGCCCCTGACCACAGTCTGACCATTGAGCGGACGAGGCTTTCGGACTCAGGAAACTACACTTGCTTGGCGTCAAATGTGGTCGCCAGACGCCGCAGCGTAGCGGCCACACTCGTCGTGTTTGGTAACACATACGTCCATCCCACGCTCCACACTCACTGGATCCCTCTCACACTCACTGGAACCCTCTCACACTCACTGGAACCCTCGCACACTCACTGGATCCCTCTCACACTCACTGGAACCCTCGCACACTCACTGGATCCCTCTCACACGCACATGATCCCTCTCACACTCACTGGATCCCTCTCCCTCAGAGTCAGCGAATTGGTTGGCAGTCCCCACCCTCACCCCCGAGTAAAAATGGTCGTTCTCTTTGTGGCTGTGTGGGGGGGGTGTGGCGTGTGTATGTATGAGCGTGTGTGTGCGTGTATATATGCGCGAGCGTGTGAGCGGTGGGTGGGGTGGGGTGTGTTGGGGAAGTAAGACTTACCACCAGAATATGAGCTCTGGCAGTGAGCCTTACTTCCCCAAGTAACCGGACAGAAACCGGTCGCCTTTGGGGGGGGCGCAGGGGCGAGGGAGGGGGAGAGGGGGAACCGTCTAACCCGTCTCCCCCACGCGTGCGTTGCAGTGAACGGCGGGTGGTCCACGTGGACGGAGTGGGGGCCGTGCAGTGTGCGGTGCGGCCGAGGCTGGCAGAAGAGGACCCGTACCTGCACCCACCCGGCACCCCTCAACAGGGGGGCTTTCTGCGAGGGTCTGTCTGCCCACAGGATCGTCTGCAGCTCCCCCTGCCCAGGTCAGAGATCACCACGCACACGGACGCACACACACAGAGACCCAAAGAGACAAGAGAGACAATCTCGACCCCCCCCAACCCCTCGTCGCATCAACTTGATTGGACTCCCTGTAGCTCAGGACCCGGGTTCGATTCCCGGCCGGGTCAGGGAAAACCTTAGGCAAGTTTCCTTCCTCCACACACACACACACACACACACACACAGGGACACACACAAAGACACATATACACACACACAGACGCACACACACACACACACAGACACACGCGCACACACACGCGCCGTGCGTGACTGTAACGTGTTGTTGCGGCTCAGGTTGAGACCTGTTTTCCCTGGTGTTGGCAGTGGACGGAGGCTGGCAGGAGTGGAGCCGCTGGTCGGCGTGCGGTTTGGAGTGCGTCCAGGAACGTTTCCGCGCCTGCCTGGCTCCCCCCCCTCAGCACGGCGGCAAGATGTGCGAGGGAGCAAACCAGGAGGCGCGTAACTGCACAGAGGGGCTGTGCATCCAGAGTAAGTGCAACCCGTCTCTCTCTCTCTCTCTCTCTCCCCGTTACAGCAACAACTCGCATTTACACAGCACGCTTCACACAGCGCAGTCCGCACAGCGGTGTGGGAAGGGGGCGTTGGGGGGGGGGCACACCTCCAAGCAAAGGGGAGAAGGGGAGGTCACCCGGTTGTTGGTCGATTGGCGGATCGGGTTCCGATGGGGGTAATAAATCCCACCACAAATAAAACGTGGTCGCTCGCTCCGCTGCTGTTTGTGGCTAGGTCGCCGGGCGCAGTCGGCTGCCGGGGTTCGCCCGCAAAACACGCAGTCGCTCCGCTTCACGGCAGCGCTTCGCGGAGCGCTTTTGAGACGTCTCGGCCACGTGATGAGGCGCCGTATCAAATGCGAGGATTATTATTGTATAAAGGGGGAGGTGGTGGAGGGGGAGTGAGGTGGATTGATGGAGTCAGAGTTTAGGTCGTGGTGGGGTGGGGGTGGTGAACGTGTCGAGCAGGCGGAGTGAATGGGAAATGGCAGATACCTTGGGGACAAACTGCGAAGTGATGGTTTGCGTTCCTTTTTTTAGTGTATTATTATTTATCTATTCTTATATATTTTTTATTGTTGTTCTTGTTCTCCCCACAGACCACAAACGGCTACAAGAAGTGCAGCCTCAAAGTAAGTTGGAGGGAAGGTGGGGTGGGGGGGGGGTGTTGGGAGGGAGGGAGGGCGAGTGAGGGAGAGATGGAGGGAGGGAATGAGAGAGAGAGAGGACGAGACAGAGATAGTCCCTGAGAGAGGCAGAACGTAAGGTCGGTGTGACTTTCAACCACAAACCAGCGAAATGCTCGTTGCCCAGAAGGTATGAAAGAATTGAGTTTAATATTGCACTGCGGGCCAGATTCCTCCCATTTGTAGCCAGCAGACGACGGCGGTAGAAACCCTGGTCCGTATGGGTTCAGCTGCTTTGCAGAGAAAGATGTTAACTGGATTTTTTTTTAGGCAGCGCAAAAAAAAAACGACTGGTTAATTGTCTTCAAGGTGCTTAATTGATCGCGATCATTAGTATTACGAGCAGATTCATTAGGGCTGAGTGCATGCTAATTGCTGTGTGACTGAACGGATAACTCTGAACATCACAGCCGTAATGTACCAACAGTGGGCAAAACGGCTCTGATCACGGGGAGGGAAGAGAAGCAGTTGGGTGGGTGTGGAGTCACGTCGAGCTCTCAAGCGAGAGGACCTGGGTTCGGTTCCCGGGTGTGTTCCGTGAAGAAGCTTTGAGACGTTGTACCAAATGCAACGATTATTATTATTATTATCTGATTATTCTTATTATGTTTAAACGATCCCCTGTTGCAAACGAGAAGCGAGTTCCCGTACAATAATCAATTGGGTGGTTGAGACGTCTCGAAACGCTTCGCAGAACGTACCGTAAAGTGAGTTGACTGCGAAAGGATGGATGGTGGTGTATTGGATAACAGTCCTGCCTGTTCCTCTGCTCTAGGTATCGACACTAACAGTGACGTGGCACTGTATTCTGGGCTGGGCACAGCGGTGCTGGCTGTGGCAATGCTGGTGGTTGGCATCACGGTGTACAGGAGGAGTCAGAGTGACTATGGCGTCGACGTAATTGACTCGTCTGCCCTCACTGGGGGGTTTCAGTCATTCAACTTCAAGACTGTGAGACAAGGTGGCTGACCCGACCTCTCAACCCTCTCTCGCTTGGCTCGGCTAACATCAATCATCCCGTTTGCTTTATTTGGGCGCTACAAAATCCACGGCCGCTCCGCCTGTGGCTGAACTTCAGGCACCACAGGAATAGGAGGAGGCCATTCAGCCCCTCTCGAGCCTGTCCCGTTCGCTCGTGGCCCGATCTGTGCCTCACTCGACCCATCGATACAGCGCATTGCCACGACTTCGAAACGTCTCAAAAGCGCCTCGCGGGACACACTTAAAGTGTAGTGACTGTGTGTTTCGTGGGCGGGTGAAACGGCCACAGTGAGACAGAGAGGCGAGCGGGAAGGCAGTAGATTTGACGAGCTCTCTCCCCCCCCCCACCCCCCCCACCACCACCACCCCCCATACTATTTTTTGACTCGGACTCTTGTAATCACCATTGAAATTTTCCTGGCGTTTTTTTTCCCGGCCCCCAAAAAAAGCCCAGCGAGCTCACTAATGGCAAGAGATAAACTGAATCAATCGAGAGAGTACTTCATTCGAGTTATTGCCTTGACAAAAAAAAAAACTCCTGCGCTGCCTTGATTAATTCCCTAAGTAGTCACTTTCCCCGATACTTGTCTTCTTTCTCCCCAGCAATTGACTGACCTGTTGCAGATTGATTCCTCGCTCGTTGTTTCTAAGGAAACCTTGACAAACGAAGCCGTAACGGCGGAGGTGATGCCTCTTTCATTCACCCACTCTCTCCGTCTAACTTTAAGAGACGAGAGAAGATGGGATTGTTGTCCTTGGACGCAGGGAAGGTTCAGGGGAGATTTAATGCAGGTGTTCAAAATGATGAGGGGTTTTCATGGAGTAATTAAGGAGAAACTGTTTCCTCTGGAGGCAGCACAGGCACGATGGGCCGAATGGCCTCCTTCTGTGCTGTAGGATTCTACGACTATGATTCCATGACTGTTTGGGTAGGACGCTACTGTGCGCAATTGGCTGCCTCGTTCCGCCCACAAAATATTACAGTCACTCCACTTTACAGTGCGCCCTGTGAAGCGCTTTGAGTCGTCGCGATGACGTGACAAGGCGCTGCATCAAATGCAAGGGTTATTATCATTATTAATAATCTTTTCCAGGTAATTCTCTGCTTCTGAACTCTTCGCTGCAGCCTGACCTAACAGTGAGTAGGACCTACACTGGGCCAATCTGCTTCCAAGACCCAGGAGATAAAGACATAAAGACTGAGTCTCCCCTGTTTGACTCCTTGCCGGGCATCAAGGTGAAGGTACAGAGCTCCCTGATGGTTTCCCTGGGAGTCGGCGGAGGAGTGAAGTATCACAGCAAAGGGCCCTCAAGGACGTTTCCTCGTCACAGCAGCAAAGCCCTGGATAAAGCCGCAGCTGAAAGTAACTCCTCGGGCCCTCACCACCTCATGGCGGCCTCCATGGTTCTGCACACGACCTCGGGTACGTTCGGCTGTCTAGGCGGGTGCCTGATCGACCCCGTTCAAGGTGAGCACTCGCTCTGCGTTTCACAGGCTACGTCGCGATCGGATGTGCGTGTCCCCCTATAGAGGCTCTGACACACAGGCACTCGCCTCTCTTTACACCAACTTGGCAGCACGAAGCGCGCTATCTAAATGCGAGTTGTTGTTGTTGTTGACCCACGGGCCAATTCTTTTTTCGTTGTTGAATGTCAGGAGTCAGCATGGTCGTTCCGCTCGGGGCCATTCCCGAAGGCAATTCCTGGGAACTGTACGTCGTGATCCAGGACCGAGAGTCCAGGTGAGTAAGGAACAAGGTTTCGGCGCTCACTGGCTCAGTCGGTTTCCGAGCCCAAAGCTTGTGGGGTTGAGCCCCCTTATCGGGGACTTTGAGCTCATAGACTAGACTGAAACCCCCCCCTCCCGCCCCCGAACAGTAGTGCTTGGGGGGGAGGGAGAGAGAGAGAGCGAGAGAGCCTCATCACATCGCCGAGACGCCTCATAGCGCTTCTCAGGATACACCGTAAAGTGCAGCGGCCGTGTATTCTGTGGGCGAGACGCGGAGGACGGTTGCCCAGAGCGACGTCCCCACAAAACAGTCGTGAAGTGAGTCGGGAACGTCCTGGCAGTGGCTCGGACATGTCACGTCCCAAACTCCAGACGGTCTCCCCGGATAATTATTGATTATTATTCCCAATTGTAACTTGGGGGAATTGTCAGCCAGGACACAGGGAAAGAGAGAGAGAGAGAGAGAGAAACTCCCTTCCCTTTTCGACCAGCGTCGCGGGAGATCACGTGGATTTAACGTCCACCTGTACAGGCAGACGGGGGGTGGGGTTTAACGTCTAATCCAAAGGACGACTTGCAAGAGGCCAAATAACTGCATCGGGATTTGCTCCCCAGACACTGGAAATAAACTCTAGACTTTTGGGGGGTGGGTGGGGGGGGGTTTAATCTGTTCGCTGTAGAAACCTCCTTCTTTGCCCCTCGTCGTCCGAAGCACCAGCTCAGCTGCGCTGAACGGGGACGTTAATTATTCAAAGGGCTGCGTCCCGTTTAATCTCGATTCCCGGGCGGGACGAAACCTTGGGCGAGTTTCCTTAACTCCACACACACACACACACACCTCTGTTTACCCAACAGTAAGTAGGAACCCGGTTGTTAGTCGATTGGCCGATCGCTTTTCCAGCGGCAATAATCCCTCCCAAATAAATAGATAGATAACTAAATAATAATAATAATTTGGGTCCCAGAGAGAGATTGTGTGTTTGCTCTTGTTTCCCTGTTTGCAGTTTGCAGTTGGAAGGAGCTGAGACTCTGTTGAGTCCGGAGGTATCTTGTGGTCCATCGGGATTAACCCTGTCCTGCCCCATCGCCCTGACTGTCCCACACTGTGCTGTGATGTGCTCCCAACAGTGGAACATTAAGCTGAGGAGACGGGTCACCCGGGGAAAGTGGGAGGTAGGGTGATTGATCGCGCTCTGTCCTCTGGGTCAGACGGATGTGGGTTTCAGCCCCACGTCAGGACTTTGAGCTCACTTTGTTGTCATCGTCGTCGTCGTTGTTTAACCAGCTCAGCTCACACTCCACCGTCTGGCGAGTCTTTGGAAACGGTTTTTCTTTTTAGGCTCCAGCAACACACGCACACACACACACACGTACCACACACACACACGCTCACACACGCGCAAATGCACACACACACAGACCACACACACACATACCACACACACACACGCGCGCGCGCACACACACATACATTCCACACACATACATACCACACACCACACACACCCGCCACACACACACACACACACACACACACCCTCCCCCTCCTTCCCCCTCCCCGCACTGACCTTGCTGCACTTCCCGTTAACGTCCATGCAGTTTACTGCGGGAAATAAAAAGGTTTGGTAACTCTGCATTTCCGAGACAGAATTAGTGGTGAATTTATAGAGAGCAAAAAAGTCAATGCGGCTTTGAAGGTTTGATGTGATGTGATGTGATGTGATGTGATGTGATGTGATGGGAGGAACCCTAAAAGGCTCGATGTCTCTGTTCTGCGTGTGTGTAGGTTTGTGTGTGTTCGTTCGTGTGTGTGTATGTATACGTTTGCACGCATGTACATGTTTGTATGTGTGTGTCTGTGTGAGTGTATGTGTTTGTCTGTGTATCTGTGTGAGTATGTGTGTATGTGTGTTTCGGAGTCCTGTAGCTCAGTGGTTAGAGCACTCGCTTTGCAAGTGAGAAACCTGAGTTCAATTCCAGGCAGGTCAGGGCGAAACCTTGGGCAAGTTTCCTTACTCCACTCGCCTAATAATAATCCTCCAAAACAAAAACCAATAATAAAAATTGGTCATTTTCAATCTACGACTGTTTGTGGGACATTGCTGTGCGCAATTGGCTGCCGCGTTGGCCCACAAATATACAGTCAATTCACTTTACAGTATATTCTGTGAAGCGCTTTGGGACGTCCTCCCGACGTGAAAAGCGCTATATCAAATGCAAGGATTATTATTATTATTATATCTGCGTATATGTGTGTGTGTGTGTATGTGTGTGTGTATATGTGTGTGTGTGTGTATGTGCATCTTTGGGGAAACCCATCACCGTGTTTAAGAGTCTCCAAACCAAGCTGAGAATTCCCGCGCCCCCCGCCCCCCGCCCCCCGCCCCCGCCCCCGCCCCCCCCCCCGCCCCCGCTTACCCTAACCGATCGATCGGTCTTCCCCAGGAAGTCATGTCGCTGGAAGATGAGTCCACTTCTTGTTACTGCCTGATGGAGGCGGTCTCCTCCCACATCCTCCTGGAGCAGCTCGGCACGTACGCGCTGGTGGGCGAGGCCCTGACGGAGAGCGCAGAGAAGAGGCTGAAACTCGCCATCTTCGGCTCCGAGTCCTGCGACGCCCTGGAATACACCTTCCGCGTGTACTGCATGAACGACACCCCGAGCGCACTGCAGGTGAGTCGGACACGGCTCACGCTGCTCCCGGTTGGCTCCTCCACGGGCCGCACTTATCGCACGGGATAGCGTCCCCCGGTGAGCTTGGCGGTGCCGGGGCTCTGAGGCGCTATCCTGCGGGGAGGGGGCTACGCACGTGCGTGTTGTTGTTGCTGTTGTTGTAAACGTGTTGCTTTCTCCGCTCCCAGGAGGTACTGAGGGAGGAGCGAAACCATGGCTGCCAACTACTGGAACATCCCAGGACTTTACCTTTCAGAGCAAACTCTTATGGCCTTCAAGTCTCTCTCCTGGATATGCCCCAACTCTCGTGGAGAACTAAGCCACCAGCTGCACTTCAGGTACCTGGGATTTTTCTTTAACTCCCTCCCTCTCCGTCCCTGCTTTATCCCCCAGTGGAATCCCGTAGCATAGCGGTTAGGGAGCCGGCCTCGCAAGCGGGCAGGGGCGAAAAAACCTTCGGCGGGTTTTCTTCCTCCGCGTGAGTCCGTTGACCCAGCGGTAAGTGGGAACCCGGTTGTTAGTCGATTGGCGGATCCGGGGGTAATAATCCCTTCGACCCGATCCGAGGCTGTTTGTGGGGACGTCGCTGGGCGCAATTGGCTGCCGCGTTTCGCCCCCAAAGCGTACGGTCAATTCACTTGACCGTGTGTCCTGTGAAGCGCTTTGAGACGTCTCAAAGACGGGATAAGGGGCTGTGTCGAACGTAAGGATTATTATTATTATTATTCCAAAAGATGAGCAAGTCAGGGAGGGAGCTAGTGGGTACCAGTGAGTGTGCGTGAGGGAGGGAGCGCGCGAGTGTGTAACGAAGGGCAGATTCGGAGCTTGGCTGCCCAGTGTCTCAGGGCGGGAGGTTACACCAGTGAACCACGACACAACCTGGCACATTGGAAGGCGGAAGGAGTGTTTAAGGAGAGGCGAGTGACGTGTCATTTAATTTCTGCCTTGTCCTCTCTCCCAGCAGGAATTTGCCTTTTCCCACATTTGGTGCAGTAACCAGCGGCCTCTGTCTTGTGCCTTCACCGTGGAGAAATTCAGCTCCACCAACGCCCAACTCTCCTGCAGGATCCGCGTCCAACAGCTCAAAGGCAGCGATCAGACCTTCCACCTCTGTCCGTGCATCCTCAAGGTGAGAGAGAGAGAGAGAGAGATATAACCTTAAGCAAGTGTCCTTACTCCACACACGCCTCTGTCTACCAGCAGTAAAGTAGGAACTCGGTTGTTAGTCGATTGACGGATCGCTTTCTTCCCTCCATAAAATAATAAATCAAAAAATAATAATAATTTGGTCACTCACTCAATCCACGGCTGTTTGTGGGACGCTGGAGACAGACAGACAGACGGTGGAAGCAGAGAATGTGCTTCGTTTCAAGAACAAATGAGATAGATTTCTGCTAGAAAATAATACCTGGGGGAGATGGGGGGGGGGGGGGGTCTGGGGAGACCGTGTCTAGTTTGGGGACACGACATGTCAAGGGACTTGCCAGGATGGTGGAAGGCGAACTAGATGGACCGTGATCTCCTCTCGCCAGCAAATCCTTATGTTCTCACGTCCTTTCAGAGTCAGAGAGAAGCGGTTCAATACCAAGCACAAATGGGCAGCTCGGTGACCAGCTTGCCCGGCCCCAAAGTTTTTAAGATCCCTTACTCCATCCGACAGAAAATCTGCTCTACATTTGATGTCCCCAGCGCGTCAGGCAAAGACTGGCGCCTGTTAGCACAAAAACTGCACATTGACAGGTACGTGGTTTAGAGTTTAGAGTCCTCCCCTCGCAAGCCGCGGGACCCGGGTTCGATTCCCGGATGGGGTCAGAGCGAAGCCTTAGGCAAGTTTCCTTACTCCACGCACACACACGCACACACACACACACCATTTACCCAGCGGCAAGTAGGAACCCAGTTGTTAGTCGATTGGTGGATCGCTTTTCCGGGGGTAATAATCCCTCCAAAAAAAAAATTAATTTGGTCGCTCAATTAACGACTGTTTGTGGGACAAGGCTGTGCTCAATTGGTCGTCCAAAAAATATACAGTCACTCCACTTTACAGCGTATCGTGTGAAGCGCTTTGAGACGTCTCAACGACGTGATGAGGCGGTTGTGATTGTTATTATATCATTAATTCCTACGTTCCCAGGAACCTGAGCTATTTTGCAATGAGAAGCAGTCCGTCCAGTGCCATCTTAGACATCTGGGAAGCCCAGCATCAGAATGATCGAGACCTGGACTCCTTAGCCAGTGCCCTGGAGGAGATTGGGAGGATCCAGGGTTCAAACCCCGTCAGAGCGGACGTCAAAGAGAAGACAGACTACAACTACGGTGGTTGAGGTGGGGGAATAGCTGGTCTGAGGAGATAAACTGAAACCAGCTTCGCTCGCCCCACTCAAAGGAACGATTTCTCAGGAAATGCAAAAAAAAAAAAGGTTTAATGTCCAGATGTTTGGATGCGTATGTACATAAGGAATCAGTATATATATATATATATATTTCCATTAAGGGTGCACCAGTTACTGCTAATTGTATCAATTAATCATCAAATTATTTGATTGAAATTTGCGACGTTACGGACATTCAACTCTCTCTGAGTGCGTTGAATGTCAATTGGATGTGTGTAAGGCACTGCCGTGTGGCCTCGTGGTTAGAGCACTCGCCTCGCAAGCCAGAGGACCCGGGTTCGATTCCCGACACGTTAGGCAATTTTTCTTCACTCCCCGCGCTACACGCCTCTGTTTACCAAGCGGTACGTAGGTTGTTATTCGATTGGCGGATGGCTTTTCCGGGGTTAATGATCCCTTCAAAAAATAATAATAATAATAATTCGGTCACTCGATCCACGACTGTTTGCGGGGACGCTGCTGTGCGCAATTGGCTGCCGCGTTTCGCCCACAGAACACGCGTGCGATTCGCTTGTACGGCGTCTCCCGTGAAGCGCTTCGAGGCGTCTCGAAGAGACGTGATGAGGCACTGGGATCAAACTCGAGGGTTGTTATTATTCTGAGGTGGGAGCCACGTGGTTGATCTGGGCCGGGTTTGGTCTGTGCTCTCTCTCTCTCTCTCTCTCACACCTCCGACTCAGAAGGTTGTGGGTTCAATCCCTGCATCAGTGGCTCTATCCCCACAGCTCAGGCCGATGCTCCAATCAGATGAGACATTAAACCAAGGTTCCCGTCTGCGTGACAGACATTAAAGCTCTCCCCGAGGCTCTATTCGACTCCAGTTTCTCCACGTCGGCTCACTCACTTTGTGACTGTTTGTGGGACGTTTCTGCGCGCAGACGGGGTCAATACAGACAGTTATTTGGGCTCTCGGAGCTGAATTCAGGGCGTTTTCGTGCTGTGACCCAAACCGAAACTCACTTCACACTCCGTGCAATGGAGAGAAGGTTGAGGGGAGATTTATTAGAGGGTGTTCAAAATTAGGAGGGGTTTCCACGGTTCCTCCCTATGTGTCTCCTCCGGCGGGCGGGCGGGTCGGTAACCAGAGGACACCAGATAATCGGCAAAAGAATCAGAGGGGAGACGAGGAGACTTGTTACGGTCCGGAACTCACGGCCTGAAAGGCTTGGTGGAGGCAGATGCGATAATAACTTGCGAAAAAAGGGAATTGGAGAGGGATTTAAAGAGGAAAACTGTGCAGGGCTGCGATGGGGTAAGAGCGGAGGGAGTGGGACTCGTCGGCAGCCGCCACAGACTGGCACGATGGGCCGAATGGCCTCCTTCTGTGCTGTTAAGATTCTACGATGGAGGGTGAATTGGCCAATTTATTGGGTTTGGAAAGCAATGGATAACAGACCTTACATCAAACACTGGTTCAATTGATTGCTAAATGATTGTTGCACTCTTATATTTACTGCATCTGCTTTCATTCCTCTCTCTCTCGTTCGTCCCTTGTGATTCTCGTGTTGTCCACAAGCATTTATGTGCAGCTGTTCTTGTTGAGGACATATTAACGGATAACCGATCTCTTTGACTGTCTCCTTTCTGCTGTTGACACAAAGTGACCCTCATGCAGGAATAACCGGTTTTAAAGGGTTACTCCCCTTTAATGGCTTTACTGTTGTACTCTCCCACCCACACACAACATAAAACATTCTTTCTGTGGATTAAGAGTGCGTCTCGATTTATTTATCCTTTATACGCGGTCCTGGCTGACACTCCAGCCCGGCACTGGGGGCAGAGAGAGAGAGAGAGAGGGAGGGGGGGTTGAGAGCGCGAGCGCAGCATTATCCTTCGGATGAGACGTTAAACCTCACTCCCCGTCTGCCTTGTTCCTGTGGACGTGAAAGAAAAGGGGAGGGCGGTTTTCTTTTATTATCGCTTTTCCGGGGTTGATAGCCCCTTCGAGAAAAAGAATAATTATAATAATTTGGTCACTCGATCCACATTTCGCCCACAAATTCAATCCACTTTCCAGTGTATCCTGCGAAGCGCTTTGAGACGTCTCGTCGACGTGATAAGGCGTTGGACCAAATGCAAGGATTATTATTAAAGAATACACTTCCCTTTAGACGGAGAGAAAAGAATTGCCAGCTTGGTTTCCCCCCCCCCTCCCCACTCCCCACACACAAGGAGCTGACAAATAAAAATGATTGCATTCGATATGGCGCCTTATCACGTCTTCGAGGCGTTTCAAAAGCGCTTCGCTGCAGAGTGTGGTGACTGTGTCCTTTGTGGGAGAGAGGGGGTGGGGGGTGGGGGGGCTAACTTTACTGTGAGCAGCGTTCTGTCGGACGTTAGTGAACGCAGTGTTTAGCATTCCCGGGGAGATGCCGGCTTTCTTGCGGATTCGGCGGTTGATGTATTGCAAGTAGCTCCGTAATATGTCACTGATAACGCACCTCAACAAAATGACGCTTGAGAATTTATCATCTGCTGATAGTCTTTCAAATCCTCTGCCGCGTGTGCGTGTGTGTGTGTGTGTGTGCGTGTGTACGTGTCTTGGCTCCCGTTAACGCCCGTGTTTACAGACGACACTCTAATACTGTGGGACGTCCCAGCGCTCAATTTGGCTGCTTATCCACTCCCCTACTCGCTCCACGTCCCCCCTGCCCAGCTCGCCCCGCCAGCGACGGTCAAGCCCTTCAGCCTCTCTCTGCCCCTCTGTCCCTCCTCTCCAAACCGTGCCTACTATTCCCCCTCCTACCCCCACCCTCCCCTCCACCCCCTCCTGATCCCAACCCCCAAATCCCTGACTGTCCAGCGCCTTGAGACGTCCTCCCGACATCAATCCACAGTCACTCCACTTTACGGCCTATCCTGCGAAGCGCTTTGAGACTCCGCAAAGACGTGATAAGGGGCAACACCACCATCACCTATTATTACGACACAAACAGGGAAGGGGGGAGTTAGGCAGCGAGGATGTAAAAGTCCAGCGCGGCTGCTTTTTCAGCTGAAGTGGTCGGCGTTTAAAGTGCTGAGAGGCCATTGCCTCTCCTCTCGCTCCACAATAGCTCCGAAATAGCGACCTGTGCGGTTCAAAGTCACTTCCGAGGCTGAAGGCACTCGCAAACCTCTTTGCCGTGACCTTGGTGGGAGTTGGCGCTTGCAATTCCTATCCAAGCCTCTGAATAACTCAATCCCGCTGCGCTATTTTCTTTGAGGCCAAACATTTATCCCTCTGAGTGCCTGTGTGCTAATCACACGCTCACTCACACACACACACAGACTAAACCGTGAGATGCTTCGGCTTCAATCAAAGGGCATCTTTGAGCCTTGATTTCTTTTCAGCGCAGCGATAACAGGTTTAAACCCGTGCTTTCCTTTTGCACTTGAGACGACAGAACGAGAGGGTGAGGGCTTTTTAACGAGTCGGGAAAAGGGGGCAATTAATTTCAGGACAGGAAGGAGCCGTTCATGTCAGGAGGACAGTTACCCGAGTTTGGGGGCTGGGATCAGGAGGGGTGGCGGGCGGGGAGGAGAGGGGGCAGGAGGGTGATCGAAGGTACGGTCGAAGAGGAGGGCCTTGAAGGAGCCGAGGGAGGTTCAGAGGGCTCGTTGGGGCATAACCCCTATCTCACAATTGTCTCTCACCGACAGGCAATAAGAATAATAAGAATAAATAATCCTCGCATTCGATACAGCGCCTTATCACGTCTCTGAGACGTCTCAAAGCGATTCACAGAACATCCTGTAAAATGAATTGGCTTCAGGCAGGGCAGATGCTAACAACTCTCTGGGGAAAACATTTCTCCTCGTCTCCCCTCTGGTTCTTCTGCCAATTATCTTGAATCTGTGTCCCCTGGTTACTGACCCACCCACGCACCAGTGGAAATAGTTTCTCCCCTATCTACTCCATCAAAACCCCACATCATGTTGAACTCCTCTATTAAATCTAATGATAATCACTGCAGCTAATTAAAAGTGGGTTCCACGGAGACTCGCAGGAATGTTCACACTCAAACCAGGAGCGATATCAATGACTGGCGTTAACACAAGGCCTTTTAACTAAACATAGGAGTGAGGAGATAATAGTTTGACACGATGGGAGGTCTTTAACGTCCACCTGAATAGGGCACAGACGAGGAGCTCGGTTTAACGGCTTATTCCGAAGGCCGGGACCTCCAGTACTCTACAGCCCTCTCTCCCGCTCCCCCCCAGAGAGAGACATCTCAACCACTTGATAAGGCGCCACATCAAATTCACTTAACACCAGGATTTTGCACGTGGTTTCCTTCTTGCAGTCGGTCGTGCTCTAACTCCGTGGTTGTGTCCTGAAATTGCCCTTTGCAACTCTAAACCCATGGTCCCAATTAAGCATTATTCACCTCGAGGTCTCCTGGGCGATGTCTCCTTTCAGCTCAGTCTGTCTAACTGTTGCTCTGACACTAACATAATATATAGTTGCTGTGCAACGCATTTATACAATGCCTTTCATGTGAGATAGGGTCCCGGAGCACTGTATAATTCCTTCCTCACCAAACACACACGCACATACGTGCGCACACATGCGCTTCGACTGCAAACTGGATACCAATTGGGTTTGAATTGGATTGAGTGCTTGAGAATTCTACCTGTGGCTGACATCTACACCTGGAAAATACTCTGTAGTCTGGAATGGAATGCACTCTCTCTCCTTCTCTCTCTCTCTCTCTCTCTCTCTTCCTGGAGGGACGCAACCTCCTTATCTAAGCCCTAAGAGAGTATTAGGTGCCGGTTGGCGAGGGGTGGGGGAGAGGAATGGGGGAGCCCAGACTGTACGTTGGGGGTAACCGGCTAAGGCCACATTGCTTGTCCAGAAAGACAACCAACCACAGTTCTGTTTGTTGTCTAATCCTGAGTGAGGCAATACATTCGTATCAAGCCATTCGCCCACGAAATACACAGTCAATTTCCCTTTGCGGTTTATTGCGGGAAACACTTGGGGGTCTGGGAATCGAACCCGGGTCCTCTCGCTGGACTGAACGGGGAGATGACCTGCTTTGGATCGGCTTTTGGTTCGCACGATACAATTGACACGCGCAAGTACACGCACACGCGCACACGCGCACACACGGCGCCTTTCAGGTTGGGAGCAGGTCTCAAAGTGGGTGACGCGGGCACCCAAACCGTGGAGTCCTGTAGCTCAGTGGTTAGAGCACTCGCTTTGCGAGCGAGAGACCTGAGTTCAATTCCAGGCAGAGGGCCAAACCTCGGGCAAGTTTCCTTACTCCACACAGAGCCTAATAATAATTCCTCCAAAACGAAAAACAATAATAAATTGGTCATTTTCAATCTACAACACTTTGTGGGACATTACTGTGCGCAATTGGCCGCCGCGTTCGCCCACAAATATACAGTCAATTCACTTTACAGTGTGTTCTGTGAAGCGCTTTGGGACGTCCTCCCGACGTGAAAAGCGCTATATCAAATGCAAGGATTATTATTATTATTATTATTATTATTATAGAGGTCCCCAAAGTAGGTCCAAGTCACCAGAGGTCCATGTAATGCCACTGAGTGGCCACCAGGCGGCGCAGTTCCAGTCTGAGCGTAGCGGTTGTCTGAATCGCAGTGCAACACCGCCATCGCGTGGCGGAAAAGTGGTATCGCAGCACATGTCGCTCTGCCTTCCTCTTGAGCTCTTGGCAATGGCTCAGTTGAAGCCCATCCAAACCCAACCCTTTTTTAAAAAAAAATCTGGTGACTTACACTAAATTTAAGCCCTGCAGCGTAGTGGTTAGACCCCCCCGGACCCGCAAGCGCGAGGACTCGGGTTCGATTCCCGGGTGGGGGCGAAACCTTGGGCAAGTTTCCTTACTCCACACACGGCCCTAATAATAATCCCTCCCAAAAAAACAATAATAAATTGGTCATCTTCAATCCACGACTGTTTGTGGGGCATTGCTGTGCGCAATTGGCCGCCGCGTTCGCCCACAGATATACAGTCAATTCACTTTACAGTATATTCTGTGAAGCGCTTTGGGACGTCCTCCCGACGTGAAAAGCGCTATATCAAATGCAAGGATTATTATTATTATTATTATTAAACCTTAATTAGGAAACATTAAGGCAGATTGTAAGAGTTTTCATAAATACATTAAGAGGAATAGGCTCGCAAAAGTAAATGTGGGTCCATTACAGGCAGAGACAGGAGGAATTATAATGGGGGATAAGGATATGGCAGAGCCCCTAAATAAATACTTTGCTTCTGTCTTCACGTGAGAAAGACACGAGAAGTTTACCGGAAATAGAGATGAATCACGGGGCTAATGATAGGGAGCAACTTAGGGAAATTTACATTAGCAAAGAATTGGTGTGAGGGAAAAAAGGGACAAGACCTGACGGTCTGCATCCTGCGGTTTTAAAGGAGGTCACTCATGAGAGTGTGGAGGCCTTGTGTCTGATCTTCCAAAATTCTTTGGATTCTGGAACAGTTCCCAGTGATTGGAAGATCGCAAACGTCACGCCACTGTTTAAGAAGGGTGGGAGAGGAACGACGGGGAACTATAGACCAGTTAGTCTGACATCGGTGGTAGGGAAAGTTCTAGAAGCGTTAATTAAGGATGTCGTAGCGGGAATGCAAACGGCCTCGTGCAGAAGTCAGCCTCTGGGCAAGAACGGTGCTGCAACTGACCACATTCATTCATCACATGCACTGAGCGCAACCTCTTAAAGCGCGACTGTGTATTTCGTAGGCAAACAGCTGCAGCTCTCAGTGAGCGCCCCACAAGCAGTCGGTTTAGGGTGTTTGGTGGGGCCGGTGTGGTGGGGTGGGGGGGGGGGGGGGCGGCTTGTCTGAGGTTTTCCCTACTGGAGTTCTCTCTTTTTTACCCCATGCGCACCACAGGGCATTTTTAATCATTATTGTAACCATAACGATGACTTTAATTATCAATCCGTATTTTTTAACATATTATTTGATGATTATAGTCATTGTGTGATTATAATTAATAATAATAATCCTCGCATTTGATGCAGCGCCTTATCAAGTCCTCGAAGCGTCTCAAAGCGCTGCACAGGATACACTGTAAAGTGAAATGAAATGTATATTTTGTGGGCGAAACGCAGCAGCCAATTGCGCACAGCAGCGTCCCCACAAACAGCCGTGGACTGAGTGAGCAAATTATCATTCTGTTTGTATATTTTTTTGAAGGGATTATTACCTCCGCCAATCGACTAACAACCCGCGTTCCTGCTCACTGCTGGATAAGACAGGCGTGCGGAGTGATTAGATTCATTACAATCATCCTGAGCTTCGAAACACAACACACGATGATTAAATCTGGGCTGAATATCTCTGGGTGTGCCCCTTTGAGTTCAGTCCCCATCAGGGACAATTCCTTTTTAAAAAAAAATGCCTTACCCACCCCCACACACACACACACACACACACACACACACACACACACCGCTCAATTGTATGCCTTCAAATTCCTATGCATTGCAGCTTATTCAGCACCGAACCTATCGCACACAGCCAGAGCCCTGCTCTGTTTCAATGCCTCTCTGCCTCTGAATATTCCAGCCACTGCAGTAATATCTCCGCTCTCCATCCGCACAATAAAACCTCAAAGAATCGAGTGGATTCAATGTGATGCAGAGAGCCTTGACATTGCACGCAGCACAGCTGAAAAGGACATCAAAGGAAACCCTCTCTTTCTCTCTCTATCTCTCTCTATCTCTCTCTCTCTCTCGCTCTCCGGTCACTGGACCAGCCAAGTTTAAGGATGCTTTAGTCAGCTTCTCTGCCACGCATCTCACAAAGCAGCAACGAGAAACATCTGGGTTTCGCATTCCTATGTGTGTGTGTTTTGCGACACGCATATTCTGGGCTGTGGAGGCCTTTGAAGAATATCCGCTGGTCTCATTAGAAATGCCAGGCTGTTCCAAGACAGTGCGTGAACGCAGCAAGTCAGTCAGCTTTCTGAAGCCACACTAAGGGGAGGGAGAGATCAGAGCCTTGGCTTAGTCTCTGATCGAAAGGATCTGGGACTTATCTCTTCTATTCCCCCCCCCACCATTGGGAGAAAGCCTTTTGCACCTGCAACCTGCTGATCAGTATCCAGGTAAGGAAGCTGTTTCACTGTTTGCAATCAAATCTATCACTGCATGCAGCTCAGACACACATATACACACACACACACACACATACACACATATACATACACACACACGTGCATATATACACATGCACACACATATATACACGCGCGCACATGTACACACATTATTTAATCACAAATAAATCTTCCTTGAATTCTGATCTTCAATTTTATCTGCACCTATTACTGTGTGCGTGTGTGTGTGTGTGTATGTATGTATGTGTGTGTGTATGTATGTATGTATGTATGTATGTATGTGTGTGTGTGTATATATGTGTGTGTGTATATATGTGTGTGTAATGTATCTCCCTCTACTGCAAAATGCAAATCATGAATTCATTGATGAGTCCAAATGAATTGTGTGTGTGTTTTGGGGATATTTCACGGTGATTGGTTTAGTTTATTGTTATTCCCCCCACTCACCTATTCCCTCATGAATATGTCGGTTTAAAGGGAAGGGAGGAGGAGGGAGAATTAATATTGCATTTGATGCAGAGCCTTATCATGTCGAAACGTCTCAAAGTGCTTCACAGACAATACTGTAAATTGAATTGCATATATTGTGAATTGGCTGTATTTTGTGGGTGAAACGCGGCACAGCCAATTGCACACAACAGTGTCCCACAAACAGTCGTGGATTGAGTGACCATATTATTATTTTTGAAGGGATTATTACCCCCGGAAAAGCGATCCGCCAATCGACTAACAACCGGGTGGCTAATTACTGTTGGGTAAACAGAGGGGTGAATTTGAATGCATGTTTTGTGGGCGAAATGAGTAAGGAAACTCGCCGTACGTTCCAACCTGCTCGGGAATCGAACCTGGGTCCTCCCGCTTGCAAAGCGAGTGCTCTCACCACTGAGCTACGGGACTCCACCAGCGTCAGCGACGTTGGTGGGGCTCGGACCCGCAATATTCTGACTCGGAGGCGAGAGCACTACCTATTGAGCCAAATTCAGCACAACAACATGTGCTTTTAGAGAAATCACAAGACGTTGGCTGGGATGTTATGCCTTGAGCCTGGAGATGGTTGGGGGGGGGTTGGTGGGGGCGCGGGGCGGTCTAATGACTGATCCCAGAAAAGCTCAGACTGCGATAAAATCTCACACTTTCTTTATTGCCTTTCATCCCAAGACAATCCTCCCTTTCTCCAGCTCCGACAGATTGCCGGCTCCTCCACTGGAACCAGAGTGGAGGCCTGGAGCTCAGTGGTCAGAGCGCTCAACCTCGCAAGCGAGGGGGTTCGATTCCCAGACGGGGCGAAACCTTAAGCACGTTCCCTCACCCCACACACACGCACGCACACTCGCACGACTCTGTTTACCTCGCAGCAAGGAGGAACCCGGGTGTCAGTCAATTGGCAGCTCGCCTCTCTAGCCGGTGCTGGAACCAACAAGTCTTTGTTTTGCAGCGTCAATCGAGATGAGGGAAGACCAGAACATGTGCTAGCCAAGTGTGACCCCCCCCACCATCCCCCCCCCCCACCCCACCCCCATCTCATCCCACCCCAAGACAACCTGGTCGTGTTGACTCTTCTCCGGGAAGCGTCGAAGGCACACAACTAGTTATCAATTGGAAGGATGGAGGAATTCCTCAAGCTCCTGTTCTCCAACCACTCCAAATTCAACCACACCTCGTGGGGAAACTTCAACTGCCCCGGCTCGATCGGGGGAACCACCTTCCTTGTGGTGGCTTACAGCGCCATCATGGCCATGGGTCTGATTGGCAACGTCTGTCTAGTCTACGTCATCACCAGGCAGAAGGAGATGCACAATGTCACCAACGTCCTCATCGCCAACCTCTCCTGCTCGGACATCGTCATGTGTGCCATCTGCCTGCCCGTCACCCTCATTTACACCCTGATGGACCATTGGATATTGGGAGCGGCTCTCTGTAAACTCACTCCATTTGTGCAGTGCATGTCGGTGACAGTCTCCATCTCATGCCTGGTCCTCATCGCCTTGGAGAGACACCAACTGATCATCAACCCGACCGGCTGGAAGCCAGTTGTTGGTCATGCCTACCTGGCGGTGGCCGTGACTTGGATCGTGGGCTGTTTTATCTCTTTGCCTTTCATGTCCTTCAACATCTTGACAGACGGTCCTTACAAGAACATCTCCCTGGCCTTGGACACTTTTGCCGACCACTTTGCCTGCATCGAGTACTGGCCTTCCGAGAGCCAGAGACTGGCCTACACGACCTGTCTCCTCTTGTTTCAGTACTGCCTCCCTCTGCTCCTGATCTTCGTCTGTTACTTCAGGATCTTCCTGTGCCTCAGGAGACGGAGAGACATGGTGGAGCGACCAAAGGATGCCAACCACAGGCTCAGTCACAGTAAGAAGATCAACATCATGTTGCTGTGCATCGTGGCTGCCTTCGCTGTGTGCTGGCTGCCTTTGATGGTCTTCAACACCATCTTCGACTGGAACCATCAGGCCATCTCCGTGTGCCTCCACAACATGATCTTCTCCCTGTCCCACCTGACAGCCATGTTCTCCACCTGTGTCAACCCCGTCATGTACGGCTTCCTCAACCACAACTTCCAGAAGGAGATGAAGCTATTGATCTACAGGTGCAGGTGCAGAAGGGACAGGGAGAAGTACGAGACCTTCCCATTGTCTACGGTCAACACAGAGATGTCGAAAGCCTCCCTGCATCTCAACTGTGCCAATAGGAATGCTTAGCGTTCATCCCCGCACCGTGCCTTTGCTGCGTCACTTGACACTGTCCAATTTTACTCGATGGTTTCTTTTGATCGGGCTGTACTTCCACAGCACGTGTGGTGTGTGTGTGTGTGTGTGCATGTGTGTGTGTGTGTGTGCGTGTGGAGTAAGGAAACTTGCCCATCGTTTCGTCCTGACCTGACTCGCCCGGGGATCGAACCCGGGTCCTCTCTCTCGCTTGCGAGGCGATGGCTTCTAACCACTTCGCTTCGGGATTCGGCAACAGACACGGCGACGAACGCCAACGGCACTTAGATGGTCAGTCTGCGCTCCGTGAACGGTTGGGAGCCGGTTCCCACTTTTCCCAAGACTTTCCCGGGACCGTTCGTTTCCGGAGCAGTTTTAACCCCTTGTGCTCTACCGTTGCGGGATTGATTTTCAGAGCAGCGAGAAAGTTCGCCGGATACAGCGTCAATCAATTGTTTTGATATATCGCAACCTGTCACGTCTTCGAGTCGTCTCAAAGCGCTTCACAGAACATACTGTCAAGTGGAGTGACTGCGCACTTTGTGGGCGAAATTGCGCACAGCCGCGTCCCCCGCAAACAGCCGTGGATCGAGTGACCAAGTTATTATTATCAATGAATTATTATCTTAAGATCACACAACATTGTGGAAAATTCTTAAATCCCGAAGCCATTTTTGCTGGTTAAAGGGGGTCGCATGGGGGAAGGTGGGGTGGGGAGGATGGGGAGGGGTGGGGGGGGGGTGGGGGAAGCCAAATTGAATTGATATTTTAATTACTGCATGATTAAAACCTCGTTGATTCCGGTGATATATTTCTGTGGCCTTCTGCTTGTGCTTTAAGGGGCCGTGTTACCCTCCAACGTATTCTTGCGGCAAAATCTTCCACGCGTTTTGTGTTCCGAAGTCATGTTCCTTTAGACCCGCAACTCTTAAATTGGCAGAGGAGACACGGAAGGGGGAATCAGAGAGGGACTGTGGGGGTAAGAGCGGCGCGGTAGTGGGGGGGGGGTGTGGGGGGGCGCGCGGGACTAGTTGGATAGCTCTTACCAAGAGCCGGTATGGGCAGGATGGAACAAATGGTCTCCTTCCGTGCTGTAAGGTTCTAGGATTCCTGTTTTTTTTTTGCGGTGGTGGGAGGGGGAGGGGGTGGGGGTGGGGGTGGGGGTGGTGGAATTTCACTTGAATTTTCGCTTTCAGAAACGATTGTGAAGCTCAGACTTTGCTGTTAACTCCTCTCTGGCAATAAATGATGTTTTGATAACTGGCGCTTGGGGCCACACCCATTCCAACCATCTGCTTTATTGCCTGTTGCTGAATTATCTGTCGATTTGAAGCATTTTGGGGGGAGAAGTACTCAGGGTCGAGCGCTATAAACCTGCATACGTCGCTCTACACTGTCTCTTCAAATACTCCCAGGACAGCCACAGCACGGGTTAGAGACAGAGTAAAGCTCCCTCTACACTGTGCGTCCGTCCACACTCCCAGGTCAGGGTTAGAGACAGAGTAAAGCTCCCTCTACACTGTGCGTCCGTCCACACTCCCAGGTCAGGGTTAGAGACACAGTAAAGCTCCTCTACACTGTGCGTCCACACTTCCAAAAGATTGTTGGCCGAGACACCGAAATAGAGATAGAGAAACTCTTTTCTCTCTTCGAGTAGCACCGTGGGATCTTTGCCATCCAATGGTCCGAATGTGCTTTAGCTTTGCAAAGTGACTATTTAAAATGGTTCTTCCTACCGCATTGATAACTGATGTACAGCTTTCTTGTAGTCTTAGCAACTGAACAGTCGACCACTTTGATTTCAATGCACCTCGTCTGGAGCCTGAATTATTCATATCAGTTTAAGGCCTCTCTATCACTGTTCAATCCAACTCCGCAAGTGTCCTCCAATTCTCTTACTGGCTCTCAAGCTCTCAGCCACCGCAGCTCATTACCAGAGTAAATGCGATAACATTACCTGCATTTTTATTCAATCCCTACAACCTCAACACATCAAGTGTGCGTGTGTGGGCGAAACACGGCAGCCAATTTGCACACAGCAACGTTGCACGAACAGCCACAAAGTCAGGGACGGATTTTATTTGGGATGGTTTTAGATAGGGAGAGAGGGGGGGGAGAGAGAGAAGGGGGTTAAAGGGGAGATTTAATAGAGCTGTTTAAAATTATGAGGGGTTTTGATGGAGTAGATAAGGAGAAACTCTTTCCACTGGTGCGTGGGTCGGTAACCGAAGGACACAGAGTCGAGATGATTGGCAAACGAACCAGAGGAGAGGTGAGGAGACAATTTTTTTTTAAACTCGGAGAGTTGTTACGGTCTGGAACGCACCGCCTGAAAGGCTGGTCAGGAAGCCGATTCGATCGTAGTTTTCAAAAGGGAATTGGATAGGGACTTGAAAAAGGAAAAAAAAAAATTGCGAGGATATGGGGGGGGAGCGCGGGGGAGGGAGTGGGTAGCTCTTCCAAAGAGCTGGCACAGGCGAGATGGGCCGAATGGCCTCCTTCCGTGCTTTAATATTCTATGATTCTGTGAGAGGGAGAGAGGGAGAAAGTTCTGAGGCGGCGGTGGGGGAGAAGCAGAATGGCTGAGGATGGTGGGGATGGAGAGGATAGGACACAGGAGGCGAAGTCCCATGTGAAATGATCTTAGATAAAGCTATAATAACAGCAATAACCCTGGCATTTGATACAGCGCCTCATCACGTCTTCGAGACGCCTCAAAGCGCTTCACGGGATACACTGTAAAGTGAATTGACTGCGTATTTTGTGGGCGAAATGCAGCAGCTTTTATATCCTGTCACTTATATTGTTCAAGGACACGGGGAAGGAAAGATAGGTTGCCTATCTCTATCTCTGGCTGCTTCTATTGCTCCCTAATTCCTTTGATGGACATTTAATGACCTACATAGGAGTGGCAGTATTAGGGAATAAAAGAGTTAGCGGGTTATTAACACTGCCGTTGGCTTCCTCTGGAAAAAAAATGACCCGAATGAGTCACTCGACGCTGATCTTAAAATAAAACTTTTATTTCTCCAAAGGATCATCTCTGTTTCTGCAAAACGCTTCCAGATGTTATCTTCCCTGCGTTAAAGGCTCTATGTAATATTTGCTCCAGTCGCTCTCTCAAGCAGAAGTCACAAGATAGCAAACACAAGCCTTGGCTCATTCCACCCGCACTTAGAGGGTGAGCTCAGAGGGGTAGGTCAGCCCGGCTCAGTTGGTTGGTTCCTATGAGTTGCTTAGGAGAATCTTATCCAACAGCAACAACGACAAATGACATTTACACAGCGCCCTTTGACGGCAGAAGGATGTCCCAAGGCGCTGGGCGGTCCAAGAACCACACCCAAGCTGAGGAAGATCTTTAGACGGTACTTGCATGAGGCAAGCGAGGGGCATTACAATGATTATAATCATTATAACACTAATATGTAACTGACCAGATATTATCATAAAGGAGCGAATCGATTGTACAGGTTGTATTATTGATGTGACTATCCCGAGTGATTACTACATAAGAAATAAGGAACTAGAGAAGATCAGGAAATATATCGATCTAAACATCGAGTATCTTATTTGAGGCATTGCCTTTGACAGTCAGGAGGACGTCTCAGAGCGCTTCACTCGACGTACTGTAAAGCGTAGCGACCGTGTATTTTGTAGGGGAACTCGATTTGGGTTTAGACTGGATGCGAATGTATTTTTTTAGGCAAATGCCGGGATTATTGTTAAAAATCAAACAATAACAGTGATTTGCATGTAGAGCCCTTCGATGGAAGATCGTGCAATAGCTTTTATGAACTGGGGAAGAGGAACATCTAGTGGCTACTGTCTCTACTGCACTCCACGATTGCACCATAGTGTGGACAGTAAATTAAAGAAGAGATACTTACATCCAAAGTACTGTGCAGGTGTCTTATAATCTGTCCATCCCATCCAACGCACCTTGCTTCACAACCCACCAGTGTCCTGTACACAATCTCACAAGGAAAACACACAATGTTTCACTGTCCTTCTGTCTTGTGTGACGTCAATCATCCAAAATTGACTGAATAATAATAATAATGATAATAATCCTTGCATTCGATCTAGTATCTTATCATGTCGTGGAGAGGTTTCAAAGCTCTTCACAGAATATGCTGTAAAGCGAATTGACTGTATATTTTGTGGGCGAAACGCGGCAGTTAATTGCGCACAGCGGCGTCCCCACAAAATTGAGTGACCAAATTATTATTATTATATTTTGAAGGGATTGTTACGCCCGGAAAAGCGATCCGCCAATCGACTAACAACCGAGTTCCTACTTACTCTTGGGTAAACAGACACGAGCGCCTGGCCGGGAATCGAACCTGGGTCCTCTCGCTTGCGAGGCGAGGAGGGCTCTAACCACTGAGCTACAGGACTCATTTGACTAGAGAAGAGAGTTTCTCCCAGTGGCTGGCTATTCCCCATGGTTGGTTTGTGAGTTAATTTGACACAAGAAAAACTAGAATGGCTGACACATATTGATGAGATAAAATGCTATAGATATATAAGGCTTAATACCTACCAAAAGAGGGCACCAATACACTTTCTATCTCTGCTGCTAACAGGTTCCATCTTCCATCACCTTGCTCCCTTATTATAATAATAATAATAATCCTTGCATTTGCTATAGTGCCTTATCACGTCGTTGAGACGTCCTAAGTGTATAACTACAGTAGAACCACAGGGCACAGCCTGCGATTGAAGTGAGGGGTAAGTTCAGAACAAAAACACTACGGTGAAAGCATGTTGTTTGGTTCAAGAACAAACCACATAGATTTCTGCTAGAAAATTATATCTGAAGGGGGAGACAATGTGTATATAGTTTGGGACACGACATGGCAGGTGACCGCCAGGATGACGGAAGGCAAACTGGGTGGACTTTGGTCTACTTCCCCCAGCAAATCCTTACGTTTTTATACGCAAGGTATCAGAAGTAGCCTCGTCAAACGCGAGCTAAGGAGCTAAGGACAGTTCCTTTGAGCGAGATGGAAAGAGAGGGAGAGGGAGAGGGGATAACTAATTCATGGGCGGGAGATCACTGAAGCTGCAAAGATCTCTCCTTCTGAAAAGTAATCATATAGTCATTGAAATAGGAGTAGAAAGGTTAAATTGACAGCAGTGGAGCTGAAACAGCGACTAAAAATAAATGCCATCAGACCAACTCCCATCACTTTACATAAGTCCTAGTGGATGTGCGATGAATGTTGACAAGATTTTTTTGCTTTCGCAAGGCTATCTGTCTGGTAAAACCCTTCATGCCTCTGATGTGACGATGATTGGGACAGACAGGCGACGAGATGGGAGGATGTTAACAATTAATCTTGACCATGAATTGCGATGTAATGCTGTCTCCGTCTCTCTATCTCTGTCTCTCTCTGTGAGCCTGGCCTGGACTGCACAGCTCATTCCGATCAATTATGTGGAGAGAGACCAGAGAGAGCCTGGGACCTGTTCTCCTTGGGGCGGAGAAGGTTGAGGGAAGAAAAGTATGAGGGGTTTTGATGGAGTAAATAGGGAGAAATTGTTTCCACTGGCGGGTGGGTCGGTAACCAAGGGACAGGTTTAAAATACCCCGTGCCCTCTCACTTGCGAGCCGAGGGCTCTAACTAATACTCTATATGAGTAGGAACATCATCTCTTTAGTTAAGTAACTATATCTATGGAGTACAAGTGCCTGTCTGACTGATTGGTTCTGACCTTGTTGTCGACGCTTTTAGATGACAGTGCTCTCCACAGACCGGAGCCTTATAATAACCGCCTTATCTCCAGTGAGAGAGTGGGAGAGTGCTGCTCGTTTCTGTGGTCTAAGGAGACATGGACGGTAGGGAACCGCAAATGCACGTCAAAGCCTCATTCCTCACCATCCCCCCTCCAGGAGCTTGTTTTTTTTTTCCCCCTTCCACTGTTCATATATTTAATCTTAAAGCTGCCAGACATTTCGAGGCACTTGGAGCATTGCTCGCTCTCTAACTCGAGAAGAAATTTCTCTATCCTACCTGTTCCATCGGAGAGAGATCAAAGCCTAGGCTGACGCACCGATAGAGTGCTGGCGGTTAGCATTGCGTTGTCAGAGGTGCCGTCGTTCGGATGAGATGTTAAACCTCGCTCCCCGTCTGTGCCCTGTTCAGGTGGACGTTAAAGATCTCCCGAGGCCCTGTTGGAAAAGAGAAGGGATTTATATAATAATCCTTGCGTTTGATACAGCGCCTTATCACGTCGTCGGAACATATCAAAGAGCTTCACAGAATATTCTGTACAGTGAAATGACTGTATATTTTGTGGACGAAACCAATTGCGCACAGCAATTGTCCCACAAACAGTCTGGATTGAGCGACCACATGATTATTATTATTTTCAATGAATTATTTTCCGAATAATCAATTACTACCGCCGGAAAGCGATCCGCCAATCGACTAACAACTGGGTTACGACTCACCGTTAGGGTAAATGGAGGCTGCTGTCGCTCTGGAGAGACGTGACAAGGGGAACGGGAGGGAGACAGAGAGTTGACAAAGTCCTGGTGATGACGATCGTGTCTGTCTGTCTATCTGTAGATGGAGCTGGCCACGGTACTGATTTGCTTGGTAAATAAATGGAGAGCAATGAATGAAATCATTAGCATTTTTACGGTTGCCTTATCGCAATGTCTCAATTGCAGTGACTGTGTATTTGCAGGCCAACACAGCAACCAATTTGCTCCACACTCCTCTGTTGACCTCGCAGGACATAGGAACCCGGTTGCTAAGTCCGCTGGCGGATCACTTTTCCGGGGGCAAATAACCCTTTGGGGGAAAAAAAAATTGGGTCACTCAAATCCACGACTGATCGTGGAACACTGAGGTGCGCCACGGGCTGCCAAGTTTCGCCCACAGAATACACAGTCACTACACTGTACGGTATATTCTGCGAGGCGCTTTGAGCCGTCTCGAAGACCTGATAAGGCGCTGTATCAAATGCAAGCATTATTGTTACCATCATCGCTATATCCTTCAACTAAAAGTTCCCCTAACCTCTCCCTTTTGCGCGGTTGATCTTGGGATTGAAAATCTCGGTTCAAAGAGATACGGAGAGAGAGGCAGAGGTGAGTGAGAGGTGATGGACAGGCAGTTTAATGGCTCTAAAGATTAATTGCGTTTGATTACCTGCTCTGTCCATGTTGGCTCTGCAGAAGTCACAACATTATCAGGTGTGAACAGCCCAGTGATCTTCACAAAGGGTCTTTCCCATTGAACGCAAAATCCAGAGCAGAGACAAAAAAACAGCACGTAGATTCCACCCCCTCCGCCCCCCAGTCTCTCCCTCCCTAAGGGGCATCACTCCAATACTCACATAATTAAAAGGCAGCTTCTTTATCTCCTTGCACGTAGGCACTGCAATCAGTTTGGACATTAGACCGATTCATTCTATTAATAATTAACTGTAAATCACTGCCCCAAGATGTCAGCTCATGTCCTGATGCAGTAAATTATTGTAAGCGTCTCCGTCGTTGTTTTTATAGCCTTCCTGTACCCCAAAAATGTGGAGTCCTGGGGTATGGTGGTTAGAGCTCTCGCCTCGCAAGCGAGAGGACCCAGGTTTGATTCCCAGGCCGGGCAAAACCTTAGACACAATTGGGTGCGGCATTTCGCCCACAAAATATACGGTCAATTCGCTATACAGTACATCCTGCAAAGCACTTTGAGATGCCTCAACGATGTGATAAGACTCTATATCAAGTGCAAGAATTATTCCTATTGTTACAATGAGCCCTGTAGAGATGGAACTGATATAGACTGGCATCCTTTTGAACGTGACTGTCCTACGGCAGCACTGAGTTTGATCCATTGATCGATACTGTGAAATAGAAACACAGATTAAAGGGATGATGGAGCGAGGCTGGAGTGTGCCAGACACTCACTTTGTCTCTATCTCCGGAAGCCGAATGCAGAGAAACCAAACAATAATTAAGAGCGGATTTGAGTGGTGACAAAACACTCCCGTAGAGGAGAAAGGCATGAGCAGAGCAGCAGGAATTAATAGAGCAATTTGCCTCCACTCCAGACCCTTCGCGGTGATCAAAGCTGAAAGCCCATAAAATACTATCTCGGACAGATGGGACTTAGTAAAGGTGCAACAATATGGAGGCATTGATTAAATTGATCACTCACTTTGTGGCTGTTCGTAGGACGCTGCTGTGCGCAGATTGGCTACTGGGTTCACCTAAAATACACGGTCACTACACTTTACAATACAATACAAAATCACGTTTGTATAGTGCCTTTCACATCGGAAGGACGTCCTAAGTAAATACTGTAAAGCGCTTTAGAGACATCTCAATGGCACCTCATCAAATGTAAAGATTATTATCATTATGTTTTTACAGTTATTATAGAGGTAACTTCTGAAGGTGATGGGTCAGTCAGATATGAATGGATGTTACCTTTCTCATCATATGTTTGAACCTCCTAATATTTGTTGGCGATTTGATCATTTGTTCACCGGGTATTTTTTAAAGCCATTTCGGAATATCGTCTTCTTTTTATTAATGCTATTCAGTTAAACTCGTGTCTCAAACAAGCGTCCAAGCCTTGTTAAACAAAGACCTTTTATTTTCAGAACGGCACAAAAGACAGCAACAGACATTTACACGTGAGGTTCAAAACTACAGGTTAAGTTCACCAAACCCTTGCTTTGAGTGGGCAAGAACGTAATCTAGAAAAGCCACAAAATCAAGCATTAATTTGAAGAAGACGACGTCTTCTGAATATCAATGCTATTAAAACTATTAAAGCTTCCTGCTTGTCCCTCGTGCCCTCCGTTCCACCATCAGTGGCCGCGCTTTCAGCCACTACGCCCCCAAATTCTATCCCTCCGCCTCGCCCCTTCCTTCCCCATCTTGCTCGTGCCTGAAGACCTTCTTCTTTGACCATGGGGGGGGGGGGGTCACCTCCCCCTGGCTCAGTGTCGTGCTCCACCCTTGTCAAGCGCTCTGGGACGCTACCTTGTGTGAGGGGCGCTGTGTAAATGCAAGTCGTTGGTGTTGAAAGGAGAAGGGACTTTCTCTTGCTGTCCTGAAGAGTGATGAATTGAACGATGGTCTTGCTGAGGGACCTTGTTGTGCTCCAATCAGGGTTTGCCTACAAATACACAGTCACTATACCCGGCAGCAAAGCCTTGTGAAGTGCTCAGAGAAGCTTTGGGGTTATACACATCAAGCGCAGGGCAATTGTGTAGTCTCCTTCACCCCAGCACATTGGGCGCGAAGGGCATTGTCTTGTCCAGAGAGAGTTCAGCCTCAAGGTCCACGTGGACCACAGCCGGCAAAGCTCCGGCCATGTGGCGAGAGGTCTGAGAGATCTGCGAGACTTTGTCAAAGGTCAGATCATTGCTCCCCGCCTGCCTGACCACGTGGGGCAGGAGATGGGGGTAGCCGAGGGAGGTCGGGTCGTTCTGGAAGGTGGTGTTGTGGTGGTGGTGTTGGGACGCCAACTCGTTGCTGAAGTTCACGGTCTCCACGTTGTGATTGTGGCAGAGCTTACTGCAGCCGAGGATGGAGGAAAATGCCTTCCTAAAGTCTGCGTTGAAGGCGTAGATGATGGGATTGAGGGAGGAGTTTGTCCAGCCGAACCACACGAAGATATCAAAGGTGGTCTCGCTGACGCACGGAAGTCCTCCTTGGCGGTGGAGCTGAGCTGAGCAGAAGGGGATGATGCAATTGAGCACAAAGAAGGGTAGCCAGCAGCACACAAAGACGCCCATGATAACGGAGAGAGTCTTGAGCAATTTGGTTTCCTTCTTGAGGGAGCTCTTGAGAGAGGCTTCGCGGGAACCCTGGTGGGCTTGGGCTTGGCGGATCAGAGCGTGTCCCACCGCTCTCTCCAACAAGGAGATCCTCCTGATCTGCATCTGGGCGATGCGGAAGATGCGAGTGTAGGTGATGATCATGATGGCCACCGGGATGTAGAAACTAATGAGCGAGGAGGAGATGGCGTAGGTTCGATTCAAGCGGAAATGGCAGCCTCCTTGATCAACTGCACCGAGCGAGGTGTTGGGTTCAGAGAGTAACACGTCAGATCTGTGCCAGCTCAGTTGAACGGGGATGAAGGAGATCAGGATGGACAACCACCACGCCAGGCCGATCATCATGAAAGCCACGCGTTGGGTCATCTTCCTCTCGTAACGGAACGGGCTGGCAATGGCCCAATATCTGTCCATGCTGATGACGCACAGGTTGAGGATTGAGGCGGTGGAGCACATGATGTCAAAGGCCACCCATACCTCACAGAAATCCCCGAAAGGCCAATAGCCGGCTACCTCTGTGATGGCCTTCCAAGGCATGACCAACGCAGCCACCAACAGGTCCGAAATGGCCAGGGAGACCACAAAGAAGTTGGTGACTTTGGAACGCAAGTGGCGGAACTTGATGACTGCCGCACAGACCAGGGTGTTTCCCAGGAAGGTGGACAGGATCAAGAGGGACAGGAGACAACCTGTGACCGCCCTTATAGTTACCCTGGATCTCGGCTCCTGTCTTCCCTCACTTTCTGCCCCCGCCCATGTCTGGTTCCACACTCCTCCCGCGTCCATATCTAACAGCGCGCCATCCAACTCATCCATCCATGTGGAAGCCATATCAATTTCTCTCTCTCTTTCTGTCTGTCTGTCTCTCTTCCCCCCTCTCTCTCTCTCTTCACATCTGCGTCTCCGGTTCAGTAAAACCCCAGGAACCATCCATCCATCCATGAGCCATCCCACACTCTCGCGCTTTCTCCTCTCTTTCTCTCTCTCTCTCTCTCTCTCTCTCCACCTGCGTCTCACTCAAAGCTTCTGACTCAACAAAGCCCCAAGAACTCACCACCTTCCCTCCCACACACACTCTCTCTCTCTCTCTCTCGCTGGATCTGCAGAAAACTTGGCTGGTGTCGGTAAAGTGAGATGGAGGAAAGCGGTCAACTCTTTGATCTTTCTCTTTCGTTTGCTTCACAATAGCACCTCTGAGATTAAAGCCTTGCCCACGTTTCCTGCGCCGGGTTGGGGTGGCTTGCGCCCACAAAATACACGGACACTACACTACACTTTGCGGTATATTCCGTGAAGAGCTTTGAGACGTCTCAACAACTTGATAAAGCGCTAGATCAAATGCAAGGATTAATATTATTATCATTATTATTATTGTGGATGCATTCACACACAAACCTTTTGTTTGGTCGTTAGAAAACCCCGAAGCTCTTAGACTGATATCAGCCCATAATCTCTCTCTTTCTCTCTCTCCCTGCGACACCCCTCTGATTTGGAGGGGGGTGGGGGGTGGGGGGAGGGGGTTCAAACGATCAATTCAATTTCCAAGACTAACAGTGGCTGTTTCGTTTCACCAGAGCTGAGATATGAAGCAAAAAAAGATGGATCAACTCCTCGAAGTTGTGCTGCGCAGAGCTGAGAAATCCTGTTCAAAGACAAATGTACGCCCGTCCAATGCACCCTCCGCTCTTTGCTAGTTGCTCCGAGACGCTGTCCTGCGCGAAGGACGCTGTATAAAATGCAAGTTGTTGTTGCTGCTGCTGTTGTTGATGGACGGCCATAGTTTCAACTGAGACAAGTGCAGGCGGCGGCAATCAACCGGGAGATTGTAGCCTTCCTGCTTTCGTATTGTCGGCCTCTGTCCTGAGTCCACTGGTTACGGAGAAAAGCAGACAACATGCACCAGGCAAACACACTCTATTGCACTCTCTATTCCCATCGCGTCAGTCTGCTGAAGCTGTCTCTCCCTCTCTCTGATTAACTCATTCAGTGCAGGTACGTTGCTTCTGGTAACATTTGCACAAATATATTTACACACACACACACACACACACACAGTAAAACCCCTGATAACCCTCCCCCGCCGTAGCTTGTCACTGCCACTTAAGTCATTGCGCTGCCAATATTTATTATCGAGTCCTGGACGAGAGACAACTTTCTTCAGCTCAACGTGCGAAAAACCGAGGCCCTCCTGATTGGCTCACGTCAGCGCCTCCGCACCTCAGGCGCTGACACCATCAGCATCCAAGGCTGCACTCTCCACCTCTCAAAGCCAGTCAGGAACCTCGGCGTTTTGTTCGACCCTGAGCTGTCCTTTCTCCCTCACATCCGCACCGCCTTCCATCACCTCCGGAATATCGCCAGACTACGGCACTACCTCACCCCTCACGCCGCTGAAACCCTGGTTCACGCCTTTGTCACCTCAAGGCTGGACTATGGGAACTCTCCCCTCGCCGGCCTTCCCGCCACCTCCCTCCACACTGCAGGTCATTCAGAACTCTGCAGCTCGTGTACTGTCCCGCACCAGACACCGCGACCACATCACTCCCACCCTCGCTCGCCTCCACTGGCTCCCCATCCCCCAGAGGATTGATTTCAAGATCCTCATCCTCACCTACAAGGCCATTCACGGCCTTGCTCCCTCCTACCTCTCCAACCTACTATCCCCCTACCTACCTGCCCGTACCTTCCGTTCCTCTGGCTCTGGTCTGCTCCACGTCCCCCGCCCCAACCGCCCTACCATCGGTGGTCGGGCCTTCAGCCTCTCAGCCCCGAGGCTCTGGAACTCTATCCCCAGTGCCTTCGCCGCTTCCTCCCTTTCCTCCTTCAAGGCCGGTCTCAAAACCTTTCTCTTTGACCGTGCCTTCAGCTCCCCTCTCGACTCTCTTCCTCCTCCTCGCTCCCTCCCTTCCCTCCCCTCACCCTGACCATTTCCCCCCTCCTCTCTCCCTCCCTTCCCTCCCCTCACCCTGACCATTTCCCCCTCCTCTCTCCCTCCCTTCCCTCCGCTCACCCTGACCATTTCCCCCCTGCTCGGGTCATGACCCAACTGTGCAGCGCCTTGGGACGTCCTCCTGACGTGAAAGGCGCTCTATAAATGGAATCTTGTTGTTGTTGTTATACATCAAAAAATATTCATACATATGCCTGGCTCGCGGCTGCTAATAAGTTGTCACTGAGCGCTTCTCTCTTGGAACGACAAGTCATGAAGAGTTTAATGCATAACAAATGCAGGAGGCATTATTCATACGCGGATTTTTTTTTAACTGGTGAGAAACAAGTGTCTGACTGCAAGTAAAACATTTTTATTATTTAATGTTAACGTGAAGATTATTATTCATGGATCACTGAAGGTTGCAAACAGGTAAAGCCAGGTCAAGTGTGTGTCACACTCCACACGGACCATCCAGTCTATTAAGTGCTCCGAGACACTGAAGCGAGCTATAGGAATGTGAGTTGTTCATAAATTGGCTGCTGTGTTTGGCTCATACAATACACGGTCACTACACTTGACAGTATATTCCGTGAAGCGAATTGAGACGTCTCGACGACATGATAAGGCACTCTATGAAATCAAATTATTATTGTAGTTGGTTTTTAATGCCTACAAACATCTGGGGGTTCTAGGTTTCTTCCTACTTAGACCCCAATAGCCCTGTAAGCCAAAGCCCTCACAGGTAGGGTCTTGCTTTGCTGGACAAGCAAGCGGGAAGCTTGCCAGACAGTGCTCTCGATGACGTGAAGTAAGACACTATATCAAATGCAAAGACTGTTATTGCTACTTAATCGAGATAACATTTGACTTGAAGGCTTCCAAGTTGATACTCTACTGCAATACGACGCAGGTAATTAAAACGGACAGCAAGAGAAATTCCTCTCGCACTGAAACATCTCAAAGTGCTTCACAAGTGATTAGTGTCAAGTGTCACCTTTGGTTTTATGGGAAAAGGTGACAACCGTTAGCATCAGGAAGGTCCCAGAAGCAGCGAATGATCCATTAATGCGATGGACTGTCAGCAAAGAAAGAAGTCCTCTTTTCTAATAGCGCAGTGGGCACTCAAAGAGCACTCTTATCTGAAGAGCAACAACAACAACAACAACAAGATTCCATTTATAGAGCGCCTTTCACGTCGGGAGGACGTCCCAAGGCGCTGTATCACCATCTCCCCCAGCACTGGACTGTAAGCCTGGACCATAAGAAAAAGTGAAACACAAATATAATCCAATATCTAATAACAATCCTTGCATTTGATACAGCGCCTCATCACATCGGTGAGACGTCTCAAAGCGCTTCACAGGATATGCTGCGAAGTGGAGTGACTGTGTGTTTTGTGGGCGAAAGGCGGCAGCCAATTGCACCCCCAGAAAGCGATCTGCCAATTGACTAACCGGGTTCCCACTTACTGCTCGGTAAACGGAGGGGTGTGTGTGTGGAGTAAGGAAACTTGCCCAAGGTTTCACCCCACCCGGGAACCGATCCCGGGTCCTCTCGCTCGCGAGGCGAGTGCTCTAACCACTTCCCTGCGGGACTCCACATCAAGTCATCAACGTCCGTGCGGCTGATATGCTTTCACCGGCTGCTGGTGCTGGAAACCGGTGCCCAGAGACAACGCAGGAAGTGTCAAGCTTCTACCCCGCTCCTCGTAACGTGTGGAATTTAATTAAAGATGAACCACGCTTTCTCCTTTCCCCCCCACGTACCCGTTATCCTCTCCTGGCCTGACCTCTTGTGGTTGTCAAGCCCCCCCCCCCGTCAATTGCTGTTCTGGCGTTACACGGAAACCATCGGTGTTTCCATAGAACAGACAGCCGTCGGCTAAAAAATGCCGGTTTACAACGAAGCCTGTGGTTCGCAGGTGGTGGCGTTCGACCGATTTACTGCGTTGCGCTCTGCGCACTGTCGCAGCATGGAGCGCAGGGATGATCTCAAGGCTTTGAGAAGCAATGGATTCAGAGCCTGGCACTGTGTCTGCTCAGCAACACTAACAAACGTGTCTCATAATGATCATCATCCTCGCATCCGATACGGCGCCTTATTGCAGCATCGACGTCTCAAAGCGCTTCGCAGGGTATACCGTAACGTGTAGCGACTCCCATGTGTTGTGAGTGAAACGCGGTAGCCAGTTTACACACAGCAACGCCCCACAAACAGCCATTTTATTTGGGGGATTGACGGCCAGCACACCGGGAGAGAGTGTAACTCCCTTCTCTTCTCACCCCAGGGTTGTCCTGAAAAGTCAGCTTAAGACTATGTGATCCCTTACAACTGATTCCAAGGCTAAAAACTGAGCCAGTGGTACGTACGTACGTACGCGCACACACACACACACACTCACACACACAAGCCAAGCAGCAGCAGCTGGATGGGAGGGAATCATTCTTTCAGCTAAGACGCACTACACTTACTTGGCAGTTGACACTGAGCCACACATCAGTCGCGTGGAACGAGGTTGAAATGGGACAGCCTTCCCTCGGGACACGCTGCAATACTGAGGGAGTTGCAGAGGCAAAGGTTTTTTTCCTCCTCGCATTGCGGAAACAAAACCTTGGGCGTGCCAATTCCTGTAGCTCAGTGGTTAGAGCACTCGCTTTGCGAGCGAGAGACCTGAGTTCAATTCCAGGCAGAGGGCGAAACCTTGGGGCAAGTTTCCTTACGCCACACAGAGCCTAATTATAATCCCTCCAAAAAAAACCAAAACAATAAGAAATTGGTCATTTTCAATCTACGACTGTTTGTGGGACATTGCTGTGCGCAATTGGCTGCCGCGTTCGCCCACAAATATACAGTCAATTCACTTTACAGTGTGTTCTGTGAAGCGCTTTGGGACGTCCTCCCGACGTGAAAAGGGCTATGTCAAATGCGAGGATTATTATTATAAGTCTCCAGCTGAAACCAAGTGCTATTAACAGGTGAAAGTGGTTTAATCTCCAACCAGTCACGTAGCACATTGGGATCAGCTGCGTAATGCTTGGAAGAACCAAACTGCAAGGGGACACTGCGTTACGAGAGACAGGACCGATTCAAGTCTGAATTACACTATTTTATTTGTGTCCAGACTTTGCTCTCTGCCTCCTGTCCCCTCCTCTGTGCGTTCAGCTGTGACACCTTCAACCACTGGCACGTTCTCTCTCTCCCCGTCTATCTTGCCTCCCCCCCCTCTCTATCTGAACATCATTCAGGAATCTATTAGGCACAGGTTTGGAAGAGCCAAGGCTTGGGGGGAGCCCAGAGTGTGCGTTGGGGGTAACTGCTGGCGTCTAACCAGCTAAAGCCGTACATAGCTTGCCATTGATACAGCGTCTTATCACATCGTCAAGACATCTCAAAGCGCTTCACAAGACACACTGCAAAGTATAGTGACTGTGTGTTTTGCGAGCCAACGCGGCAGCCAATTTCACACGTATTTACGGAGGTCGGGGAAAGTTTGTCACAGTGCAAAAAAAGGTGCTTTTATTTTTTATTCAGTCGACTTCCATTATTTTTCTGTCCTTCGAACAAGTGGTTTATAGGAATATAATTACACAATATCAAAGACACTCAAAAGATTGCACCGAACCACGGAGAAAGAGATTAGGGAATGGGAGGTGGGGGGGCGGGGGGGAGTGAGGGGAATCACAACGCAACCCCTCCACGAGTCCCGGGAACTATTCCCAATGGCAATCATTAAGGACAGAGACCCTGTAACTGCATTACGCTCACTCTATTTGCTAACCCCACTGTCGGACTATTACACGTGCATTTCTAACACAGGTTTGGCACAGTTACAGATCAGCTTCTGCATACTCATCGTCTCAAAGGAACCCGTATCACAGAGCAGAGCAGAATTGGGGGCTCTTTGCCCCCCCCCCCAGCTAGCTGACAGTTCATTGGGTTAATTTCCGACCACTCCACCCCTCACCCCCAAATTCCCTCCCCGCTTTCGCCTCATACCAACACAGCACCAGCCACATGTAAAGAGTGAATTAGAAACACACAGTTGATCTCATCTCACGGCACATTATGCGATTACACTTTGCGATTAGGGCTGAGGAAGGAAGGTGGACACACAAACTCTCTTCGACTGATCTGAAGAGCAACTGCTCCACACTGCTTGACGTCTCTAGCCTCACACAAAACAGCGGCTCTCTCATCTGAGAGCTGGAGCAAGGCTTGCGGGAGGAGAAACATTGTAAACCCGCGACTGCCTTATGAGTGCGTGAGAAAAAGAAGTTTCCCCCTTGTGGTGGAGGAGAGGCTGATAAGTTCCATTTTGCATCTATGCTGCATTTGTCTTTCTCTCCACACAGTAGCACAAACACATCTCAAACACAAATCAATGCAGACAGCCCCGGGCACTGGAAGACTCTGTAAGGACTGAATAAAAGGATGTGAAATCTGAATGATGTTCTCTCTCTTGCGCTCTCCCTCTCTCCTTCCCTTCGTGCCTCATATTGAGAGGACAGTCTGTATGTGCAGTACAAGACAAAAAGGTTCTGCTCACTGATGTTATAATGCCGTTGGGTCCAACAAGGCCTTGTTTGTGGAAGCTGAGTCAACAGCACCGGCCTGGATACCTGTTAAGAAACAACAAAGAATGGCCTTCAATATCGTTTCAAACGTACAAGTGTAGAGCACAGCTCTGGCACTCACTGCTGGTCCATTCAGGTTTGGAACATTCACCCCACAAAATACACAGTCAATTCACTTTACAGTGTTTCCTGTGAAGCGCTTTGAGACGTCTCGAAGACTTGATAAGGCGCTGTATCAAATGCAAGGATTATTATTATTTAACGCTGTAAAGATAGCAGATGCTCCCATGTGTTTAGAGTGCACCGACTAATCCAGCGCTGCTTTATTCAAGAAGATCCATCTACTTACGTGTGTCGGACAGGGTGAGCTTTCTGAGCTCTGCTTCCAACTCATGGTCAATCAAATCAGCAGCAGGAACGCTAGCCGAGGAAGACCAGGGCAAAGGAGTGCTCGGAACGTCTGGGAGCTTGGACTCTTCTTGCGTGACTTCGGCCAGAAGAGTGTTCAGCTCCTCTTCCAATTCATCCATGTCCACAGCACCTGAACCAGGACAGACAAAGAGCCATTAACCAACAACAACAACTTGCATTTACACAGCTCCCCTCACGCAGGGCAGCGTACTTGAGTGCTTGAAAGTGGTGGAGCATGACGATGAGCCGGTGGGGTGGTGGGGAAAGAGGTGACCGTAAGCACTGATTGAAGAGGAAGGTCTTCAGACGCGACCTGAACATGGAGAAGGAAGGGGCAAGGCGGAGGGGCTGAAAGCGTGCACGAGGGACATGCAGAAGGCCGGAGCTTTAACAACTCTCCGGGTTTCACTTTCCTCCCCTCTCCCTCGTTCCCTCCCTCTCTCCCCTCCACCGTTACCTGTGGAGTTGTTTTGATGTCTAGGAAATCTGTGCGTTTCACCTTGTGAATTGAGAATCAGGGGACGCGGTGAAGAAAGGAGTTGAGAGTTTCCAGCACTAACCTGCTGGGCCCAGGTTCGCTCCGGCAATCGCCTGGTTTATATCCTCCTGGGTGTCGCAGAACTGAAAGGAAAAGAGGGAGCGTTTTAGGACAACAAAGGGGTAGAAATCAGCTGTAGAGTTCGGCAGTTACAACATTAACAACTTGCATTTATATAGCGCCCTTCATGCCAGGCAGCGTCTCAGAACTTAACAGTGGTCAAGAGGATGTCCCAAGGCGCTGGATGGTCAGGGATTTGGACCCAAGCTGGGAGTGGGTGGGGTGGGGGGTTGGAATCAGGAGGGGAGGGTGGAAGGCAGGGAGGGTAAAGAGGCTGTCTTGTTCTCTGTTCTCATGTTACTTGTCTATGTGCAATTTCGGTTTAATCCGAGTCAGTGACACATCAGCCCCAAGATCAGGAGAAGCTCCACTCACCTCCTCGATCTGATCCATGAGACTCTCCACTTTGCTGACAGTCACGTCTTTCATGGACTGCTTCAGGGCTCCCAGACCAGCCTGGTACGCATCCACCACCTGACACAGACAGAAACAACAACAGCAACATTACATTTGTATAGCGCCTTTCGCGTTTCGGCAGATTTGTTCTGAATTTACCCCCTTCAATCACAGGCCGTGTCCTCTGATTCTACTGTTGAGTAGAAGATAAAACAGCTTATCACGGTCTATATTATCTAGACTCTTCAGCAGTTTAAAAGACTGACCATTTTGTCCGACTGTGATGAGTAGATGCGGTCCAGGATGGTCTGAATGGTGTCCAGTTTGGCATGGATATTCTCCAGACGTTTCTCTGACTTCTTCTTGGTTTTCAGACATTTCAGTGCCTGAGAAAGAGAGAGGTGAGGAAGAGGGAGAGAGAGAGAGAGAGAGAGAGAGCTCAGCAAGCTCGGTCTGACACAAGCTCTCAGAGTAAGGCAGCAGCCTTCAAGCATCAAGATGAGCAGCCCTCAATTCTGTGTGTGTGTGTGTGTATGTGGGGGCATGAACCTCAATAAAGATGAGACCACATGCTGCCTTGATCTCTGCAGGAATCGACGCACACTTTGGTGAACGGTGAGTGAGCATAAAGGCGAGGGGATGCATTTTGAAACACAAGGAGAAGGGGAGAAAAACTGCACCTCACTCACCAGCTGTTTCTTCCCAGTCTTCAGGTAGCTTTGAGCTTCCTTCTTGCACCTGGAGACAAAAGAGCCTGTTAAAGAAAACGCTTGCTTTCTCAGGGTACGATAAACCTCTTCTGTTCCAGCCACCGCTAGGCAGGGCTGTTCTTGTGGTGGGAAGAGAGCAAGGAATCTTTTTTCATTGATCAGTCACACCTTCACCAAATCCAACCATCTCACAAGCTAATTCAATGATTTTTCCACTGTACAATTTATCCTGTAAGGGAGGGGGGGTGTTGGGATCAGGGGGGTGGTTGGAGGGCAGGGAGGGTGGGGGTAGGAGGTGTTGACCGAAGCATTACAAGTACTACAAGCAAACCCACCCTCCCACCTCCCTCCCCGAGACTGAAACACGTCACCGGCGTGGAAGAATTCCTCACACCTCTCTGCGTCCTCGCTCAGAGACTCCACCTTCTGGTTCAGCAACTTCTCGCACCTCATCAGCTGGAAGATTCCGATGTCGATCTCGTTCACCGGGGAAACTTTGTGGTGGGACGAGCGAGCAAACTTCACAATCTGTACAGGGACCAGGCGATATTGTCACAAGGGGGCTGAGCCCACACACACACACACGCACGGGGGCACATACGCACACGCGCACGATATTAAACCTACCGTGTGCATGACCCAGAGACAGATATATTTTTACCTTCTCGCCATCGAGCTCCGCGACAGCCACCCGCTTCTCCTTTTGCAGCTGCAGCAGAGCGAGGTAGAAACTCCTGTCGTCCGGGCACGTGCTCAGACACACAGCCTGGAGCTCCGCAAAGCTCCCCACGGGATGCGAGGAGTGCAGAGACTTCTGGCAAAGCTGCAAGACCTGGGCTGCCTTCTCCTGCAAAAGTCACGGCGGGGAAGGTCACAAAAGCGCGGAGCCGGGAAGTGGGAAAGGGCGCGAAATCCGATGCATTTGATTACAGCGCCTTATCAAGTGGTCAGGACGTCTCAAGGCGCTCCACCAGACACCGAGAGAGAGAGCGAGAGAGAGAGAGAGAGAGAGAGAGAGAGAGAAACTCCCTTCTCTCTTCCAATATTGCCGCAGGATCTTTAACATCCACCCCAACAGGCAGACTTGAGCTCATTTTTTTTTTGTGCGTGGGTGTGAGATTATCACCCCGGTGAAAGCAAGTCAAGTGTAGTGGCTGGTTTTTTTTTTTTTGCAAGCAGGGGCAGGGAGAGCAACACCCCGGACGGATTTAAACTCACCTCGACGAGTTCGACCAGGACGAAGGACTCATCCGGGGACAACTGATCGGTGCCAAGCATGGAGGAGAGGGTCCACTTGAGGGGTTTGACCAGAAGCAGGCCCACGCCCCACGCCAGCCAGCTGGCATCAACGTTTGCCGCAAAGTTGGACTCTTTCTGAATCAGCCCTCGCCTTGGGAAGGGAGCGAAGCAAAGATCCGACACGTCAGCGCGGGGCCGAGCTGACGAGCGCTCAATTTCTAACCGTTTATCCTGAGTTATTCCTTATTTATTTATTCGCAGATTTGTCACTTCTTTTGCCTGGAGCTCCGCCCCAACCGCCCCAACCGCCCGGCCATCGGTGGCCTTCAGCCTCTCGGCCCCGAGGCTCTGGAACTCCATCCCCCAGTGCCACCGCCGCTTCCTCCCTTTCCTCCTTCAAGGCCGGTCTCAAGACCTCTCTCTTTGACCGTACCTTCAGCTCCGCTCTCGACTCTCTACCCCTTCTCGCTCCCTCCCTTCCCTCACCCTGACCATTCCCCCCTCCTCGCTCCCTCCCTCCCCTCACCCTGACCATCTCCCCCCTCCTCGCTCCCTCCCTCCCCTCCCCCTGACCATCTCCCACCTCCTCGCTCCCTCCCTCCCCTCCCCTCACCCTGACCATCTCCCCCCTCCTCGCTCCCTCCCTCCCCTCCCCCTGACCATCTCCCCTCCCTCCTCGCTCCCTCCCCTCCCCTGACCATCTCCCCCTCCTCGCTCCCTCCCCTCCCCCTGACCATCTCCCCCCCTCCTCGCTCCCTCCCCTCACCCTGACCATCTCCCCCCCCCAATGCTCGGGTCCCGACCCAACTGTCTGGAGTCTTGGGACATCCTCAATAACATACACACAGTCACTACACTAATAATAATAATCATAATCTCAAATCACTCCACAGGATGCGCTCCGAAGTGTAGTGGCTGTGCGTTTGGTGGGTTCAATAACGTACACAGTCACTACACTAATAATAATCATAATCTCAAATCACTCCACAGGATGCGCTCCGAAGTGTAGTGACTGTGCGTTTGGTGGGTTGAACGTACACAGTCACTACACTTTACTAGTAATCATCGTCTCAAAGCGCCTTCCCGGGATACGACCGTGAGGTGTAGTGACTGTGCGTTTGCTGCTGGCGGCGGTGGTAGTGGCGGTGGGGCTCAATGACGTACACAGTCACTACACTCGTTCACCTGATCATGTCGTCCAGCACGACCCGCAGGCCGAGCGGCGCCGAGCCCTTCCTGAGGAACCAGAGCTGCAGGTCGGCCAGGCTGAAGCTCAGGGCCCCCCGGCCGCGGGCCGCCCGGGCCACCAGGGCCGCCCAGAAGCCCATCTTACTGTCCCAGTCGCGGCTGTTGACCTCGCGGCTCCGCTTGAAGGCCGAGAAGAGGTGCGCCATCCGCTCGTCGTCCGCCCAGTCCTCGGCGCAGGCCTCGGCCGCCTCCCAGCCCGACATGGCGGCCCGGCCCTGCGGCCCGTGTCCAGCCTCCCTCCGGGTACCAGGGCGCCTCGCTGCCTCCTCCCGCCTCTCCCCTCCGCCACGCCCCCTCCTCGGCTCGGGGCCAATCACAGGCCAGGTTCTGGCGATTGACAGGTCCCCCAGCCAATCCCAGCCCAGGCTCGCGTGATTGACGGCCCGCAGCAGCCAATCCTCAGGCCTGACATGGCGGCCGCACCCCCCACCCCCACAGCGCCACCGCTGCCCTCCTCCTCCCGCCTGTCACTCACAGCCAATCACGCGCCGGGTTTGCCATGCGATTGACAGCACTCACAGCCAATCCGAGGCCTCCTCCCGCCCCTCTATTGCGCGCACCCTCGCTCTCCCAATCACAGCCAATCACACGCCAGGCTCCAGTGATTGACAGATCTCCTAGCCAATTGTAGACCACACGCGTGTGATTGACAGCTCTCCTTGCCAGTCCCAGCCCAGGCTCTAGTGATTGACAGCCCTCAGAGGCAATCCCAGGACTGGCCCTACTGATTGACAGCTCGCCTAGCCAATCACAGGCAAGGCTTCACTGGTTGACAGCTCTCAGAGCCAATCACATGCCAGTTTCTAGTGATGGACCCACCTAGCTCTAGTGATTGACAGCCCTCAGGGCCAATCCCAGGCCAGCCTTTCTGATTGACAGCTGGTTTGGAGGCTCCGGGTGTCAGACGCCCATCTGCCTGGCGGAGCAAACACATCGTTTGCACAGTATTATAACAATAACTGCGCAACAATCCTTGCACTTGATACAGCGCCTTATCGCGTCCTTAAGAGGTCCCAAAGAATGCACCGCAAAGCGTAGTGACTGTGCATTGTGCGGGCGAATCGCGGCAGCCAATTGTGCCGTCCACAACGAGCATCAGCGCGTTTCTCATTAAAGGCCCTCTGTCGCTCACACGCGCACAGATTCGCCCACAAAATACAGTCAATTCACTTTGCAGCGTATCCGGTGAAGCGCTTTGAGACGTCTCAAAGACGTGATGAGGCGCTGTATCAAGTGCGAGGATTATTATTGTTGTTCGTTCTGCTGTTGGCCGATAAATACACAGTCACCTTTCACGGTGAAATCCTCCGCGAGGGGCATCGAGACGTCTGGCCGATGTGCTAAGGCGCTGTATCAAGCGCAAGGATTGTTATTTGGATCCATTCAATCTAGATCTCCGTCTCTGCTTCGTGAGCTGACGGCTCAAGCAATGTGAGCACCTTCAACCGTTAAGCAATCTCAATGCCTCGCGGCGTCTGAGACGTTTCCTCCAGCCGCAACGGGCCGGTGCGACATCGAGAATCACCGAGCGCAGTACGAGGAAGAATATTCACACCGGACGCGCTGTTACTTCCGTGCACCAAAGTCGTAGCTCGATGTTGCACAGAATCACACGCACACAGATTGTCGCAGCGTGAACCACAAACAAAAATGTAAGTATGAAATCGGAGGCTGTTTTATTGTAGCTCTCATCAATCCCAGACATATGCACAACTAAGCACGTGCTCGGTCAATCTCAGCTATTTGGACTCTCTGAAGCTCAGTGGTTAGAGCCCCCGCCTCGCAAGCTTGAGGACCCGGTTTAGATTCCCGGGCAGATCAGGGCGAAATCTTAGACAAGTTTCCTTACTCCACACACACACACACACGCCTCGGCTTACCTAGTCGTAAGCAACCGGGTTATTAGTCGATTGGCGGATTGCTATATCGGGGGTTATAATCCCGTCACAAAAATATAAATAAGAATAATAATTTGGTCACTCAATCCACCACTGTTTATGGGGACGCTGTTGTGGGCAATCGGCGGCAGTGGTTCCTCCACAAAACGGAGAGTCGATCCACTTTACGGTGTATTCTGTGAAGCGCTTTGAGATGTCTCAAAGGCTTGATGAGGCGCTTTGTTCAAATGCAAAGATTATTATTAGTAGTAGTAATAATGGTGCAGTGGACTGTTCCTTTTAAGCGAGGCTTTGTGTGTGTGTGCCAGTCACAATGTTAAGCAGACTTGCCTAACGCTTCACCCCGCCCGGGAATCGAACACATTAAGCGCTCAGATCCACGATATTATGCTTGTAGATCACGGTGTTCCCTTTAAAGCTGGAAGCCAGAACCAGGTCAAAGTTGTCGATGGACACAAGCTTGAAGGAGCGCGGAGCACGCAGATTCCAGTCCTGGAACCTGGCGAACTTCATCTCGCCCGCGTCCCACAGGTAAATGGTAGACAGCGAGAAGTCGCTGCCTAGAACCAGATAGTGCCACTGTATGATCTGCAGAGGTTGGGCGATCATAGTGCCTCGAGATGGGAGAACCTGGTTTGTGGTCACCTTGTGATTCTCCCACTTCACCACCTTGGAGTCGCCGATGAATTGGGTCAGGCAGAGGTACATGTCCCTCTTAATCCTGAAGTGCTTCACCGCATGAACATTCAACATGCCGGGGATCTCCATCTGGTAGACGAACTGCTTCCGCGCCCAGTTCCACTGGTATACGACGGGCGTCTGAGTGCTGCTGGAGACGATCAGCTTGGGTTTGCCGTCCAGCTGCACGAACTCCACGTCCGTGTCTCTGTGCCACACGTGCAGCGACTGATGGGAGTAGAAGCCGTTCGTGTTCCACTTGTAGATGGTGGTCGCCCCCGCCTTCGAGCTGTCCGCGATGACAAAATACCACTCGCCCTCAATCTGAAAGGTCTCGATGTCGTTGGGCTTGCGTGTTTTGGTGGCGTCGATGTCCTGGATCCTGATGAACTTGCCGCCAAAGTCGTCCCACCTGTATACATGGGAGCCACCGAACAGCTGAGCTACGATCACAAAGAGCTGCCCGTCGATCACCAAGGGCTTGCAATAGACAGCAGCACGAGCTGCGAGAAACAGAGTGAGAGAGAGAGAGACAACAACAACAAATTACTTTTCACAGCGCCTTTCACATCGGAAGGACAACCCAAGGCGCTGGACGGTTAAGAGTTTGCGCCCGAGCTGGTGGTTGCAGTCAAGGGTGGCCTATAGCACCATCAAAGAGAAAAATCTTGAGACGAGTCTTGAAGGAGGAAAGGGAGGGGGGTAGGAGGGGGTGGGGTGAGGCGGAGGGACTTGGGGATGGAGATCCAGAGGGAATCTTGCAACTTGCAGGGTAGTGTCCCAGAGCAGTTGAAAGGCTCACCAGAGATGTTCTCAGACCTCTTGAAGACCATCTCGATGTGATCCCATTTGAGGAAGGTGCAGTTCCCCCCGTTAGTCTGTGCGAAGGTAACATAGAGGTCATCAGCGAATCCAAAGGGCTCCACTGAAATGGACTGGAAAGGAAGTGTCTGATACAGAATGAACTCTGAAAAGAGAAACGACGAGGGGAAAGCATTAAAATCTCACCCGCTCAGTCCGTAGCAACAACGAAAGGAACAACTTATACTTGTCTAGCGCCCTTCACGTCGGAAAGGCATTCAAGAGCCCTGGGCAATCGGGGTTTTTTTTGGACCCGAGCTGGGAGTTGGGGTCAGGAGGGGTGGAGTTGTGGGTTAAAGCCCCCACGTCAGGACTTTGAGCTCATAGTTTAGGCTGATGCTCGCGTATAGTGCTGGGGAGAAGCAAGGATTATTATTAATATTATTATGTGCGTCATTTGAGACGGTGCCAGGCTGACCTGTGGTTATGCAGGCAAAGTCCTTGATGGGCAGCTGGGAGACTTTGTGGCCCTGGTACTTGGCCGGACTGGCACACTGCACGGGGGCAATGCTGGCGTTGGTGGTCCTCAGCCATTCAATCAGCCATTTCACTTTACAGTCGCAGTGGAAGGCGTTGCCCCGAAGATCTCTTCGAAAAGGGTTAAGGAGGAACAACACCACATTGGGTTGTGTACCAGAATGCAAGGTTGCACCCACCCTCTGGAACTCCATACCGCTGTCCCTCAACATCGGCCTCACCTTTGCCTCAATCAAGACCCGTCTCAAGACCCTCCTCTTCGACTGTGCTTTCGGTCACCCTCCTTTCCCCCCTTTGCCTTCCACCCTCCCGACCCCCAGCTCGGGTCCGAAACACTGACTGTCCAGCGCCTTGGGATGTCCTCCCGACACGAAAGGCGCTATACAAACATAATTTTGTCTGTTTCTTGTACACTACACTTTACGATATATTCTGTGAAGCGCTTTGAGGCATCGCAACGACGTGATAAGACGCTGTATTGTTAATATTATTTCAATGCTATTATGGCACTGCACTTAACCACTGTTTAGCTCTGTGTTGACATTGTATTAACATCACCTAAACATTGGTAATATCTAAATATTCTCTACCAGGCACCATCTAATCACTCTCCCTAACCCAAGCCGAACTGAAGAATTTTCTACAATTAGATTTTAAAGCAGATCGCCGCCAATTAAGATAACTCTGCCTCTTACTTTGAATTTGCCTGCGTGTTAGTCTCCTCAAAGCATCAATCGCAAAACAATGAACAAGTCTCTCACAAGTCTGTCAGAATTCTGAGGTCCTTGAAAATGCCTCTTGGAAGTGCCTGAAGCTTATTGTTCTCCAGAGATCTGAGGGGATAAACGAGACGAAAGGTTAATGATAATAATAATAATCTGTCTCTAACCTTTGGAACTCCATTCCGCAGTCCCTTCATCTCGCCCCCTTCCCTTGCCTTCTTCAAGGCCCATCTCAAGACCTTCCTTTTCGACCACGCTTTCACCCACCCTCCTACCCCCTCACCTCCCTACCTTCCACCCCTCTTGATCCCAACCCTCTGCTCGGGTCCAAACCCCTGACTGTCTTCGGACGTCCTCCCGACGTGAAAGGCGCCGCTTAAATGTCATTTGTTGTTCGACTACTATATAATTACTATATAATTATACTATATAATTAGTACTCACAGATGGGTCAGTGCTCTGAGACCCTGGAAGGTGTCTTTGGAGAGTGACTGGATCTCGTTGTTTTCTATGAAGCTGTGAAGAAAGATAAGAAAAGATGTCTGCTGTCGCAACACGAGTAACTGTGATGAGGAAACCCCTTAGAGAAGGTATCAGAGTTGTCCAAACTTACAGATACTGCAGGTGTGATAAACCAGAGAATGCATTATCCTTGATATAAGTGAACTGGTTTGAGTTCAGCAATCTGTTGGGACACAAGGTAACACGTATTAACGCTTACGCCCATCCTTTTGGTTCACCCATATACCCTGTGGATTCTTCACTTAGTGACCCAATCGCACTGTTGTCAAACAAAGCGCGTAGCGTAGTGGTTAGAGCACTCGCCTCGCAAGCGAGAGGACCCGGGTTCGATTCCCGGGCAGGTCCGATCTCAGTCAAGTTTCCTTACTCCACACACACACACACCCACACGCCTCTGTTTACCCAACAGTAAGTAGGAAACCCGGGTGTTAGTCCATTAGCCGATCACTTTCCGGGGTAATAACCCCTTCAAATAAATAAATTAATTAATTAAATAATTTGGTCACTCAACCCACGACTGTTTGCGGGGACACTGCTGTGCGCGATTGGCCGCCATGTTTCGCCCACAAAATATACGGTCAATTCACTTTACAGCGTATCCCGTACAGTGTTTTGAGACGTCTCAACGACGGGCCGAATGGCCTCCTTCTGTGCTGTAGGATTCTAACGAGTGTGTGAAATCCACCAATGAGGAAAAAAAGAATCAAGCAGTCTTTTATCTCACAGCTACGTGCGGCTGAAACAGACTCGCTGACGCGTTCATTTACGATGACAGCAGCCCTCCAATGCTACCTAATGCACCAAGCGCTTTGAGATGCTGCGATGCAGGCCCAATATCAAGTGTGCGGTTCATCATTTATTTATACTTACAGGAACTGCAAGGTCGGCAAGTGGGAAAAGGCCCCCGCTGGGATCTGAGTGAATTTGGCACTCACAAATGTCCTGCAAAGACAGAAAGACACCGTGAATAATAATCGTCGTAGTAATAATAATAATCCTCGCATTTGATTATCACATTTTTGAGATGTCGCCAAGTGCTTCACAAAACATACTGTACAGGGAATTGACTGTGTGTTTTGTGGGCGGAATGACTCCGAAAAAGATTGATTCTCCGCATAACAACAACCGCAGCTTCGGTCACCTTCCTAACCCTCACCCTCCCCGCCCTCCACCCCCTCCCTGATCCCAACCCCACAACTTAGGTCCAACTCCCTGACTGTCCAGCGCCTCGGGACGTCCTCCTGACGTGAAAGGGCACCGCGTAAATGTCAGTTGTTGTTGTAAATTGCAACCCATTTCTGTGAGTTGAGTGTGGCGGTTTAGACCCTGATGTACGTTGGCTTCTAACAAGGAGACATGGACTTGATTGCGATTGTAGTGGCTGTGTTTGTGTTACTCTTCCTCCCACCCCCCACCACCGCACCACACACACACCCGCTCCTGTCCTTTCCCCTCGACGCACACGTCAAAACGCACAGACTTCTTTTGTGGAGAGGCTTTGTGCATTGTCTGATGTGCGCGAGGCTTTGCTGCCTTTTCGTCTCTCCAATCTTCAAGACCAATAACTGTTTCCCCTCCGAGTTATATTCTCAGCCAAAAATACTGTTAAACACTGGTTGACCAGCCAAAAGGTCCTTCAGATGAGATGTTAAACCAAAGTCCCACCTGCCTGTAAAAACAGGCTGCCGCGTTTCACCGACAAAACACTTTACAGTGTATCCTGTGAAGCGCTTTGAGATGTTTCAACAACATGAAATCAAATGCAATTATTATTATTATTACGATTAAAATACAAGGAGAAGTACGAATTTATAAGTTGCAATTTGCAAAGGAACAGTAGAGCCAAAATATAATTGGGGTCAGTCGGTAGCTCTCTCTCACCTCTGACTCGGGAGGTTGTGGGTTCGAGCCCCACGTTGGGGCTTGAGCTCATTATCCAGTGCGGTGATGGGAAGAATGCTGCGTTGTCAGAGATGCTGTCTTTCAGTTGAGATGCTAAACCAAATGTTAGGGGGGTTGGAGTCAACTGTGCGCGTGTGTGCGCGTGTGTGTGCGTGTGAGCGGCCACACACGGCCTGATAATACATCACATATACAGAGAGAGCGAAGGGCGGGTCAACATGTTAGGCAAATTTCCTTACTCCACACTGACCTATCAGTCAGTAGGAACCCAGTTGTTAGATTGGCGGATTGCTTTCTGGGGTAATAATCCCATCGTTAAAACATAATGTAAGAAAAAACATAATTTGGTCACTCAATCCACGACTGTTTGCGGGGGACGCTGCCGTGCGCAATTGGCTGCCGCGTTTCGCCCACACAATACACAGTCGCTACACTTTACAGTATATTGTGTGAAGCGATTTTGAGACGTCTCGAAGAAGCTTTACTTACAGAGAGATAACGTCCATCGGGAAGGTCCGTGGAATTGCCTTGGAACCAACACAGAAGGCGCTGTCTTTAGTGCAGGAACAGGTCAGAGGACATTTGGGTGGTCTCTTAGCCTCCACCAAGACCCCGAGGCAGAAGATCCAGAACATCAAACCCACCGCCAGAGGCGATCGCCTCCCAGAGCCTTTCTCACCAACGTACATCATCCCTGGCTGCTGGTTCATCAGTGAGGCTTGTGTAGAGCCTTCAGCTGGTAATAACGCGGATCATCCTCAGCCCATCAGGCTTTGAAGCGAATAGCGGGGAGCAAAGAGGAGGGGGGGGGTGAGTGGCGGGTGGGGGGGTTGGGGTTGGTGAAAGGCTGCGAATCACTTACTATTCAACTGTTGTCAGCACACAGGTCAGAGACTAACTGATGCATTGTAAGACAAGCTCTCTCTCTTCACGATGTTCCACCCATCCCACCCCACACACACTGCCTCTTTGTCTCCCGTGCGAAACATTTGCCATTCAAGGTCAGACAGCACTGAACGGGATCAAAGTGGTGCAGAAATGGCTTAAGACTCTCTTCTCGTGCACAGCAGCTTCGACGGCAGCTTTCAAAAGGGAATTGGATAGGTTCCTTGAAAGGGAACAAAATTGCAGGGCTGTGGGGTAAGAGCGGGAGAGTCGGAGCAGTTGGATAATAATAATAATAATCCTTTCGTTTGATATGGCGCCTTATCACGTCTCCGAGAACGTCTCAAAGCGCTTCGCAGGACACACTGGGTATTTTGTGGGCGAAACGCGGCAGCCAATTGCGCAAAGCAGTGTCCCATAAACAGTCGTGGATTGAAGTGACCGATTTATTATTATTATTATTTTTTTTTTAGCTCTTTAACGGGCCAGCGCAGGCATGATGGGCCGAATGGCCTCCTTCAGTTGTGTAGGACTCTCTGATCCTATAATGCTTTTCCTTAGAAGAGTCACAGCTGCTTAAGGACTGCGTGTGATGGGGTAACCCATCACTGCAGTTATGTCATCCTAAAGCACTCTGGTGCTGTGTACGGCAATCCCATTGTGCTCAGTTCACTAGTCCGGGGCGCACAGACGCAACTCCAGGTGCAGTGCTGTATTGCATGGCCTCTGTCTACTGACAGTGGCAGCATTTAACCCAGAAAATACCATCCACACTGTGCGTAATGCTTGCCGCAGCTGGGCTGCCGGAATAAAAGAGATTCTTCTTAATAAAAGCAGCACTTGAACCCCTCCTTGCAGAAGAGATTCCTTGCAGGAATCGAACCCGGGCCCTCCCGCTAGCGACGCTGCAAAGCGTTTCTTACAAGCGGCGAGCTTTACTCCATTTCCTTAGCCACTGAGCGCGGGCGGAACTTGACAGGTTCTTTAAACGCAACCTTATTTGTGAAGCCAGTTTCGAAGCTTCAAAGCCGCGCCTCGGGACGTCCTCCCGACGTGAAAGGCACTTTACACGCGTAAAGCTGCCTCGACCACTGCATTCTGACACACCTGTGTACAGTGCATGTGCACATCCATGCTATTTGCTGCTGTCTCTCTTCCCTCGATTACCCCCCTACAGTGCTTACTCCTGCTGCGATCGCAGTCTTGTATTATTTTCTCCCCTCTCCATAGTCAGGGTTATTGATCTGCCCGACAAGTAAATGGCCGCAGCACATGTGGCTCCTATTCCCACTCTCGCAACAGATTAGGGCGTTTGCAGCTGCCTAGACTGTTCAACGCTGACTTATTCCCACTCTATGCGGATAGCACAGGCCACTTCTTACACCAGAGCAATGCTGGGCATCAGTGGGTGGAAGGTCTTTAAAATTGAAGATTTATTATTAATAATAATGCTAATATTCCTTGTGTTTGATAAAGCACCTTATCGCGTCATTAAGACAACGACAACGCCGTTTATACAGCGCCTTTCATGCAGGGCAGTGTCTCGGAGCGCTCGACAATGGCGGAGCCTGACTCCGCGCTGAAGAGCAAGGTCTTTGGTCGGGATCTAAAAGAGGGGAAGGGGGGGGGCAAGGCAGAGGGATTTGGGGGAGAGCGTTCCAAAGTTTCGGGGCGTAGCGGCTGAAAGCGCGGCAGCCGACGGTATAGTGGAGGGAACGAGGGATGCGCAGGAGGCCGGAGCCGGTCGAGACGTCTCAAAATAATCCTTGCATTTGATATAGTGCCTTATCACATCTTTGACACGTCTCAAAGCTCTTCACAAAATATACTGTAAAGTGAATTGACTGTATATTTTGTGGGCGAAATGCACAATATTTCATAATAGTGCATAATAGTCTATATTATGTCTGATATATATATACTATATTACGTACAAAATGTATATAAAATAATCAGAAACCCTGCCCTTGAAAAGGTAACTAAGAGTTAAACACTGCAGTGTCTAAGGTTTCAGGAAACGCCCAATACATACAATGCAGCTCGGTTGGGTGTGACTTGCAGTGAGGGAGGGGAAAAAAAATGGACCGGGGGAAAAAGAAATGAAATAAAAAGGTAGAATGATCATGATTGATGAACGGAATAATTGCGATTTAAATGATCAAATCGGGCTTGCGTTTTATTGCTAAGATCTTTTAATTGTAATTTTATTTTCAAGCTCTTCCCCCTCTCCCTGTCTTCACATTTTCTCAAGAATGCTTACTCATATTGCAGTCTTTCCCCAACCCCACCCCCTCGCGCTCTGCACAGTTAGTCTTATTGATTCACCCTGACAATTAAGTGGCTGCGTCAGATTTCTCTACAGCCTCGGCGGCGGCTATAAAAGGCCATTGCAAAGGCAGGCATTGAGCACAGGCAGACAAGGAGGAGGCAGGGAGCGAGCAGAAGCAATCATGAGTACCGCAAGCTACGACTCCTATTTCCACTCTCAGAGGAAACGCTATGGGGACAGCCCTGTGTCCAGGGTTTACGGAGGTATCCAGCACTCCAGGAGCTCCATTGGAAGCAGCATCAAGCCCATCAGGTCGACCTACTCAGTCCAGTCTTTCTCGGGGAGGAAAGGGCATGCTTCTCCATCCATGATCTCAGCCCTGGACACCTTTGATCTGAGCCAGGCGAGCGCCGTGAGCAGCGAGTTCCGTACGGTCCGCACCCAGGAGAAAGCCCAGCTGCAGGAGCTGAACGACAGGTTCGCTAGCTTCATCGAGAAGGTCCATGAGCTGGAGCAGCAGAACAAGGTGCTGGAAGCCGAGCTGTCCATCCTGAGGCAGAAACACGGGGAGCCCTCCCACCTCAAGGCCATTTACGACCAGGAGCTCCGAGATCTCCGTCTGGCTCTGGAGGACGCCAAGAACGAGAGGCAGAACGCCCAACTGCAGAGGGATCACCTGGACGACGTCCTGAAGAAGATGCAGACTCGCTTCGAGGATGAGGTCCTCAACCGGGAGGACGCCGATGGCAGGTTGGTGGAAGCCAGGAAGAGCGCTGACGAGGCTGTCTTGGGCAGGAGTGCGATGGAGAGGAAGATTGATGGCTTGGTGGAGGAGATCGCCTTTCTGAAGAAGCTGCACGATCAGGAGATGGGGGAGATGCAAGCTCAGATCCACAGTGCCCAAGTGTCCGTCGAGGTGGACATGGCTGTGCCAGACCTGTCCTCTTCCTTGAGGGACATCAAGGTCCAGTACGAGAAGGTGGCTACCAAGAACTTGGAGTCGGCCGAAGAGTGGTACAAGAATAGGTTCAACGTAATGGTGGAGAGCGCTTCCAAGGAACAAGAGTCGATGAAGCAAGCTCGAGATGAGATGTCTGAGATCCGGCGCCATGTGCAGTCAAAGACTTTAGAGATCGAGGCGGTGAAGGGGTTGAACGAGTCTTTGGAACGCCAGCTTCAGGAGCTGGAGCAGAAGCAAGGCATGGACGTAAACTCGTTGCAGGTGAGTGAACTCGGGAGGGGAGCGGTGATGGGGTAGGAAGATGGGAGGAACGTAATAAAGGAGAGCGGAGGGCGGAATCAAGAAAAGCATTTCTCATCTGTTGAGAAAGGGAGGTCAAATACAAAGGAGAATAAAGGGGATATAACCATAAGTTCGCTTTGCTCGTTAGTCAAAATAAATAATGGTTTGGTCACTCAATCCACGACTGTTTGTGGGGACGCTGCTGCGTGCAATTGGCTGCCACGTTTCGCCCATAAAATACGCAGCCAATCCACTTTACAGTATATTCTGGGAAGCGCTTTGAGACGTCTCAATGACGTGAAAGGCGCTGTATCAAATGCCAGGATTATTGTTATTAAAAAAAATGAAAAAGCATGCAAAGGATCCTCGATAAGAACAGAGGGAGATGGCAGACTGCACACAATATTTCAAACCTTTTATTTTCTTTCCAAAATTAGGACGTAATCAACGACCTAGAAAATGAATTAAGCTCCACCAAGAATGAGATGGGGCATTACCTGAAAGAGTATCAGGATCTTCTGAATGTGAAGATGGCTTTGGACATCGAGATCGCAGCCTACAGGTAAATAGCTGCAGAACGCTGGGTCTGCAGTGCTCCATGGCACAGCCCAGCTCCACACCAGTCACTGGGGGCAAGGAATCCTCCCACTCAGCTCCTGTTAACCCTACAAGCCAAAGCCCTAACGGTTGGGTGGTCCTAGCTGGACAAGCAGCGGGAAAGCTTGGCCAGACAGCACTCTCGATGGCGAGTTATTCGGTTTTAGGACTCGATCCATGACTGTTTGTGGTACACCGCTGTACGCGTATGGCTGCCGCGTTTTGCCCACAAATACAGTCACTCCCCTTTACAACATAGTCCATGATAAGGTGCTATATCAAATGCAAGGATGATTATTGAGTAAGTTTACCCTAAATTGATTTCAAGTCTCTCTGAATTGTACCGTCCAGTGCGAATAACTGCAATGCCTTGGCTTTCTTTTCTTATAGGAAACTACTGGAGGGAGAAGAAACTCGTATCATCCACACCCACACTGGTGGATACATAGGCGAGTACTTGCCCACTCAAACCTCTCCACTGTTCAGATCTGCCTACTCACCTCAGAGTCTCTCCTTTGCATTGCCCGGCAGAAGCTTCCCTTACACTTTCTCCGACGAGGGAGCAGACAACAGATACAGTTAAGTCAGCCCGCCTCCACTGGCTCCCCGTCCCCAACAGAGGATACAGTTCAAAATTCTCGTCCTCCCCTTCAAAGCCCTCCACGGCCTTGCTCCTCCCGACCTCTGTGACCTGCTAACTCCATATCGAACTGTCCGCTCCCTCTGCTCAGCGGGCTCCGGCCAGCTCCATATCTACCCCACCCGGCCCACCATTGGCGGTCAGGCTTTCAGCCTCTCTACCACCACCCTTTGGAACCCCATTCCACATTACCTTCACCTCGCTCCACCCTCCCCTTGCCTCCTCCAAAATACGTGTCAGGGCTCTCCTCTTTGACCGTGCTTTCGGGCACCCTCCTACCCCTCCTGATCCCAATCCCCAGCTCGGGTCCAAATCCCTTACCGACCAGCTCCTTGGCATGTCCTCCCAACGTGAAAGGGGCTGTATAAATGTAATTTATTGTTGTTGTCGAGGCAGAACCTCTACTTTCTATGGTTCCTTTTATCAGTTTCCCCGGTTAAAAGGTCTTTCGATTGTCTGCGATCTGATCGATGACAATCGCAGTCAAGGTGTTACTATCAGAGCTTGGTAGAATTTGCCGATGAAACATTCTAGTCGGCTTTAATTCCAGGAAAGTCCTGAGCTTTCAGCCAATACACCAGTAAGACAAAAAAACCATTAGGTTGCAAGTTGGAATATTTTATCGATTGGCTTGTGAAGGCAGCATTAACCACTCATGTAATCCATTCAGCTGTAACGTGCTGAGTTTGCCTTTTGCAGTTTGTCTCCCCTGTTAACGCTGACTTAACTTTGCTCAATGCTTCTGGTTAAGGTGACAAATGGTGAGATGTATAAAGCAGGAGGGTGAGGGGAGAGCTCAGAGGGACGTTTGTGAAATGAAGCGTGCTGAAGGCAAAAAACGACATGATTGAAGAAAACGACCCAAGAGAATGAAGAGGGAAGTTCACGTACATAAACCAATTGCTTTGTGTAATTATGAGCCATCCAAACAAGCTGAGCCTCTGGTGCTACTGTGTATAGTTTCATTAATTTGAAGCTTATTACCAAATCAAGAATGCTTGCTGCGTGCATTGTCTTAACGGGTCCTTTCCTGTGACGCTATGAGTATACAGTATAGTCATATACTAATGTCAGGACACAGTCATACAAGCTAAAAGTGCAATTATTTGTATAACTACCGTGAATTCAAAGCAAAAGCGCTCAGAATAAAGCTGAAAATGAAGTGAAGCACTCAAGTCTCCTGCATTCTTTGATCCTTTAATTAAACAATTATTTGCGGGGCAGCACTGATGGTACTGTGTTTTCACAAACACAATATTTTTGTGTTTCCCTTCCAGAAACATATCGACATTTATGTTATGTTTCGGTAATACCCCCACCCCTCCGTCCAAAAATATACCCGACTACACACACTCACACAGCTACGCGCAAAAAAAATATGGTCACTCAATCCACGACTGTTTATGCGACACCGCCGTGCGAAACGGACTGCCTCGTTTCGCCCACAAAACACACACTTTACAGTATATTCTGTGAAGCGCTTTGAGTCCTCTCCAAGACTTTACAGTGTATAAGTCGCTATATCAAATGCAAGGATTATTATTATAACATTCACACAAGTGCCCTTTTCAAGTCGGAAGCACGTCTCAAAGCGCTCGACACTGCTGGCTGGGCACCTGAGTTGGGGATGAGCCGAGGAAGGTGGGTTGGGGAGGGAAAAAGACTGACTGAGCGGTTAAAGACTTCGGTCTTGATTTGTATTGAAGAGGAGAGGTTAAAGTCAGCTGTGCTGCCCTCCAGTCAACTGACTGGCATATCGACCCACCCACCAGTGGAAACCGTTTCTCCCCTATCTACCCTATCAAAACCCCTCATAATTTTGAACCCCTCTATTAAATATCCCCTCAACCTTCTCTGCCTTCGACCTTGTCTTAACTTATCACACCTAATTAAGCCATCATGCTGTCAACATCCAAGCTTCATTTATTTATCTATTCTTACATAAATTTAACAGGGTAGCTACAGAGAAACTATTTCCTCTGGTGGGTGGGGGAATCCCAAACAAGGGGGCATTATCTTAAAATTAGACCAAGACCATTGTAAATCAGGAAGCATTCTTTCACACATACAGAGGTTAGTGGAAATTTGGAACTCTCTCCCTCTCCCAAAAGGCTGTGGATTACGGTTGGATTCATTCACATTTTCAAGACTAAAGTGGAGAGATTTTTGTTAGTTCAGGATATGGGAAAAGGCGGGTGTTTGGAGTTGAGGTACAGATCAGCCATGATCTAATAGAATGGCGGAACAGGCTCAACTGGCTGAATGGCCTCCGCCTGTTCTTCAGTTCCTATAACTGAACACCATAAGGGTGGATCTGACGAGAACAACAACAACAACAAGATTCCATTTATAGAGCGCCTTTCACGTCAGGAGGACGTCCCAAGGCGCTGCACAGTTGGGTCATGACCCGAGCAGGGGGGAAATGGTCAGGGTGAGGGAAGGGAAGGGAGGGAGAGAGGAGGGGGAAATGGTCAGGGTGAGGGAGGAAGGGAGGGAGCGAGGAGGAGGAAGAGAGTCGAGAGGGAAGGGGAGAGGGGAGAGGGGAGGGGAGGGGAGAACACACACAAAACATTAAAATGAACGTTTTAGAAGTTTATTTGATAGATTGATTAATCTATGTACATACAGTACATGACACTGTTCTCAGAGCAGTTACAATTTGGGTCCCAAACCATAAATATTAAGTGACAGCTGTCAATCAGGGTCAACTCAACCACAACCTGCGACCTTTCTGCGTTGCATCAGTGAGGGAGGTGGTGGGGCACAAGCTTGTAATAGGACCCACAGGAGGGGCATCGGCAAGGATTCCCTTTGTGCAGCCAGAACCATATGACTACAGTGTTGTCCTCTTCACCTGCAGGGAGGGAGAAAAGGCCGTAGTTACAGGGAGCAGCCAAAGCATTGCTAAGTTTTTCAGAGAGAAAAACGGCGACTCGATTGTACAGTGGCTCAGATCAGGGGTTTACAAAGGATACAGTCTCATGCAGGATAGGTTATCATTGCATCTCACTACCCCCACTTAAAAAGCAGGGTTGAGATGGAGAAAAGGGAGGTTTCCACTGGAAAATTAAGACAGAGCGCGGGGTACTCACAGACACACCCGACAATCCTCTTGTCTGTAATGGACGGCACAATGTGAGGGTCCGCTTTGGTACCAGCATACTCCTTGGGCTTTAAAAGGTTGTAAGGATCCTAGCAAGAGGAAAGAAAAATCTGTGTGTAAATTGAGCAACATTTCACAAGCTCAGTAACACATTTCACAAGCTCAGCCACCCTGGACAAGCCCAGGCAGTTTAAGACTCTTAATAACACAGAACTCTGGAGTTCTGTAGCTTAGTGGTTAGCGCGATTGTCTCGCAAGCGAGAGGACCTGGGTTCAATACTCGGGCGGGCACAATCTTAGGCAAGTTTCCTTACTCGACACGCCTCTGTTTACTGTTTCAGCGCCTTGGGACGTCCTCCCGACATGAAAGGCGCTCAATAAATGGAATCTTGTTGTTGTTGTCGTAGCAGTAAGTAGGAACCCGGCTGTTAGTTGATTGACGGTTTACTTCCGGTATAAAACCCTCCAAAAAAATAGATAAATAATAATAATTTGGTCAATCGCTACGACTGTTTGTGGGACTCTGCTGTACGCAATTGGCTGCCGTGTTTCACCCACAAAATACACAGTCAATTCACTTTACAGTATATTCTGTGAAGCGGGTTGAGACGTCTCAAAGACGTGATAAGGTGCTATCTCAAATGCAAGTATTATTATTATTAACTCAGGAAGCATACCTGTCCTTTCAGAGCAGCCTGCATGATGATCTTCTCCAGCCCAGTTGCCTGTTCCTCATCAGTTGGAATACCTGGGATTGAAAGAGAGGAACCAAGGACACAACTTAAAGGATGAAAAGCTGTCGACTTCCCACAGAGGTTAGAATCGATAACCAGACTTCAGAATTGTGCTCCAATTGACCAGATAAGCTGCAGCATGGGTTCCGTGAATCTGCCTTTGATTCAGGGGCTGCTTTTGTGCCCTTGTCTCTTTTGCTTTTCATTTGCTGATCCCATATGGCCCTCTCTGGTCAGATAATGCAGTGCCTCCCTGCCAAAGGTCGCCAGTTGATCCTTGTACTCTCATCTCACTCTACTGGTGTAGCTTCTCAAGATATTTGAAGATATGAACTTCCCTGGACCATTCCAAACTTGGGTCAAGTTACAGCATAACCTCACTCACTGCTCAATTGCAGTCTGAAATCATCCCATGAGCATCTCAATAGGAGAAAAGGGGTAGTGTTGGAGGGGGGGGGGGAACTAACTGAACTCAAATGGGATACAAGGCAAGAAAGCATAATATAACATTAATGCAAAGTGAGTTTCAGAAAGCATGCTTGAGTCAGTCAATACAACTGGCCAACCGTACAGGTGTCTTTACAGTAACGGATCCCGGGACTGAGTCAGGGGGAAATGGGGGGGGGGGGAGGTGACCAAAGGCGTGGTCGAAAAGAAAGATCTTCAGTAGAGACCTGAAAATGGGAAGGGAGGGAGCGACGGAGTGAGGAAGGCAGTTCCAGAGCCTCGGAGCGTAGTGGCTGAAGGCACGGCCGCCGAGGGTGGAGCGGAGGACGAGGAGGAGGCCAGACCCGGAGGAACAAATGCCACACTACACTTGACAGTAATTCGAGCTGTGAAATGATTGAAGATGTTTCAGCATGATTGGCACTCTGATCAAATACGAGGGTTACTGTCACGTTATGAAAACCAATCCTGAGGGTCACAAGACGGAAGGAAAGCCTCATGCATTTGGCCTGTGGTCTAAGGGTTAAGTAAATCACTCTGGCGGTAGAAACTATATAAAGGGGAACAATGTTATGCGACAAGGATCGAGAGATCCAACCTTCAGTTCCACACTGTCAATTCTGTTTTAGCAGTGCACGAAATTCTGAGAATATAAGCTCAGTCACTACATTTTTGACCTTCACCGCGAAGCTCGATGCATTGCCTCTCCCATGCTGTTCAGTCAGCACTGTGGTTAGTGAACCCCCAAGAAAACGGCAGCACATTAAGCGTTTACGCTCTCGAACCTCTAGGACTGCATTAGCGAAGCGGGGTGGCTGGCTGCACATCCGTTGCGACACTGACCTGCAGGTTCCTCTCAGCTCCTTAAACCAGTTACAACTCGATCCAAAAGGTCCGCACTTCAAAAAAAAGTGTCCTTTTAAATCAAACGGTGGAAACTCGTCACGGCGGGAACAATTTCAGGGGCACAGGAGAAAGATATCCGACACCAATGAAGCACCATTTTAATCCTGCCTTAATAACTGAACCTGCCCCCCCACCCCGCCCCCCCAAACACACGGAAATGTATAACCATTAGACAGACAAGAAGATCGATAAAATATTTCTTTTTTCTTCATTGTGCAGCGTGAATTATGTGTCAGCCCGGACTCGCCTCTGGTTGCGAATGAATTCAAAACACCACGGCGGGGCTTTGAGCTGGCAGTCTGAGGCCTGACAGCGTAGTGCGGGTGGGGGTTGTGTGGGTGTGTGTGTGGGTGTGTGTGTGTGTGTGCGCCCTGTGTTCTCGTCAGCGGTGTCATACGAGGAAGCAGGTCGTTTACAGCACGGAGTTTACAGTCTGCGTCGGTTCTTTTAAAAGAGCGACGGCCTTTGGCCCCTTTCCCCCCCACACCCCCGCCCCCCCCCCCCCCCGCCCCGGCGGCTCTTTATTACGTGAAGACCGCAGCACGTGAAATAACAATTCGGTCGCCTCAGTCGATCCGCGGCTGTCTGCGGGGCCGCGGCGCGGACCGGCCGTCGCGACCCACCCGCAAGACACGCAGGTCACTTTGGCGGCGGCCTCCGGTGAAGCGCTCTGAGGCGTCTCGAAGACCGGATAAGGCGCGAGGATTGTTATTATTATTACGTTATCTATTAGAGATATTATAATACTTGAGACGCTTTGTGCTGGGTGTGGGGGGGGGGGAGGGGTGTGGGGGGGGAGGGGAGGGGTGTGGGGGGGAGGGGAGGGGTGTGGGGGGGAGAGGTGAGGAGGAGGTTGGGGATCACTTTAACCTTGTGCAATGTCGACCCTCCCCACCACCTCCCCCCAGGGCTGGGGCTGAAGCTGCGGGAGGGCTGACAGCCTGAGCCCGAGGCCTCTCGCCTGCTCTTCCAATGACCTTCCTCCTCAAGGTGGAACATCCGCCACGCGAGCCCGAGGCCTCAGGCGCGGCCTAGGCCCAGCTCCCTCCCTCTCGCTCCCTCTCTCTCCCTCCCCTCCCCGCCCCGCGTGTTGCCGGCCTCCCTTTACTCACCGCCGCCGGCGGCCATGGTCCTGACGGGCGCTGAGCGCCCGAGAGCCCGACTCAGGCTCAGGCCGCGCTGCGCCGCTCCCACCAACTGCCTCGCCGCCATCTTGCTGCGTCACCACACTAACTCCGCCCCTCCTGGATACCAGGCCCCGCCCCCTAGTTACCGCGCCCCACCAACTGCCTCGCCGCCATCTTGCTGCGTCACCACACTAACTCCGCCCCCCCGGATACCAGGCCCCGCCCCCTACTTACCACGCCCTTGCCCGTGTATACTACGTCACCACGCAAAGCCACGCCCCCCCGTTCCCGAGCTCCGCCCACTTTCACACCTGTACCTTATAATAATAATTAATACACAATAATAATCAATAATAATCAATAATAATAATAATAATAATATGCATTGGATGCAGCGGCGTCTCATCACGTCTTTCGGGGTGTCTCAAAGCGCTTCGCTGTAAAGTGTAGTGACTGTGTATAGCGTGGGCGGAACCCCATATACGTTGTCCCGTACATATTGCGACATATATTCTCCCGTATAGATTTCTGCATCAACACTGTCACGTATATATTACTCTATATACACTGTCCTGTGTACAATGCTCCACACTATCCCATATATACTGTCCCTGGTGTCCCGGGATCCGTTACTGTAAAGCGCTCTGAGACGCCGTCCGGCGTGGAGGGCGCTATATAAATCCAAGCTGTTGTTGTTGTTGTTGTCCGCCTGCATGAAATTATTTTACATGAGAGTGTGTTCATTCTTCGAAACGCAGTGTGTGTGTGTGTAGGGTGAGGGTTGTGGGGGGGTATTTCCTCCCTCGTATCCTTCAAGGCCGGTCTTAAGACCCTTCTCTTCGACCATACCTTTGGTCTCCCTCCGAACTCTCTGCCTTCCCTACACCCCTCCTCCCCCCAGGCTCAGACCCCGACATCTGACTGTTCAGCCCTTTGGGACGTCCTCCCGACGTGAAAGGCGCTCTATAAATGTAGTTTTGTTGCTGCTGCTGTATTTGGGCGAGCGCTAAAAGTAGGACAGAAAAAGAAACAGCAGCGGTGGGTGAGGAGGGGGAGGGGGATTTAATGATGATCCCACACAAAGGCATCTTTTGTTTTCCATTTTTATTATCATTATTTTGAGGAGTTGAACTGCGCAGTACAAAACATTCAAGGATATGCTTTTGGAGGTACAGCCCATTGCCTTGGACAGCAGAGAAGCACACACAGCACTGACATCCACAGGAACCAACATACAATTCTCTTGGAGGCCATTCAACCCATGACTTTGTGCCATTATTTCCTCCTACGAGATGTCCTCCATCCCAATCCTACATCCTTAACTCTTTTCCGCCACCCCCTCTGCATGTGCTTGTCTAATTCTTTCAAATGACACCCCACCCTACAACCTTCTCCCCCACCTCCCCTGACACAACCTCTCCTCTTACTCCCCGAGTCAGTTTCAAATTCACACCTTCTCATCCTCGAATTCCAACTAACAGATTTTTTTCCCGCGATCAATTCTCCCCAACAAATCCTTTCGTTGCTTTTACCACCTCGATCATATCACACCTCAACCTTCTCTGCTCCAGTGGGAAGAGTCCTAACCTCTCTAACCTCTCCTTAAAGCTATATCCTTCCACGTATATTTCACCTGCTCCACACTACACAGCCATGGATTTCCTTGAGAATTCTGATGTGATGTATTTTATTGATATGTATATATACGTGTGTGTCACATTCAAAATAAGATTGATCACGGAGAGGTGACCTTGAAAATGTTCAGAAATTCCCTGAAACATTGACATATATCCACTCAACCTCACCCAGTCACCACTGAAGAACCCATTTCCATCCAAGCCCTTAACACATCCACAACACGTCACAAACCCGTCTAACAACAGGAAAGCTAATTCTTACCAACGCCACCCCCTCATCTAGACCCTACAGTGAACTTTAGGGCTGAGGTAACCAGTCTACCCAGAATTACAGGCTGACCCCGTTGTAATACGATGGTTCGGGGGTGGTAGAGGGGGGGAAGGGAAAAAAATGGCCACCGATCAGCGCTTCTGGGTCATCAGGGTCGCAGCTGATCACACTTCCTGCACTTCCTGCACCGGAAGCCGGCCAATTCGATGGCGGTATATCGCAGGTCCGCGCTCTAAGCGGGCCCATGCTATACCACGGAGCGTTACCGCGGGGTCAGCCTGTACTGTTGGGTCTCCACTGTCTCGCGCCTCACTTGGTCATGCGCAGAACGTGTTTGACCATCTGCCCGATGCCGTCGAAGATGTAGTGGTAGTGAGACTCTGTCTCCCACATGAAGGCGGGAGTGCTGATGACTTTGTTCTTCTCGTCCACATGGGCTTCGTGAGGCAAAGGTGGTTAAGGGAGAAACACAGCAACACATTGAAACCCGCCTTCAAAACATACACTTGGCAGTATATCCTGTGAAGCGCTTTCACACGTCCTCCCGAATGAATAATAATAATCCTTGCATTTGCCTTATCACGTCTTCGAGACGCCTCAAAAGTGCACAGGTTATACTGTAAAGTGAATTGACTGTATATTTTGTGGGCAAAACACACAGGTTAATTAAAATGAATGTTATTATCATCATTATAATCCCGAACAGATCCGTGTATTAGGTGTCGGCCTGACTCAGTTGGCAGCACTCGGAGTCAGAGATTTGCTTGTGGGAATGCTATGGGTACTGGAGCTCTCATTTTCCTACAACCCACACCCCCTCCACACACACACACACTCAGAAGATAGTTGCCCCCATCCCCCAGGTCCTCCTGCAGGGCTTTGAAAAGGATATGAAGGGTTCCTTCATCACATGCTTGGCTCCCATGGTCTTGACTGCATTGGTCATGCTGTAGTAAGGCCATCGGCCCCAGCGTCCACTCTCCTCACGTTCCTGGCCCATGGTCACCTCGATTCCAGGAATCGCCCGGCAGGCGAGGATTGGGGACGTGCAGGACAGCCTGAGAGGAGAGGCGGGACGACAGCCATTAGCAACACAGTGTATAATACACTACCAGCCATTTATCTGCCCGCCGTTATTTCTGCACATTCGTTTATCCACACATCCTCCACCCACTTGTCCCATTTGTCTGCGTGCTCCATTTATCTGTACCCCATCTTTTTCTGTATGCCCCATTTATCTGCACCAGCTCTGCACGTAAAGCTGCAGGACACCAGCAACGGATATTACTTTGTATCACGCGTGGTGTCTTATCCAAACCGCCTGCTTATCCACAAAGTGTCCAGTCGCAAGTGGGAGCAGATAATTGACTCTGTGCAGTTCCGAGTAGGCTCGATGGGTTGAATGTCCTATGGGTGGGGGTTTGCAGGGAGTGGGGGGCACAGGACGACACAGCAAGTACAGGTACACGATAATGTGCCAGGCTCTTGGTGACGAGCCAGGCGTCACTCACCCGATCGGTTTGTTCTTACGGTGGAAATCCTTGAGTATCCGCTCAACGTCCGAGTTCACTCTGCAATCCTTTCCATCGTTGTTGAAGGTGGACCTGATTAAGGTGGGGGTGGGCGTAGAGACACATGAAAGACACACACTGAGTCAGTTACTGGTCACAGCAATTATCAGTGGAATCCTGTAGCGTAGAGGCTAGCGCACTCGCCTTGCGAGCGAGAGGACCCGGGTTCGATTCCCGGGTGGGGCGAAACCTTAGGGAAGTTCCGATTGGCGGATCGCTTTCCAGCAGTAATAATAACCGCTCACTCAATCCACGGACTGTTTGTGGGACACTGCTCTTCGCAATTGGCTGCCGCGTTCCACCCACAAAATAGTCACTGCACTCTACAGTATATACTGCGCAGTGTTTTGAGACATCTCAACGTCGGGTAAACTCACAAGTTTTTGGTGATTCCGTAACCGCCCGGGAAGATGATGGCATCAAAGTTTCCGGCTTCCAGTCGGGAGAGATCTTGGATCTTCCCGCGGGCGAGTCGGGCAGACTCGATCATCACATTCCTGCAGCAAGTGATAAACAGTCATCGTCAGAGAGGTCTGTGGAGTCTTGTAGCTCAGAGGTTAGAGCGCACGTCTCGCAAGTGAAAGGACCCGGGTTCGATTCCCGGCAGGGCAAAACGTTGGGCAAATTTTCTTACTCCACACGCATGTCTAAGTAGGAATCCGGTAGTTAGTCGATTGGCGGATTGCTTTTCTGAGGGTAATAATCCCTTCAAAAAAAAATTAATAATAATAATGTGGTCACTCAATCCATGAATGTTTGTGGGACACCGCTGTGTGCAACTGGTTGCAGCGTTTTGCCCACAATTCAATTAACTTTACAGTATATTCTGTGAAGCGCTTTGAGACATCTCGGAGACCTGATAAGGCGCTATGTCAAATACAAAGATTATTATTTTTATTATTATTAAAGCATTACAGAATTAACTGCAGGCAGTTCCCGGGCATTACCTGTTCTCCCCGGAGCTGGGCTGGTTACGGCTATGGTCGATCACTTGCATCTGCTGCATGTTTGGGGCAAACATTTGGAACTTGGCTCCATTGCGGCTTAGGTGGTACATCACACTGCGAGAGAGTGAGCAACAGAGTGAGCGAGAGTCAGAGAGAGAGTGAGAGAGAGAGACACACACATAGATGTACATCAATCAAGCCTCACACGTACTGACTTTCCACAGATGTTCAACAACAACAACTTGCATTCAAATAGCGCCCTTCATATGTAGTAGCATCCCGGAGCGCTTGTTCAGGATAAACAATCAGCGTTACGCAGGGCAATCCTTGTCGACTGCCAATGGGATTTCCCCGTTATAACCACGTATTGCCAAAGACCGCCTAATACCGCCCGGAATTTCAGCTCATTTGGAGAGTTTAGCGGTCTCTTGCGCTCATCACCCCATCAAACACTGAGCAAAACAACAACCACTAAAACAAGTTGTATTTACACAGCGCCATTACCCGGGGCAGGGTTTCGGAGCGCTTAACAGACAGGGAAAAGGAGGAGGTGACCGTAAGCACGGTCGAAGAGGAAGGTCTTCGGTCATGATCTAAAAGAGGGGGCAAAGCAGAGGGTTTGGAGCTTAGTGGCTGAAACTGCGGCCGCTGATGGTAGGGCTTAGGGCACTAGGGACATGCAAGAGGCCAGAGTCAGCCAAGTGGGGGCAGTGGGTAGTGGAAACAAATGTAAAGTAGGTATAGACAGGTAATAGAAAGCGACTGGGTTTAACCCCAATATCTATGTGTGATGCCTTTGCTTCCAGCTAAATCTACAGGGCGGGTTTGGGGCACTGAACACAGCAGCGACTTACTAGGCAGCCTCATTGGTGTCGGTTCCATCCCAGCAGCCTGAGCCTGAAAACACCTGGAGAATCAAATCAAATTATAACAAAGCTATCAATTAAAAGCACGAGCATCACTCATCCAGTTTGGCAACTTCCCCCCCACCCCATAACGTTTTACAACGCAATACAAAAATGGCATTGATTGCATTTAAACTCAGTTACTGGCGGGCACTGTGCGGACACACTTACTACTGCCACGTTGGCATTGCCCCAGTTCCCCACATCACTGGACTGAAAGAACGAGCAGGAGGGCTGACTGGTGAGAACCGCTGCCACATTCTTGGCCAGCAGTGCCCTGGATGCCAACATGACGGCTTGCCTTCGCAAAGCTGCTCGCACAGTCAAGACGGAGCGGAAAGCGGTGTGTTTGGAGTCAGGCATTTGGGGAGCCGCCATGCCTCCATATATGGGGAGCCAGTACATGACGTCAATGCTAAGCCTGTTTAACAGTCGCACCTCATAATATCATGGTCTCTCAAGCAACAAAGCTGCCCCCAAAAATACACTGCAACTAATCGTCTTGGGTGACATACTGAAGAGGTCAAAGCGATTAGTGTGGGTGTGAGAGAGAGGAAGTCCTCTGTTTAACAGCTCGCTAACTACTTTGCAGTGTTTTTCTCGCCCACGGCCCTTTACGTTTTCTCTTTGCTCTCCCATCAGCATTCGCACCCTCAGCCACTTCATACCTTTCGTACTACTACTATTATTAATAAAGTGGGTCCTACTAAATTGGGATTCTAAGTATTATTTCTAAATTTCTAATCTCTCATCTGAATTATCTTAATGACTAAATTGGTTCTGATCTGGATCAGGCAGCTGTTATCTGCTGGGGATTGTCTTGTAACAATACCTGACGGCTTCTTAATATAATTCAGGGGTCAGATTACTTATCATAATTAATCCTTGCATTTGATCCCGCGCCTTTCAGGTTAGGGAGACTTCTCAAAGCGCTTCACGAGGTTTTACTGAAAAGTAGACTGTTTGGCAGTCAATTTGTAAACAGCAACATCGCACAGACAGCCATGGAGTGAATGGCCAGTTTTATCTTGGAGGGGAATTGTTGACCAGGACAATCAAATGGGAAAAATTCTCTTAATCCTAACCCATCGGAGAAACTCTTTCTTTTGAACTCTTTTGAACAGGACCTTTAACGTCCACCTGAACAAGCTCATAAGAGACCTCGGTTTAACGTTTTATCTAAAAGCCGGCACCTTCAACAACACAACGTCCAGAGGGTCAGTGTGCTCCATCCAGGACGCGGGCTGATTTCATTCCCCCCCCAATTCATCGTGCCCACGCTCCCTCCATAACCCGTAAATGTTATGTTTCTGGAAGCGAAACACAAAAATATTATTTATGCAGCTCGTGGATGTTTCTCAAATAGGGGCATCCAGCCCTCAGCAGCCACAAGGTTGAAGCACTGATGAGCTCAAAGACCTGACATGAAGCTTGAACCCAAAATCTTCTGCCTCAGAGGTTAGGGTGCTACTGACTGAGCAAGCCAGAAGGTTTCTTTGGAAGAGCTGAAAGTCAAGACTCTCATTTGTGCCTGGAAAAATACACCATCACGTGTAACAAACCATCAGTGTCTTGCTGCTAACCTCCTTTAACTATTTCTCTAATCTTTTAACTGTTCCGGCTACCACTAGATTGATACCTTAATCAAATTGCATTGGTTGCCACGTTTCCCTGTCCATCAATGTTTGATGCTTCCTCCCTAATTGCGGTGTTAATCTCTTTAAAGAGATGAAAGTCGGTGAAATTGGGTTCCTCCTAAGTATATGCGGATTTCAATTTGTCCGAGTTATTCCTTTGTTGCCCTGTATCACGTTTTCGAGACCTCAGTTTCATATCCATTCACTTATTACTTTGTAATAATAATAATATTAATCCTTGCATTTGGGGTATTGCCTTACTTTTGGGAGGAAGTCTCAAAAGTGATTCCCAGCATTTTGCTGCAAAGTGTAGTCACTGTGCATTTTGTAGACAGCCAGTTTGAATTGAACTCAGTTTGGGAATAATTCCTGTCCCGGTGACCAGTCTGCCCCTCCAAGTCCTGCCAAGAAGCCAGGCTGGGCTGGTCTGGTCTGCCATCAGCAGTGCCCTGGAGTACCGCGGACCGGTTTGGCTGAGGAACCGGGTTACCAAGAACGCCACAGAGCTTTGATGTGGGGGCTTGAACCCCCCCCCCCCCCACCCAAGCTCCTGATTCAGAGGTGAGAGGGCTACCGAAGAGACACAAAAGGATTGAACAGTGGAAAACTCTTACGTGAGGTACTTAAGTGTTCTAATGATGAGCTGCTGCGCTCATCGGATCTCACGCCCAAACCTACCTGAAATATAGGCTTGAACTTCTCATACTTGGAAGGCTTAAAACCATTCATAACCTTGGACTTTTAAATCTCTGCCCAGTAACCTAAGACCAGACTTCATCCGTGAAAGGTAAAACAGTCTTAAAAGATTGACACAATCTGGTTAGTGAAGTGCGTCTGTCCCACCCATTGGAGGGCGAAGTGGTCGGTCATCTGTCCGTGTCACCTATAAATCCCTTCGCGCCCACTGTCTCTGTGACCTTCTCTCACCCCACTCGCCCCTCAACTCAGCTAACTTTGTGTCTCACCCTCCTCTCCACACCATCCATCCCTCCCTCCAACCCTCTTCCCCTCCCCTCAACCCCTCCCTCCCTCCAACCCTCTTCCCCTCCCTCCCCTCAACCCTCTTCCCCTCCCCTCAACCCTCTTCCCTCCCTCCCTCCCTCCCTCCCTCCAACCCTCTTCCCCTCCCTCCCTCCAACCCTCTTCCCCTCCCTCCCTCCAACCCTCTTCCCCTCCCCTCAACCCTCTTCCCTCCCCCCTCCCTCCCTCCAACCCTCTTCCCCTCCCTCCAACCCTCTTCCCCTCCCTCCAACCCTCTTCCCTCCCTCCAACCCTCTTCCCCTCCCTCCCCCCTCCCCTCCCTCCAACCCTCTTCCCCTCCCCTCAACCCTCTTCCCCTCCCTCCCTCCCTCCCTCCAACCCTCTTCCCCTCCCCTCAACCCTCTTCCCCTCCCCCTCCAACCCTCTTCCCCTCCCTCCCTCCCTCCCTCCCTCCAACCCTCTTCCCCTCCCTCCCCTCTTCCCTCCCTCAACCCTCTTCCCCTCCCTCCAACCCTCTTCCCCTCTCTCATACCCTCTCTCACTCCCTCTCATCCCATCTCTCGCTCGTTCTTCTCTCTCTTCCTCATTCCTACTCTCCCTCACTCACTCATTCCTCTTTTTCCCTCTCTCTCTTCCTTTCAGCCCTCTCCATCCCTCCCCTTCTCCCTCCCTCACGCCCTCTCTTGCTGGCACAGTGACGTCACGGGGCGGTTTGCCTTGATCAAAGATGGCGCCCCCCGGGGGCCTGGGGGCGCGTGCGCAGTGCGGTGCGCGGAGCAGAGCGGCGGTTGGGCGGGAAAATCCGACAGCGAGTGAGAGACGCAGTGAGCAGCGGCCGTGTGTCTGTGACTCTGTGTTGTGTGTGTGTGTCTGTGTGTGTCTGTGAGTGTCTGTCTGTGTGTGTGTCTGTGTGTGTTGTGTCTGTGTGTGTGTCTGTGTGTCTCTGTGTGAGTGTCTGTCTGTGTCTCTGTGCTGTGTCTCTGTGTTGTGTCTGTGTGAGTGTGTATCTGTGTCTGTGTGTCTGTGTGTTGTGTCTGTGTGTGTTGTGTCTGTGTCTGTCTGTGTGTCTGTGTGTGTGTGTCTGTCTGTCTGTGTGTGTCTGTATGTGTGTGTCTATGTGTCTGTCTGTGTGTGTGTGTCTGGCTGTATGTGTGTGTGTGTCTGTATGTGTGTGTCTGTCTGTATGTGTGTGTCTGTGTGTGTGTGTGTCTGTCTGTGTGTGTGTCTGTCTGTGTGTGTGTGTGTCTGTGTGTTTGTCTGTCTGTGTGTGTGTCTGTGTGTCTATGTGTCTGTATGTGTGTGTCTGTCTGTATGTGTGTGTGTGTCTGTATGTGTGTGTCTGTCTGTATGTGTGTGTCTGTCTGTATGTGTGTGTCTGTGTGTGTGTGTGTCTGTCTGTGTGTGTGTCTGTGTCTGTCTGTATGTGTGTGTCTGTCTGTGTGTGTGTCTGTCTGTGTGTGTGTGTGTCTGTGTGTGTGTGTCTGTATGTGTGTGTCTGTCTGTATGTGTGTGTGTGTCTGTCTGTATGTGTGTCTGTGTGTCTATGTGTCTGTATGTGTGTGTGTGTCTGTATGTGTGTGTGTGTCTGTATGTGTGTGTCTGTCTGTATGTGTGTGTCTGTCTGTATGTGTGTGTGTGTCTGTATGTGTGTGTGTGTCTGTCTGTATGTGTGTCTGTGTCTGTCTCAACAACAACATTACATGTGTATGGGGGCGTTTCATGTCGGGAGGACCTCCCGAGGCACTGGACAACCACTGTTTTGGACCTGAGCTGTGGGGGGGGGAGGGGGCGGGGGGTCAGGATCGGGGAGTTACACACCATCTATTCCGTCTCTCTCGCGCGCACACACACACACCTGTTCCCCCACACACCCACACCTACTCCCGCACACCCACACACACACCCACACACTGGGGGTTTAACCTTCAAGCCTGTCCCCAAAGAGCCGGCCTTGTGAGGGCCACGCCAGTTCACTTTCCGCCCCTGGCTTCTCAGCCCGATAATAATAATAATAATAATAATAATAATCCTTGCATTTGATATAGCGCTTTTCACGTCGGGAGGACGTCCCAAAGCGCTTCACAGAATACACTGTAAAGTGAATCGACTGTATATTTGTGGGCGAACGCGGCAGCCAATTGCGCACAGCAATGTCCCACAAACAGTCGTAGATTGAAAATGACCAATTTATTATTGTGTTTGGTTTTGGAGGGATTATTATTAGGCTCTGTGTGGAGTAAGGAAACTTGCCCAAGGTTTCGCCCTCTGCCTGGAATTGAACTCAGGTCTCTCACTTGCAAAGCGAGTGCTCTAACCACTGAGCTACAGGACTCCACGATGGCGGAAGAGGAGCCGGAGCTGTTCGACCGCACGCACGAGGATCAGAACGAAGAGGTCATGACTCCGGCCGAGCTGATCCAGAAGCTGGAGGAGGTAAAGAGGTCAGAGCTTTGCCACCGCCCCGCAAGAGGGTCGAAACCGTCCCTCCACCTGTGAGGCTCAGCTTGGGAGGGAGGCGGACAGGGAGGTTTCAGCACATCTCTAGGTCTCGTTGATGAATCTAGCGTCACTCATGACTTGGACGACTGCAAACTCCCCACCAGTTCAGTCCGGGGTGGGGGGGAGATCCCTCTTACCTCAACAACAAATGACATTTGTAGAGCATCCTTCACCTCGGGAGGACACGCTAAGGTCCTGAATCTCAGCCCCCAGCTGCACGACCGCTGGCTGACGAGACTGTTATTCTCCAAATAACATGCGGTTGGGAAATTAAGTACTTAAGATAATAATCGCCCTTACATTTGATGGTTACAGAAGCACCTCTCGCATCACTCCGATAGCAGCTTTTAAAAGAGAAGTAGCTAATTATTTGGGGAGGACAAGTTTGTAGGGCTATGCGGAACGAGCGGGGAGTGGGGTTGATTTGGATAGCTCTTTTTAAAAGAGTCGTCACAGACACGATGGACCGAATGGCCTCCTTCTGTGCTGTATAATTCTATGATCACGTCTCAATGTGATGTGAAAGGCGCCACAGTAACTAGTGTTTGCCTATCACAAAGCGCTTGACAGGATTCACTGTAAAGTGTAGTGACTGCAATTTGTTGGTGAAATCCCACTCCCTTCTGCGTTGTGAATTTCTACGTTTCTGACTCACTTATTTGAGCAATTTTAGCAAGGTAGGACAAAACAACAGTGTTGTACCCTATTGCTCCTAAACCTCTTCCATCTGATCGGGACTGGACATGCTTGGTTCCCTCACAGGCTTGGCTGAATGAGAAGTTTTCCCCCGATCTCCTGGAGAACAAGTCTGAAATTGTGGAGTGCGTTATGGAGCAGCTGAATCACATGGTAATAATGCCCGCTCCGTGAATGGTTGCGACACACTGTAAAGAATTTAGGGTGTCTCGTCTGCACAGTCTGTCTTTAAGCGCTCTGTGACGCCACCTGTGTGAAAGTTGCTGTATAAATGCATGTTGTCGTTTCTGTGGAATGTATGGCTGATGCTATGTTACTGTCTGGGCTCTAGATGTCGCTAGTAAGTGTCGCATGTGCGCCGTGATGATCTGAATATTTTTGTTGCTTTGTCCCTCGCAGGAGAGTAACCTGCAGCGAGCTAAGAAGGGTGACCTGAAAGTCACCATTCACAGGATGGAGATTGAGAGAATACGCTACATCCTCAGCAGCTATTTACGATCACGGTTGCAAAAGGTACGATTTATGGGCGTTTTAAATACCCCAAGAGTATTACAGTCATGATCAGCAGAAGAAACTTTTGTTTCATGCAGCGAGTATAAGCACTCCCCCTTAATCCATGATTGCTTCTGGGACACTGCTGTGTGCAATTGGCTGCCATATTTCAGCCGCACAATACACAGTCAATTCACTTTACGGTGTATTCTGTGAAGCACTTTGAGGCGTCTCAACGACATTCTAAGGCGCTATATTAAATGCCAGGATTCTTATATAAAAACAAATTGGATCACATTTTCTTTGGTTGTAAAAATGTTAAACTTTCTGGATTAAATGAACACTTGAAAAGTCTGACTCTCTCTCTCTTGAAAGCGCTCTGGGACCCAACCCTGCGTGAAATGCAAGTTCTTGTTGAAAAACCTACCTCTTCAACCACGGTTACCTTCCTTCCCCATCTCTTTCTCCACCTTCTTTCTCTCCTTTGATCCCTGTATCTGTAAAGCAGTTGTGTGTTATGCTATGTAAAGGCACTATACAAATGCAAGTTGTTGTTGTTAATTGCATGATTACTTCTATAAATACACGGTCAATATATTTCACAGTAAAATCCTTGAAGCGCTTTGAGACATTTCAACAGCATGGTAAAGCGCTGTATCCTATGCGAGAATTATAATCATGTATTTTTTTCCTGCTCTAGATAGAGAAATATTACCCTCACATCCTGGAAAAAGAGAAGTCTCGCTCAGATGCAGATCCTTCTTACTTGTCTCCAGAAGAGTTTGCTTTTGCTAAGGAGTGAGTATTATTGGATGGCCAATTCCTTTGGAAAGATCAATAAAAGGGAAAGACTAGAAAGGCGTGAGAGATGACATTGACAAAAGAACTTGCCTTTTTTATAATGGCCCCATTAAGTCAAAAACGTCTTAAGCCCTTTACAGGACGTTTTGCTCACAAAATATTCTGTCAACTCACTTTCCAGTGTATTCTGTGAAGCACTTTGAGACGTCTCGGAGGCGTGATAAGGCGCTATATCAAATGCAAGGACTATTATTACTCTTAAGTGTCGTGACTTCTAGAAGACGTTCTACCCACTACTCCTGTGAACTAATGGGTCTGTGCTTGCTTTTTAGGTACATGGCAAATTGTGAGACTTGCATGAAAAAGATCGCTCTGAAACACATGCCTCCCAATTTGCAAGCTCTGGACCTCTCAAAAGCCGGTAAGAAGAGAGAACAGAAACCTAAATGTTTTTATATTAATCTAATAATAATGAACAAAAACTTGCAACGATGTGGGAAAATGGAATTAGAGATTTGCCATGGGAGCCAAGTATGGACAGGCTGAACGGCTTATTCATTTACAGTTCCTGTGGCCCTGTTTGCAAACTTTATTGTAGTTATTTAATAATAATAATTCTTGTATTTGATATAGTGCCCTATCACATCGTTGAGACGTTTCAAAGCACTTCACAGGATGAAGTGGGAATCGAACTCGGGTCCTCTCACTTGTGAGACGAGGGCTCTTACCAATATACTAGAGGATTCTATTTAAAAAAGAAATAAGATAAGCTCGTATCAACGTCTGACCAGAGTGCTCTTGGACACGGGCCAGTTTCGAGTCCAGGTGACGTCAGTGAGTCTGACCTGAACTGGCATTAGCGTTGATGAAAGGCACTTTCTCCAGCTCTGTCTTCTGACGCTCTGTAAACCAATTATCTGAGATAAAAGTTAATCTGTGATTACCACTTCATTCAAATTAGTTTCCTGGCGACTTGTGAGCAAACGTTTTCTGCAGTACAAGAATGCTAAGCCCTGTCTGACACTCTGCAGAGCACTGTATTTTTAGATGAGAAGTTAAACCTATATGTTTTCTAAGGGCAAATTGCCTGCTGGGTTGTCTACCAATACACAGTCACTACACTTTACAGTAAATGCTGTGAGGCACTTTTGAGAGGTTTCAATGTTGTGATAATAAGCGCTGTATCAAATGGAAGATCCCTTCTTCCTATTAAATGTATTGCATTACTGGCTGGTTCCCTTTCTTTCCAGTTCCCAAACCCAACCTGGATTCCTTTGTCTTTCTGCGGGTGAACGAAAGGCAGGAAAACATCCTGGTGGAGCCAGAAACAGATGAGCAGAGGTGGGGAATAGTGTGGTGTGTGCGTGTGTGTGCTATCTTTCACTAGCTTTGCTGTGATATAAGGAAAAGGAAGGAGAGTACAGTGTACAACTAATAATAATACTGAACCTATTATTATTAATACAAAACCTATTAATATTAATGACACCGAACCTATTAATAACACTGAACCTTTTATTAATACTGAACCTATTAATATTATTGTTATCAACCTGAGATGAACACTTCTAAGATATACCGTCAAAATATTTTTGGGCTATATCAAAAGCAAGGATTATCATTATTCTACTGAAGATTTGACAGCACTGTAAACGAAGCGTATACTCAGTTTCACCATGTAGAGGGCGCTTTGTATCTAACCCATTCCATTCTGTCACTGACGAGGCGATGCTGGTTGGGTCAGTGTGGAGGGAGCTTTACTTACCTTGCCTTATCAAATGCAAGGATCAGGTGGTTGAGAAGTTGGACTGGGAAAAGCTGAGGTTAGAGTCACAGCTCGAAGGTGGAGCTTGCGGGTCTCGGTGAAACTAATGCTCAAGGTTTCAGAGGCATCTTAGACCAGTGCTGTCAAAATCTAAGTTTTAAAAACCTCAAATTAGGGGAAATGATCTTAAAGTTTGGCCATGACAGGTGAGGACTCAAGTCTGTTGCGGAATTGCTTGAATCTTTCCTGTATAATAATAATATACCTTGAATTCGATATAGCGCCTTATCACGTCTTCGAGACGCCACAAATGTATTGCGTTTGTGGTATTCTGCAAAATAATGGGAAGTGTCTGATTGGCAGGGCTGTTCACTTAGTACAGGTCGACCCCTGTGGTGTTTTGGATCCATAAATTTAGAGCCCGGTTCATAACAGATCCACGGAAAACCCGACCCAACACACCCCTACCTGGATGGAATGGTAGCTTTCTGGGCAAGAGCTCAGTGGAGCCTGGTCAGCTGTGAATGCTTTCAGTCGCGAGTCTAGAGCCTTGCAAATGGTGGCTGCGGCTGACAGGCTGCAGGGAGAGCTGGCCGGTGTTCAGGGAGTGAAGCAGTCCATGCCCGTATGATAAGCAAGCCTTATTACAGGGTTGCCCTGTATGAACTTGTTACTCATCAATACACAGCTCATTACTCAGAGGCAGAGCTCTTTGAAAGTGCGGGGGAGGGCTGACACGTACGGGTGTGGGATGATGTCTGGGTGGGGGCGGGGGGTGGGGTGAGTGGATGGGCAGTGATTTTGCAGAGCTGTACAAGGCAGATTTGCAGGAAGATACCTCTGGCCTCAGTGTAATCGTAATGGTACCCTCCCTCACTCTTCCCCTGGCTCGGGGAGTCAGACTCCGCCACTGTCAAGCGCTCCGGGACTCTACCCCGCATGAAGGGCACAATATGTACGAACGTCGTCGTCATTGTTGTAAATCTGAATATCTTTCCTCCCGCAGAGAGTACGCTATCGATTTGGATGAAGGGTCCCAGCATTTGATGCGATACAGAACCATTGCCCCTCTCGTAGCAAGCGGTGCGGTGCAGTTGATATGAGTGCTGAGCGGGTGGGGTAAGGGAAGCTTTGCTCCAGATGTGCCAAGTACTTTGCTTCTCAAAGATAACCGCTCGACGTGACATAGATCAATTCCACGCAAGGTTGAAGTTGAATTGGTGGTGGTGGTGGTGGGGATTTCCTGTCCCACTTCATGTCCCCTGTCCTTGCTTCTCCCCCCCCCACCACCCCAACTGGGTTACAAGTGAGGCCTTTGTGAGACCCTTTAAGGCTTTCGTTGTTTCCATGCGATAAAACAGCTGCCCTTCAAATGCAAGTGTTATCATTAGGTTCAAGTGGTGTCTGCAATGCTGTTTTTCTTAAAATGGAGTCAGTATTTTGCAGAGCTGACTCGTGCAATCCCTCCCTTTCTCCCCCCATCCCTTCACGTATGACTTTACGGAGATGTCTAGCGGTGCTGATTATAACAAAGCTGAAGATTTGCTCCAGTGTAGAAGGTTGGGTTAACAGACAGAACGTGTCATTCAATCGACCCACATGACTTCCTGACTGAAAGATTAAATTACAGAATCGTGTAACCTTTGCAGATCGGCAAACTGTGATGTGGCACCTTGAAAATACCCTTGTCAGCCTGGCTCGATTGGTAGCCTACTCACCCTGAGTTTAAACCCCCAACTCAGGGCTGGGGGGAGGGCTGAATTGTTGAGAGGTGCTCCACTTTCAAGTGGAAGTGAACGCTCTCACGACACTATTAGAAAAGACCAACAAACAGAAGTCGCTGGGAACGCTGAGCAGGTCACACAGCATCTGTGGAGCGAGGAAAGTAAGTTAACGTTTCAGGGGTCGATGACCTTCTGTCAGAACGTGTGACACTGTGCTGGAGTCCAATCAGCTAAAACCGCATAGCTTTCCATTGCTATCGCTGTCTGGCAAGCTTTCCCGCTGTTTGTCCAGCTGGGACCACTCCACCCGTTAGGGCGTTGGCTTGCAGGGTTAACAGGAGCTGAGTGGGATGATTCTCTGCTCCCTGGTCTGGCACTGGTCTGTCCCTTCAGGTCCTGCCGACGAGCCAGACGTAAGCATGATATGTCGCTCCAGGGAGAGAGTGTGTGCATTACATTCCGACAGTCTGCCATCAGCAGTGCCCTGGAGTACTGCGGACCGGCCTGGCTCAGGAACCAGACCACCGAGACCGCCACAGAGGGCTGGCTCGATTACGACATTCCATTGCCAAACATGTCACCTTGGCGCCAGTTCAGCTTCGAGGAGATCCCACTCCCCCCCCCCCACCCCAACCACCCCTCCCAAGTAAAGTCACCAGTTGGTTGTATGAAATTCGACAAGTGTGGGTTTGAGCCCTTTGCCAGGGTCAGACGTAAAGTCTGAGAAAGCATATTGAGTGCTGCCGTTAGCATTCAGTGAGCAGAATGATGGATGAGTGATATTTTTGTAACATGTCCACTTGAGCCGTAAATAACACCCCCCTGCAGTGCACCCGTAGATTCGGCCCTCCCATTTGCGTCTGTAGAGAATAGTTTCAGCTCCACGAGACCAGGCGACGTTATTGCTGTGAGTTATTTGAGGGTCTGGATTCAAGAAAGCTTTACGTGAATAGGGAACGCTATAATATAGAAGTCGTTGGCACGTAAATGCCATTGATTTATTTCCAGTGCGTCCGGTCCGCAATGAAAGCAAGAAAAGCCTGGCTCAGTGGGTAGCGCTCTCGCCTCTGAGCCAGTAGGTTGTGGGTTCAAACCCCACGTTAGGACTTTGAGTTCACAGTGTAGGCGGATATTCCAGTGTTGTGGGTAAAGAATCTCTGTGACCTATTCATAGTCCCTGCGATTCTGAAAATAAGTGCCTCTTGGCTAACAGGTCCGAAGGTCACACATGACCGATTGTTGGAATATGTCAGGAGATTGTGTCTGAGATTGTGCCTAAACCATTCCTGTTTTGAACCTGCGGGGTTATGTGGTTTTTAATTTGGGAAGAATACAGTCCAGGTTGTGTCTTAGTGCTCGCGAACCTACTATTGCCAGCAAGGAACAGGGCATGCTGTGGTCTCAGACCTCGTTTAGCACCGTATTATATTATATATCTGCCAGTGCCAGTCTAGTACAGGGTCTGCTTTGTGTCAGCGCCCACTCACATACCATTGCCAGTCAGAAACAGGACATGCTGTGTCTCACTGCCGGTCAAGCGCTCTGGGACGCTATCCTGCCTGAGTGGCGCTATTATAAATGCAGGTTGTGCCAGACGGTACGCTGTCAGTGCCCAGTAAACCCATCATTGCCAAACTAGCGCAGGGCGTGCTGTGTCTCAGTGCCCACTTATCAAGCAGTGACAGTTTTCAGTCCAACAACCATAATGCAGTCTGGTGCGGTGTTTCGCCTTCACAAGGAACGGTACCGGTTGATCATTACATATGTCAAGGCTGGGGAGTGCAGCGAGATTTGTATTACCAATCTTAAGGCTGCAGGAGGCATTGAGCAGATTTTAAGCATTGGATGATTCAGCTGAAACACAATAGCAGAGTAGAGAGAGAGAGAGAGAGAGAGATCATGTTTACCTTGGCTCGTGTTTTAAATCGAAGTGAAAAGGATCATTGACTGATCCCCAGGGAAAGGGTTTGTCGTAAGGCTTGGATCTCGTGTGGATGTGCAGAGCAGTCATGGATAGTTGCATGTTCTTTTGTTTGCAATTGACATTACTTATAACATCCAACCATTTTCTTTGTGGTAATCGGGCTAAAACATCTGTTGTTTTTTTTCGCGTTGTGGCTCTCTTGCTCCAGACAGGAGTTTTTTTTTCCTCTCCACTCAGCACCTTTCAGTTTATTTAAACATAGTCTTCTCCGCACAGCCAGCACCACAGAGTGTGGCTCAGTATCGCACCACAAAAGGGTCTGAGACGCTTCCCTCCATAAAGGGCGCTATATAAATGCAATCAATAACAATCCTTAATTTGATACGGCACCGAATCACGTCATTGAGACGTCTCAAAAATCGCTTCGCAGAAAATGGAGTGACTGTATTTTTGTGCGAGAAACACAGCAGCCAATTGCGCACAGCAGCGTCCCACAAACAGTTGTGATTCCGTGACCAAATTTTTTTTTTTTCGGAGTGATTATTAACCCCGGAAAGCGATCCGCCAATCAACTAACAAGTGGGTTTCTACGTATTGCTAGGTAAACAGAGTGCCTAAGATCAACGTCTTGTGTTTTTTTCCAAGGAGCTGATGGCGGTTTGAAACCGGCAGAGATGTCCCGTGTGGTCCAAAGTACTTTAATCGTGCAAAGTCTCTCTTTTATATATTGATATATATATTCAAGTGTCTTTTCAATAAAGTGTGTTATGTTTTGTAGTTCTGTGCTCTCCAACATTCTCTGCTTGGATAGATATGCCTCTGTATTTTTAAGAGGAAACTTGACGCGCGCACACACGCACCACACACACACACATACACACGAGGGACAAGAGGAGAATAGGAGTTGTGAGGCTCGTGTATAACCACCGGCACGGACTAGTTGGGCTGAATGGCCTATGCCCATGCCTTGGAGTCCTGTAGCTCAGTGGTTAGAGCACTTGCCTCGCAAGCGAGAGGACCAGAGTTCGCTTCCTGACGTGGTGCAACATTAGGCAAGTTTCCTTACTCCACACACACGCCTCGGTTTACCAGCTGTCAGCAGGAACTCGGTTGTTCGTCAATTGACAGATCGCTTTTCCGGGGGTAACAATCCCTGCAATTCCATAAATTTAAAAATAATAATAATTTGGTCACTCAATCCACGACTGTTTGTGGGGACGCTGTTGTGCGCAATTGGCTGCTGCATTTCCCCCGCGAAATACACAGTCAATTCACTTTACAATATATTCTGTGAAGCGCTTTGAGACGTTTCAAAGACAAGATAAGGCGCTGTATCAAATGCAAAGATTATTGTTATTCTAATACCTGGCCGCAAAGTGTTTTTATTAATATGTATATACATTTTATATATATATATAGATACAATAGGGAGAGAGAGATCTCACTCCTAAACTAAGTTGAGGATCCTACTTGGTTTGGTCTGCTTTGGAGAGAATCAGAGGCTTTGGTCTGCGCAATTGGATTCAAAAATAGAACAGCCTTGCCTCCTGCTCTGACACCTGATCTCCCCACGTGACCATAACATGTCTGAGTTAATAACTTACAACAGTGAAGCAACCTATTTGTTTGACCTTGGATGATCTTTGAAACTTGCACAATGGAAGCACGGTCATAGAATCATAGAATATTACAGCACAGAAGAAGGCCGTTCAAACCATCGTGCCTGCTGCTGGCTCTCTGGAAGAGCTACCCATCCAGTCCCACTCCCCCGCTCTTCCCCTATACCTTTGCAAGTTTTTCCTATTCAATTCCCTTTTGAAAGTTGATAGCGTATCTGTTTCCACCGGCCTTTCAGTTAGTGCATTCCAGACCTTAACCACTGTAAAAACGATTCTCATCTCCCCTCTGGTTCTTTTGCCAATTATCTTGAATCTTTGTCCCTTGGTTACCGACCCTTGAAATAGGACCTTGATTTAATGTCTCATCTGAAGAACGTCACCTCCGAACAGTGCAGCAGTTGCTCTCCAACTCCCCCGTCTCCACTACCAGAGGCTAGAGCAGCAGTCGCTGTCTTAAGATTTAAACAAGATCCCTTTAACCAGGGCGACAGAAAGAAAATGTGGTGTGAGCAGGTTGATTTGGGCTGGGTTGGCCCTGGGGAAACGAGATATGTCAACGGCCCAAGGTTCGGGAGAAGCATCTCACTGAAGCTCATGATTAACTACTGATCGCTATCAGTGACCCTGCTCAATGATTGCATGTGTGCACATTTCAGGTGCGCAAAGCAATTCTCCCCGGTTGCCTGAATTCCTCAATTCTGAAAATCCTTTCGAGTTCTGCAGGATCATCAGCTTGCAAATCAAGGTAGAATGGTCGTTCCCCATCCGTTGATGATCCCCCAAATAAAATCCCCCAAATACTCACTGCTAGGCAAACAGAGGCGTGTGTATACAGTAGGAAACTTACCTAACATTTCGTCCTGGCCACGAATCGAAACTGGGCCCTCTCGCTTGCAAGGCGAGTACACTAAACGCTTCGCTACAGGACTCCGCAAAGGCTTAATAGGAAAGCTTTGAATTCAGGAATGTTGCTTGCCCAAAATTCTGAAATTTTAAGATGGAAAAAAAAGGGTTGACGGGCAAGGACTTGGTGGAATTTTGTTTCCCTCCCCTTCCCCCCGAGCCAAGAGACCTCAGGGAGAATTAGAATTCTCCAGTCAGTCATCGAACAGTTTGGGTGCATGTGTACACACTCTGGCTGACCCGAAAGCAGACTTGACTTCTGGTGTAATGATAACAAACTGCCTTGACCACTCGATTGCCTCAAACCCTGAAACAGTATTGGGTAACGTTTTGCAACCGCTCCTTTTATCTCAGTTACCGTTGCCCCGCGGGGAGTAATGATTAATTCAGGCTCCGGAGTGAAGCCAAGCTCTCGTTCCTCAACTCAACTCTGCCAAAGCACTTCCCATCCGCACAGTAAATTCTCAGTGCTACCCATCGGTAATGAGGCAAGTTCTATTGATGTAGACGACAAACATTTATGTAGGGCTTCCATGTTGGAAGGACGTCTCAAAGCGCTTTACGCCTTTGTACAATCATTCCAAACAACCACCGATAAATTGGTCACTCAATCCAAGACTCTTTGTGGGGCGCTGCTGTGCGCAATTGGCTGCTGCATTTTGCCCACAAAATATAGAGTCAATCCACTTTACACTATATTCTGTGAAGAGTTTTGAGACGTCTCAAGGACGTGATCAGATACTACATCAAATGCAAGGATTATTGTTAGTAGTAGTTGTGTCTCAATGCGTTTCACAGGATTTACAGTAAGTGCAGCCAATCTGCAATCGTGAAGTCAATGACCAATTTTATCGGGGGGGGGAATTGTTGGCCAGGACACAAAGTGGGAGAAGCTCTCTTCTAAAAGAATATATAAAAAGCAAACGCTTCAATGTACACACTCCATCGGTGCTCCTCACACTGCAGAATTCTCTTCGCACTGCAATGTGCTCCTGTTAAGTAAGTGACTGATTTATGCAATGCAAACTGGACAGAGGTGGACCCAAAGTATTCTCCGGTATAAAAACGTAATTTCCATCGAAGCCTGTTCACTTATACAAGGCCATCCCTGCTTCCGTCTCCCTGCATTGCCAGCTTCGCTGAACATTTCTCCTTCACAAAGGATCGATTGTTCGAAAACTCCCCTTGGCGTCATCGAGGGAACGTTGCTTGCTCCCCTCAATTAAACCCTACGCCCAATTCACTGCTCTTATTGCATCGAGGCCACGTTTACTGTGCAGTTTCCTCAGCTGTGAAGAGCATTCCGCTCACTTGCCACAAGATCACGTGAGGCCTTACTCCTCTCTACCTCTGTGACGTGCTAACTCCATACACACTCGTCTGTTCCCTCCGCCGTACCCTTTGGAAATTTCTTCAGTCCCTTCGCCTCGCCCTCTCCTTTGCCTCCTTCAAAGCCCGTCTCAAGACCTTCTGTTCGACCGCGCCTTGGGTCACCCTTCTACCCCCACCCTCCCTGCCCTCCATCCCTCCTGATCCCCAGCTCAGGCCCAAATCCTTGACTGTCCAGTGCCTTGGGACGTCCTCCCGACGTGAAAGGTGCTGTGTAAATGTAAATTGTTGTTGTTTGGGTGAAGAGGAAAAATGTGCAGGGCTATGGGGTAAGAGGANGGGGGGGAGTGGGACTAGTCGGTAGCTCTTTCAAAGAGCTGGCACAGGTATGATGGGCCGAATGGCCTCCTTCTGTGCTGTAAGATTCTATGATTGTATATATTGTGTACAATAATAACAAACTGAGTTGCTGGGTGTAAAGCTGGGTGTTACTGGGTCTAACATTCCTGTATATATTATTTCAATGACAGGTTATGCGGGGCTCGGTTTATCACTCGTCACCTTAACGCTTTCAACTCAAAAGTCCCAAAACACTTAATTATTGTGGTGGCATTTTAATTCGGGATGAATGAGAAATCTCGGCAGCGTATTTGCATTTAAAATGAAATGAAGGTCTGCGCTTGCGATTACAGCATGTTTACAGACGAGGTTTACTTATCCCTTGTGAAAGGCCAGCTAGCCTTATTTACAGGCTGGAGTGATAGCGTTGCAGACAGCGACTGAAGCTGACAGCTACTAACAGCTGGACCCAGCCAGCCATGACTGAGCTCAACGATGGTATGACAATCGGGTCCCCTGATAGCAAGGAGTACTGTAAATAATGCACGTAGCATCATGAGTGAGTTCAACGAGTGTATGATCGATGTTGACAGGATGCACTATTGTCCATACTCCCTTGGACTCCTTGCGCTGTGTGGGTTCCACTGCTCAGTCCTGCACAATAACAATCCTTGCATTTGATGCAGCGCCTTATCACGTCATTGAGACGTCTCAAAGCACTTCACGGGATACACCGCAAAGTGGATTGACTGTATTTTGTGCGCGAAACGCAGCAACCAATTGCGCCCAGGAGTGTCCCATAAAAAACAATCGTGGATTGCGAGGCGAGTGCTCTAACCAATACGCTACAGGACTCCGCACAGGAATAAGCGCAGAGAGCGTCTTGTGAAAGGGTATAGGCTGACGCCAACTCCAATCCTGTTCATTCCTGTTCCTGGGAAAGATTGAAGCTGAGGAATAGTGACTTAAAATAACACAGGGTCAGTAATTTCCAATGCCCTGTGTGTCCCAGAAGTGCTGTGTTACCTCTAGATTTATAACCCATAGCTTCGCACGGAACTCTGTACAACGTAGATGTTACTGGGAGCTTTTTACAGCATGCTATTAGTGTTGTTATGCAAGTGGGCAGCTGGGATCGACTGTAAACAAATGGTTAGCTACAGTTTGTTGGGAGAAGAGGATGTATGAAAACGGTATCAATATAAAATGTATGTTAGGGTTACGATAAAACGGATTTTTCTTTTCTGTGTTAATCCATATGTTTAATTGATGATCGTGGAGAATCAGCAGGATGTTGAAGGAAGTACCAATTTAGTGCTCTCAGATGGGGCATGTTGGGGGTTGTCAGCAATGAATCAGGATAACAGTCAGACAGAATCTCAAAAGAAGCAATTAGAAGAGTAGAGGAACACTCGCCGGGGTAATATACACAGACGTGTGCTCAAAACGTACGTACGTTGGCACAAGGAGGGAAAACGGAAGAAAACCAGGTAACTTTGGTCCAGGATACATGTCATAGTCGGGAGATTGCTCATCATAACTAGACCAATTAGTATGAATTCATGAGTAAGAAAGGAAGTAGCAAGC